ATATACCAATTTAACAACTTAAGCGTCCACTGACGGATATTGTAATCCTGACTCCAATTCTCAAATCAGAGTGTAAGCTTGGAGAGCGCTCCAACGCCAGGCCTAGTTCAGACCGGCTAAGAGGTTTGGAGGTTTCAATGTTATTGTATTGCTGACTGGTGGTAAAACTGAACTTTGCCTTTCCATGTGTTCGTGTTCCCTGGAAATCGCGAGTATGATCAAGCGTGGTCCGTCCGTCTCCTCATGCGGCAGAGTGGACCATGGATCTCTTTTCCCCATTCCACGTCTTGCCGCCTGGGTGACTGGACGGACTTGTGGGACAAGGCGACTCAAGATCCAGTGGACACTGGATGCTGCTGATGCAGGTGGAAGGCTTCAATGAAAGAATCCATGATGCATAGTGATAGTCAAGGTCGAACCAACAACTTTCCATTGCCTGTTCTAATTGGAGAAAGACGTCTGGATGTGACTCAGAGATCGAGCAAAGCCACAGCCTAGCATGACCCCTGCAATCAACTAACAAATAAGAAACGCGGTTTCGACCGGGTTTGTGCCCCCGAGCAGAAGTCTGGGTCCTTCTGGGGGCTGAAAGACTGTGTGAGCCTGGCTGTGAGAACGGGACGGGCGCGCGATGGGACGCTTGTCGAACGTTGACATTGGCTGACGAAGCTGAAGACTGAACATCAGGTATCCATCATTTTGGATATTCCACGACCAAAGAAACTCAAAAGCATACCTCTTATTGCCAGTTTCACTTTGTCCAGCTGGCCTCCAGCCTCCACAGAATCACGGCAGGACTCGACCGCCTTTGCTGGTGCATGGTGATAACGGAGATAACAGTTGCAATCGTCCTTCATCACTAAGCAGAACCAACTAAGGAAGTTTCATCCCGTTTGCGGTCTCTCTTCTTCCTTCCTTTCACCTGGAAGAGTGCCCCGAGCCTGGTCTCCAGCGACTGAGAATCACGATATCCTCCCCAGTGGCTTGACTTTGGTTGGCAATTACGGCTGACTCTGTCTCGCTCACCATCGCCGGCGATCTATCTTGGCACCGTCGAGCTTGTTCGCGAAGCATTCCTACGTTTATCGTCGCACTCTCGAGTCTCGCATCTCTTATAGCGGCGTTGCGGGGGCATTTGAATCCCCCATTTAACAGACTTCAACTTCTTGCGCTACTTCACACCCAGCGGTTGCGATTTTACTCATAGGTAGAACCGCTCTACTTTCACCCCGCGATTCGCTTTCTCTGCCCACCAATATCAGTTGCATCTCGATTTCTCGGCCAACACAAGAGCCAGAGTGGTTAGAAGAATCGCAGTTTCAATCTTATGCCGAAGAAAAAAGAAACCAACCTCTCCGACTGTTAATCTTGACGGTTTTGGCGGCAGGTGCGACTTGGAATTAGCTGTGCCCGTCACTCAAGGTCTAGGGCATTGTACTTTTGTTCTTGATTCCACAACAAGTTTGAGAGCTTCCGGGCTAGACAGGGAACTATTCGCACAAATTCGCCAGTGCTCTCATTGGTCACAGGGGTCTTGTGTGGTTTTGCGGCTAGCCATACACTACTTGTGACCGCATTGCAATAATTATTCTGCCCTTGGAGCATCGCCCAATACGCCTAGATTTCCGACTTCCTGCTCGATACATCCGCTTTTTAAACCGCTAAAATGAGTCCAACCCCACCGTCTACAACCTCCTCAAGTAATGGACCCTCCCCGGAGGGACAGTATAGGGTCGTCCGAAAACGCAACAGAGTACCTCTCTCATGTGGTCCTTGTCGCCATCGAAAGTATGTCTACTGTTTCCTTTCATGCATACCCGTAAATGCTCTAACAGCAAGTTAGGTTAAAATGCAACCGCGCGCATCCCTGCGAGAATTGTGTCAAGCGTGGGGATGCTCATTCCTGCTCCTATGCTCAAACAAATTCTCGAAAGAAGAATACCTCAAATCAGACTGCTTCGAGTTCCCCAGATGACATGCAAAACAGAATTGATCGACTAGAGGGCTTAGTATTATCATTGATGACCAATGGGTCGCAATCTGAAGGACCTACAGCTGCCATGGCAGCAATATCAGGGACAGGCAGTAATGCAGGATCCGGCCAGCATGTCCATGACTTGGAGGTCGACGATGATGTTCCTATCCAGGAGGAAAGTGATACCGAGCAGGTGACTAAGTCATTTGGCATTATGAAAGTGGACAACAACAACAAGTCCTACTATATTAGCGATGCGCACTGGGCATCTGTTCTTAGTGAGGTAAGCGATCATCTCGAACGCACATCTCTTCCAATATTCACCTGTTACTAGATATCGGAGGTCAAGAATTACTTCACCACACACAAAAAACAATATGAAGAGCATGCCGAGAAGCTTAAGGCAACCCAGCTTCCAACTGACGTTCCTGGGTCCACTTTGCTATTTGGAGCCATGAAAGTAACCAGCAGAGCCGAAATCATGTCTTCGTTTCCGTCCAAATACACGTCAGACATGCTCATAGCGCGATATTTCAACTGCTACGACCCAGCAACGCGTATGTGACTCGTGAATTCTTTCCAATTTTGCCTTCGGGATTAGTGCTAATATCTGTTCCAGATTTCCTCCATGGCCCGACTTTCCAAACTCAAGTAAGCATGTCCCAGTAATGTGAAAATATGGAGGTAGATTTATTAACACTTGTTTAGTACAATAAGCATTGGGAGGACCCTTCCCAAACCTGTGTCGCCTGGATCGGGATGCTTTTTGCAATGATGCGGCTCTCTATGTTGTCGTATTATCGTGAGGGTGACGAACCCCCCGAGTTTAGGGGCAAATCACTGGACATGGCTGGGACTTTCCGAAATCTCGTAGCCATGTGTCTCACATTGGCTGACTATACTAAACCGTACCCAAATCTGATCGAGTGCCTAGCCTTCCATCTTCATGGCGATTATTGCCAAACAAAGGAAGCAGATGTTTCGGTTTGGGTTCTTAGCGGTGTTATCGTGCGACTTGCTATGAGAATGGGATACCACCGGGATTCGAAAGCATTTCCGAATATTACACCATTTCAGGGTGAGATGCGCCGCAGGGTTTGGTCATTCGTCCGGCAAGCCGACATATTATTTTCCTGCCAAGTTGGGCTGCCTGGTATGGTTCGAATGGCAGACAGTGATACCGAGCTTCCACGCAACTTGTATGACGACGATTTCGACGAAGACTGCAAAGAACTTCCCCCATCACGACCTCCCAGTGAACCCACACCAATATCCTACCTTATCACCAAGTCGCGGTTAGCGAATGTCTTAGGCCAGGCCATTGAGCAGACCTCCTCTGTTCAGAACGCGTCTTACGATAAAGTTATGGAAATGGATGCGGAACTTCGTCGGGCACGGGATATGGTACCGGAGCATCTTCTTGTACGCCCCATTGAAGAGTCTCCGTTAGATTCTCTCGTGCTCATATTATCTCGCTTTTCGGTGAGCCCCTTTGCATATGCATTTTTTTCCCTTCATTCTCACGGTTTATAGGTGATGTGTGTTTATCATCGTGCGCAATGTATGCTTCATCGAAAATATCTTCTTAGGGCTCGGGAAAACCCTCGGTTCATACACTCCAGGAGAACTTGCGTTGATTCAGCTATGGAGCTTTTACGGTTCCAGTCAATGATCCATGTGGAAACACGCCCGACGGGCCGATTACGAAGTCGACAGAATCGAGTAACATCACTCAGCTCTAGTGACTTCTTACAAGCTGCAACAATTCTGTGTCTTGACCTTTACCATGGATACCGGCAACCAGACACTTCGAGGGCTTCGTCTGATACTTATGCTTGGGGCAGAGAACGACGAGAAGAGATCCTTGCGGCTGTACAACGAAGTAAAGATATCTGGGACGAACTGCGTGATGAGACAATGGAGGCATGGAAAGCCAGTGGTGTCCTTGGAGTGATGCTTAGTGGACTTCAGCGGGGCCCTGAAGCAACCCCTCTAACCCCAGCGTTTGAGCCGCAAGACGAGAAACAAAGCGCCGCTATGACCCTGGGATTGCTTAGCAGCGGAATGACGCCTATTAACCAAGGACCACAGTTTAACGACGTGCCGCTGAAGGGCCCAGAAACTCCGTTGCCAGCACTCGGAGGCTTTGGTGCGGAGACAGCTCCGGGTGCTTCGTCCCTTTTTAATATGTTTGGTCAAATGCCTGATATGCAGGTCAATTTGGATTGGGTTCGTTTCTTTATTCTTAAGGCTGATTTTGTCAATGACTAATATGATCTAGGATGCTTGGGATAACTACATCCAAGGCGGGACGCTTGACCCGTCGGCCTCATATTGGTCCCCCATGGATTTCCAACAACAGAACCCTGGACCCTTATCCCCGCCACAACTAGCGGCGGTGCAAAACAGCCCTGCGGACAGACTCCGCACTCTCCCCCGGACGACTAACATGTTCCCTAACAACGGGTACGACAACGATGGTCCCACCTAAAAACGGGGATATTGTCACCCTTTGTCAATTGAAGTAAAAAGCGAGCTTACCGGTGTTATATATGGGTTAGTGGGATTGGGACTGCGGCTCAGTGCATTTTCTTTCTCGATGCGCAAAATATCCGGTGCTGACATTTGATTGTTTCAAATCCTTAAATTCTAATATCCCTCTCGTTAGTGGATTTTCGTGCTTACCTGTTCGAGGGTTGTTGGGTCCGCCAGACCTTGTACGAATACGCTTTCCATCTCTACTCTTAGTGTGTATGTGATGATGATTATGATGTGTCTATGGAGATATGTTTGGCGCAGGTTTGGCATCGGTTGATGAGTGATAATCTCCACTTGTACATTTACAACTCAACTATATTATATATATATATATATATATATCTGCATGTATGGTTTCTATTCAGAGTTTCGTGGAATGGCCTTAAAAACGCAAGCCCCAACTCCGTACGGTGCCTTATCGTTATCAGCACGTGACCGGCGTTGAAATACCGCCGGCAGCTTTTTACATTTCATTGCTCGTACGTTTAAAAAGCCCAAACTATTGATGCCTTGATAAAGCGGAAGCTAGATATGTGCGTTTTCTATTGAAATGGCTACTTTACCAGCGCCCCACTAACTATATACTCGCCAGGTATTCCCTCCGCCGCGCTGCCTGTCGCCTGTTGGCTTCACCATCTCCGATACCTGTTCGATCAAGGCTGACTGCGACGCCGAACACCCACCACCTTGCGATTCGCTATCGAAATTTTTCACAAAGCAGATGGATTGGAGACGAGATTAAAACTCAGTTGGAGTCGAAAGATACAGCCACGGCGCAATCGCCAACGGCTAACGCGACAGCGACCAATTCAACCTTGACCGACCCAAATGATGTTCCAGTTGCCCCGAATGATATTGCGGTAAATGAGGCCGAAAATGAAGAAATGGGAATGGGATCAGAAGATGGATTGAATACTGCGACAACGGCGACAACGGCGACAACGAGCAACGAACCGGCATCTTTCGCGAATGAATCGGAAGTCGGGAAAACGCAAGAACATGGCGAGGATTCTACAGCATCCACCGCAACTACGAATGCGTACCAAGAAAGCTATAAACATCCGTCTACGTCTGCATTTGACGTTTCGCAGATCAGAGAGGCAGCCAGGCTAGAAGACGAGGCCGCTCAGAGAACAATGACAAAGGAAGAGAGAATAGAGTTAATGAGGCAATCTCGGAACGAGCCGAAGGAAACCATATTCATTGGCAACCTTTTTTATGATGTGACAGCAGAGGATCTCAAGGCGCAGATGTCGAAATACGGAGTCGTGGAGGGAGTGAACATTATTTACGATAGCCGCGGAATTAGCAAAGGGTATGTGATGCACTGATTCGTGGAGCTTACTTGTCTTAAGGAATCATTGTGGCTAACTCAGGAATCTTGCGGGATTGTTACAGATATGGCTACGTTCAATTTGATAATACAGATTCGGCAGACCGAGCAATTCAAGCGATGCATATGCGAGTATTCGAAGGGCGCCGGGTGACTCTTTACTTTGCACAAACGAATATGAGAACGGCGACCAAGGCTTTCGCACCCACAAATACGCTCTATATTGGCAACATGCCCTTCGAAATGACGGACCGTGATCTCAATGAACTCTTCAAGGATCTAGCCAACGTATTCGACGTCCGCGTGACTGTAGATCGCCAGACCGGCCAATTTCGTGGATATGTCCATGCAGAGTTTACAGACGTTCAAAGCGCGGCTATAGGACTCGAACGGCTCTCTAGACATACACTTTATGGCCGCAAACTCAAGGTCTATTACAGCAACAATCTTCGGAAAGCCCAACGTGGCTCCTTCCCTGTCGGTGCTTGATGTTGGCGAACTTGGAGTTGGGGCGGACTATATACTCTTCTGGCGACACGATGTATTTTTTAGCGCATTTAAACTGTACTATACACTGTATATCACATAGATACCTTACTCGTGAATACTTTTGCCATCGGCCCATCAATATATTCCACGTGACTCGCGGGGACCTCGGCAAGTTTCCGTCGGCTTTAGGCGGCGCCGAGACCCCACGTTTCTAAGCATCTGGAGTGTAGACCTGCTCCAACTTCTCCTCGGACAAACTTCAACCTATTTTTATTCAACACCCCGTATATACCCCTGACGGGCATTTATCTTTGTACAGCTTTTTTTATTTCAACTTTTCCCGTGACACCTTGTCGCGGTTTCTCACAAAATGTCGTTCCTTGGTGGCGCAGAGTGTTCCACCGCGGGAAACCCATTGACTCAGTTCACGAAACATGTCCAAGATGACAAGTCCCTCCAGCGAGACCGAATGGTCGGGCGTGGTCCCGGAATGCAGGAGGGCATGCGCTCACAGGGGATGATGGGCGGTCCTGACCAGGTAAATACGGCTTCCCCGTCGTTATTACCCCTCAATTTCGATCTCGGACAGCCGCTTAATAATGCGTTATACAGATGATGGACGAGTTTGCTCAGCAATCCGCTCAACTCCCCGGCGGGCCACAGCAGCACATGAGGATGGAGATGGAACAAGTGAGGCACCAATTAGAGCAGATGCACACGACACCCCGAACAGGCTCGCCCGGGTGGGCTGCGGAGTTTGATCCCGGTGAGCAGGCCCGCATGGAGGCGGCCTTTGCCGGGCCCAAGGGCCCAATGATGAACAATGGGTCGGGATTTACGCCGGCTGAATTCGCCCGGTTCCAGCAGCAGAGTACCATGAGCGTTCCGCAATCAGCCAGTCCAGCCACAGCCGGCCAGTCGCCGATGATGAGTGGCGGTTACCAGCGCCCTATTGGGGGTATGGGCTATATGGGATATGGGGGGATGGGGATGATGCAGCCTGGATTTGGGCCCATGGGTATGCAACAACAGCACCAGCAGCCGGCCGAGGCTGCTACACAAGATAAGGGGAAGGGGCGGATGATCGAGCTCGACGACGAGAACTGGGAGGCTCAGTTCAAAGAAATCGAGACGGCGAATCAGGGGCAGGTGGATGATGAGGCCAACGCGGCCATAGAGTCGGAATTGAACGATCTTGACAGGTCAGTCCCCATCACCAGTACCGACAGTGATCAAGATCACGGTCTTTTTGAGAGTGTATGGGAAAGAGTGCAAGCTGAGACGGCAACAAATAGGAAATTGGCGGAGGGCGAGGCTGATTTCAATATTAACGATAATTTACACATGGGCGATATGGGCGAGTGGGACGGGTTTGATAACCTCAATACTCGGTTCCGGGAACCTCGATTGGGCGACTATTCATTTGAGCAAGAGAACGTCTTCCGTGACGTAGCCAATCCGTTCGAAGAGGGTATGAAGATTATGCAAGAGGGTGGCAATCTTTCTCTGGCAGCGTTGGCATTTGAGGCCGCGGTGCAAAAAGACCCTCAGCATGTGAAAGCCTGGACTATGCTGGGAACTTCCCAGGCCCAAAACGAGAAGGAACTCCCCGCTATTCGGGCCTTGGAGCAGGCTCTCAAGGCCGATCCGAACAATCTAGATGCCCTGATGGGTCTCGCTGTCTCATACACAAACGAAGGTTACGACTCCACAGCTTATCGCACACTTGAGCGATGGCTCTCTGTCAAATATCCTCAGATTATCAACCCCGACAATCTATCTTCCGATGCCGACCTAGGCTTCACCGACCGCCAGATCCTCCACGAACGTGTCACGGACTTTTTCATCCAGGCGGCCCAATTATCGCCATCGGGGGCCCAAATGGACCCTGATGTACAAGTTGGTCTTGGAGTTCTTTTCTACTGCGCAGAAGAATACGAAAAGGCTGTAGACTGCTTCACAACAGCACTAGCAAGCACAGAGTCCGGAACAACGAACCAGAGGGAGCAGCTCCACCTTCTTTGGAACCGTCTAGGAGCTACTCTGGCTAACTCTGGCCGATCAGAGGAGGCCATTGAGGCTTACGAACAGGCTCTGAACATAAACCCGAACTTCGTTCGAGCACGGTACAACCTGGGCGTATCATGCATTAACATCGGCTGTTATCCTGAAGCTGCACAGCATCTGCTGGGTGCCTTGTCGATGCATCGCGTAGTCGAGGAAGAAGGAAAAGAGCGTGCTCGGGAGATTGTGGGAGGCAACGATGGTAGCATTAACGAAGCGGAACTCAACCGTATGATTACCGCGAACCAGAGTACCAACCTCTACGACACCTTGCGGCGCGTCTTCAGTCAAATGGGCCGACGGGATTTGGCAGACACGGTCGAGGCCGGAATGGATGTCAATGTTTTCCGAAGGGAGTTTGAATTCTAAGCATGAGATGGTGAGGTCGAGGAATATGTGATGTAAATACTAGCCACAGAGCCCACTAGAGGCCTAGAAATCAACGCTTGTCATGCTATACAGTGTAGAAACGAAGCCTGTTGTGATGACCTCATTTAACCTCGGGACTTGTCATCCCGCACTTTCTCCGCTTTGAGCCTGGCCTTCTCCACTTCACCATCGCCGACCTCCATGCTATCATGCGGCCATCTCCGTGTTGTGTCCATGTTGCGCTTCATTCCATGAATCATCTTGATATAGCACCAAAATGGCCGTGAAGACAGGCGCGCAACTCATCGCACGCACCCTGCGTGATCTTGGGGTCACCGTTATCTTCGGTATCGTCGGCATCCCTGTGGTCGAGATCGCAGAAGAGGCAATCAACCTCGGCATTCGATTTGTCGCCTTTCGAAATGAGCAAGCCTGCAGCTATGCAGCCAGTGTCTATGGATATATGACCGGGCGACCTGGAGTCTGTCTTGTCGTTGGGGGTCCTGGGGTCCTCCATGCATTGGCAGGAGTATGGTTGCCTAATCGCGGACGCGGAGACGAAGAAAGCTAACAATTACGGCTTCGAACAGATCGGAAACTCCTCTGCGAACAACTTTCCACTGCTCGTGCTAGCCGGATCAGCCGAGACTACGGCCGTCACCAAGGGCGCCTTTCAGGAAATGGACGCCATCTCGCTTTTGACGCCTCACACGAAGTTCGCCGTGCGTGCCTCGTCATTCGACTTCGTCCCCGGGGCTGTTAAGAATGCCTACCGGACGTGCTGGTATGGCCGGCCTGGGCCAACTTTCGTCGACCTGCCTGCCGATATAATTCAGGGGAAGCTGTCACCCCAATTTTCGCTGCCACAGCTCGAGAGCTTGCATATCTCTTCACCACCCAAGGCGGGTGGGGATCCAACATTGATATTGAAGGCTACGCAACTATTGAAGTCTGCTAGTGCGCCGCTAATTATCATCGGCAAGGGTGCTGCATATGCGCGCGCGGAGTCAGGGATTCGCAAACTAGTTGACCAGACACAGATCCCATTCCTACCTACTCCTATGGGCAAGGGTGTAGTACCGGACTCACACCCACTGAATGCGTCCAGTGCCCGGAGCGCTGCGCTAAAGAATGCCGATGTAGTCTTGCTTTTAGGCGCCCGATTAAATTGGATTCTTCACTACGGCGAAGCACCCAAATGGTCTCCGAAAGCGAAGATAATCCAGGTAGATATCTGTGCCGAGGAGATCGGGAGAAACGCGGGGACATCCGAACTTGGAATTCTCGGGGATATAAGCTTGGCTGTAGAACAGCTCACGTCATCGCTGTCAAACTGGAGATACTCGCCCTCCAGCAAATTTCCGTCGCAGCTCGCCGACTCGGCTAAGAAAAACGAAGACAAGGCTCAAAAGGCCGCTCTGAAACAGACACCGGCTGGCACACCCTTAACCTACCAACGAGCCTATCATATCATCAAAACGGCCCTTAATTCTTTGACTCCGAGCGAGGAAGGGGGTATCGTGTATGTTTCCGAGGGTGCAAACACAATGGACATCTCCCGCTCCATATTTCCCTTATATCACCCGCGACAGCGTCTTGATGCCGGCACATATGCCACCATGGGCGTGGGAATGGGCTACATTGTCGCAGCCCACGAAGCCTTCAATGCTTCCCCTGAAAGTAGCACTTCCAGGCCCAAGAAAATCGTCGCCTTCGAAGGCGACAGTGCTTTTGGCTTTAGTGCTATGGAGATTGAAACCCTAGCGCGGTACCGAATTCCAGCATTGATCTTCGTGGTCAACAATTCGGGTATATACCATGGCGATAGCACGTCCGAGAATGCCTGGAAAACACTCCAGGACCAGACAGTATCGAATGATACCAAATTTGACGCAAAGCCAAAGGGCTTGCGCTCGACTAGTCTTCTCTATGAAACGAGGTACGAGATGCTGGCTACGATGTGCGGTGGTAAGGGTTACTTTGTGCGGAATGAGGAGGAGCTTGAAAAAGCGACAAGGGAGGGGTTCTTGAGTGATACTGTCACAGTGGTGAATGTGATTGTTGAGCCTGGAATTGGGAAGGAAATTGGTTTTGCGTGGCAGAACCAGAAGCCTAAGGAAGAGGGCAAGGCAAAGCTGTAGCCTTCTTCGTTCTCCAGGCTTCCGTAAATATAGGCTGGGGACTGTTAAGTACTGGTAATATATATGCATGTATATTCCACAAGTGGCAGTGCAATAAATTGAACATATACTGAACACCTACTACGCAGTAGCAAGACTCAGAATTAACGATCAAGAAGGCCATCTATAACTTTCGCAACCGAAATGGCCCTTTCCTCCCCAAACCTCCCGCCAACGATTTGAACTGTCACTGGCATACCCTTAACCAAATTAATGTCGTCTAAACACCCAAGTGCAGACAAGTTAGCCTCTACTCCACAAAAGAGACCAAGAAACGAGAAGGCAAAGAGACATACACTGCTCATAATTAAACCGATCAGACTCATTCCTTGGAACATGAGCCGCCCATTCCTGATCATTCTTGGGGCTATCAAGTTTTTCATCTGCAGTAATAACGGGGACAGTCACGGCCGCGTAGTTCAATAAATTGTATAACGCAGTATAACCTAGCCACTGAAAGCTCTTGACCCACGTCTTGGGCTTGTAGCCTACCCAGGGCGTCACAGGGAGGAGTAGTGCATCGATGCCACTGGAGACCCATTGCTTCAGATAGGTTTCCTGGAAGGCCCATTTTGCTTCTTCTGTCTAATACCGGATTTAATTAGTAGGGCAAATCGGAGGGGGAGCGAAGAGGAGGTTGTGGGATCGTAGGCACCTTTTCTTTTTCTGTAGTTGAAAGCTCGTCTGTGGGGGTCCCGACGGCCATTCCTTGGATAAGAGGTTCGTCGACGAGGGCACAGAGCTGGCGACAGTGGTGGCCGCCATCAGAAAGGATGGATTTCGTCCATAGGGCTGTGCCTTCTACGTGAAGAGACGTATCCCATTCGATTACTGAGATTTATTAGCCACTTGAAAGCATAAAATCCTAGTAATGAGAGTTAGATAGGTAGATACAGTACCTTCATGACCCGCATCTTTCAGCTTTTGTGCTGTCTCTCGCATTGCTCGCATAACAGGTGGCTGTGGTCGAACAATTCCATCGTCGTAGATAATACCTAGCCTCAGCTTTCTTGCCGGCAGCGCTGATATGTCCTTTCTCCAGGGAATTGGGATGCAGCCTGGGTCAATATCCCAGGGATTTGAGTCCAGCAGGCTCTGCATGAAGTACTCTACTGTCGAAAGGCTTCTAGCCATAGGCCCTGCCACCGGAGGAACAAGATAGTGCTGGTGCATGCTAGAGGAGATGGTTATTACCCGAGTTCATAAAATGATGATGGGAGAGACAATACAATGAGCAGTTCCAGGGAACTCGTCCTGTTGTTGGACAAATCGAGTAGAGTCCCTGGAGAGTAGAGGGCACGCGAATTGAGCCTCCTATGTCCGTTCCAATTCCCAAAACACTTCCACCAGCACCGACTAGAGCACCTTCACCCCCGGAGCTACCGCCAGAGATGAGCTTTCTATTAAAGGCGTTGACGGACTGGCCAAAGACGTGGTTATAGGAGTCGGACATCTGCCCCCATGGTTTAGCTTGAGATTCCCTTGAATGGGCTTATTCGGCAAGGTACTTACCATCAACGACTGGGGCACATTCGTCTTCACATACAGAACCGCCCCCATAGACTCCAACAGTTGAACAACCGAGTCAGACTTGGCCGCCGGCTTGTTAGCCAGCCCAACCCAGCCTGTGTCCCGAAGTTTAGCATATTCCACGGACAACCAAATTCTGCGAAAGTCTCTTCTAGACAGAGATAAAAGGGCTTAAGATCGGGAGAGCATACCAACAGTAGTATCAAACCCCTCAACATCAAACCGATCCTTCACAGAAACCGGTAGGCCATGTAACGGTCCCGACGTACGACCCGTCCGCTTAAGCTCCTCGTCCAAAAACTTTGCTCTCTCGAGTCCCCGATCAAAGAAGATCTCCGTCAAGCAGCCCGTCATTTGCTGCGCTACGGCGGCGCGCTTACAGAATGCTGTTGTTAGCTGAACGGAGCTTACCTCGCGCGAGGCAAGAAGGCGCAATAACTCCGTGATATCATCGATGTCTGTCCATTCAAGCTCTTTGGCCGACAGGATGCCACAGTTGCGTATTGTTTCGAGAGTAGTGGCATCAGAGGCGACGGTGGACTGAGGGAGGCGCCAGGAGGAAGGGATGGATAGGACTTGGGTGAGGCGTTTTTGATCAACGATGGGTTTCCAGTGCGGCTCAGCCATTTTGATGTTTGTTTATCTTTCAAGGTCCTGGAAGGTATTTGCCCGTTCTAGGAGTGCTAAACTATGAAGAGGTGGATATCAAAGAGTAAACTTGGGTGGGAGAGTTATCTGCGGAGAAAGAGGGGTTGACTCTGCTCGAACCGTGGCTACGGGAGGGAAACCAGCAATGCTTTATCATTGAATTCCAATATCAACTGCATATAATTACATATATCTGCCATATACATGTACGTCTCTTAGACCGTCATCAACATGCTGGCGTTCTTATACCATGTTAGAAGCGGGTTTTCGCCGCTCCTTGTTTCTGTATCTTCAACATACGCCCAGCGTCGCACAAAATCTTCGTGGCTTGCTACTTGCGTCAGCTTCCCAGTGACGGCTCGATAGACGTCCTCAACGACATCGAAATCTGTGGGAAAGAAGATGTCAAAATAGCCCTGATGGACCTGTTATATGTCAGCTGTGTTATGATACTAAGCAGATGCTGGGCTGACTTACAAAAGGAGTAGAGACCGGCACAGTTCTCCTCTTGTAACGTGTTTGTACTACCGGCGCATTTATCCCCGGCACGGCATCCGGAAGGGTGCTGAAATCGCTAGCTAACAGTCGGTGGCCCGGGAAATAATTATCAAGGATATCGAAGAACTGCATTAGTCGCGTGGGAATGTACTCAGTAGTGGTGGAAGGCTTCTGGAAGGGCAAGGCTCCGCGGACTTGCCGCATGAGTCGCGGGCCCAGTGGATGGGAGAATCCGCGCCGAGCTGCAGCTTGACGGACACGCAAGAACCGGGAAGCCACGGGGTCCAGCATGGGGGTGTAGAATTCGTGAAATTCACCGTCTGCATCAATTAACACCCCGCCCTGCTGGGGTAACTCTGTCTTGGTGTCGTAGCGAATAGCATCATGGGCGAAATTATCAAACACCTCGAGCGCAAGGAAGAAGCATGGCGAGTGCACGTAGGTGTCCCACTCGAAGATGGACTTGTTGATAATCTCAACATGATCCAAATGGCCCGCAGCATAGAGTGAATCCGTCAAGTTTTTCATCTGAAGTCCAGCCAAAGCTGGGGAGATTTCAATGATCCGGAATTTGGTTCGCTGATAGACTTCGTAGTCTGTGTCGCGGATAAAGTCGAGGATGTTAATCATCAACGTTCCGTTTCCCGCGCCCATTTCGTAGATGGTAAGATCGTGATAGGGGTACAGCGTCAGCTTATAATTCGACACCAAATAGCGGGCAATGGTTTCGCCGTAGTAGGGCCGAAACAATTCAGTCGGAGTGTGCCAAAGCTGGCGGGCCTCGTCTGGCTGCTTTTCGTCTAATACATCTTCGAACTCCGCATAACGCTCACCCAACATCCGGTGGAAAGCTGGTCCATCTTCGATGTGGTTGAAATCAAATGGCTCCCCGGGGCTGAAGATGGTCGCGTGCTTGGAGAAGTAGCCATAATGGGGATTGTACAAGCTGTCTAATACCAAAAACGAGAAATACTGTCAGAAAATAGGTATAGTGCGCACAATCAATACAGGACTTACCGTCAATGAATTCTCTTGTCAACATTTGTACCTGTCGAGGTCTATCTCGCCGGTGCCTTAACTCTTTCGCCGTCACCAACGGGTATGTTTTCAACTCCTCGTCAATATTCTTAGGGTAATCCCCACGCTTCGTCCAGTTCAGGCCATCGTCCGAACTCTTGCGCTTAACCGGGGCGCGACGCGTGATAAACGTTCGGTATTGTGGATGAGGGCGGGATAGACGAAATGTGTGCGACGGGAGTGAAGGGCGGAGGGATTGGCACGCTGGATGGCGGAACAACTGTCGAAACAGATGGTTAAGGACCGGAGAGTCCATTTCGGACAGTCCAGGGGAGAGAAGATTAAGGGTGAAAGGTAGAAGGTTGTCAAAGTTGCAGGGGAATGGCGACGAACGAGCGGAATCTCGATGAAGGATGCGGGCGGAGGTTCTCAGGCGCGTGGCCCGAGCTTTTTCTCCGTCCAGCATAGCTCGAGCTTCATCTTCCAAACATCGACCTCCGACCCATTTCACATGCCTCCTATGGGATCCTGTTCGTGACAACGCATCTACTCATGAAAGACCATTCACACATTTACATTGGGTCCGCCTTCGTGGCCGGTGTCGTTCTCTCAATAGCTTTCAAGGACCTGTTCTACCCTGAGATCGAGGAGCGCATTAGAGAATATCGAGAGAGTCGTCGATCCCAGCCCTCAAAACAACCAGAAGATACTGCGACAGAGTCACTGGTTGCGCGACATGGCCCCCCTGCCATTGTCGAGGGGATTGAGGGCTGTATAGGGAATACTCCTCTCCTCCGAATCAAGTCCTTGTCTGACGCGACTGGGTGCGAAATTCTAGCGAAGGCTGAAGTACGCCACCGTCTAACTGATATATCTATTCCTGTATGTCCGCTTTAAAAGCATATCTAACATCATTCTAGTTTTTAAACGGAGCTGGCCAAAGCTCAAAAGACCGAGTGGCGCTGAGCATGATCGAGATAGTATGTAATCGCCCCATAACGCCCGCACGACAATTTTTAACGTCTGAACGTCATCTAGGCCGAAGAGAGAGGGCTGATGACTCCGCATTCTGGAGATACAGTCTACGAAGGCACGTCTGGCTCTACAGGCATTTCCCTGGCCTCGTTAGCCAGAGCGAAGGGCTATCTTGCCCATATGTATGTGACTTTTCGTGCGCCAACAAAACGTAGCTAACAACCCGCCCAGCTGCATGCCTTCTGACCAAGCAATCGAAAAGTCAAATTTGCTCCTTAAACTGGGCGCAATAGTGGACCGTGTGCCCCCGGCACCCATAGTGGAAAAAGACAATTTCGTCAACCGCGCACGAGCACTTGCACAAGCCCATACTCTTTCCACGGCAACTGAGTCGTCAGACAGTTCTCCTTCCCGGAATGGAAGGGGATACTTCGCAGACCAATTCGAGAATGAGGCAAACTGGAGAGCCCATTTTGCCGGTACCGGTCCTGAGATCTACGCCCAGTGCAATGGCTCTTTGGATGCATTTGTCGCTGGTGCCGGAACTGGAGGCACAATCTCCGGCGTGGCACTGTTTCTCAAGCCAAAGGTCCCTAATTTGACCGTGGTAGTAGCCGACCCCCAAGGCAGTGGGTTGTATAATCGAGTCCGTTACGGCGTGATGTTTGACCCCAAGGAGAAGGAAGGAACTCGTCGCCGGAGACAGGTGGATACTATCGTGGAAGGCATTGGGATCAATCGCGTGACGGCAAATTTCGAAGCGGGCCGAGAGCTCGTTGACGATGCAGTCAGGGTTACGGACGCACAGGCACTGGCAATGGCTAGGTGGCTTGTCGAGAAGGACGGCATCTTTGCCGGAAGTAGCAGTGCTGTCAATTGTGAGTTTTGAGCCTGAAAATCCGCTGTCACATTAACTTACGCCCATGCCTAGGCTTCGCAGCAGTAAAAACGGCTATGAAACTGGGCCCAGGGCACAGAATCGTCACAATGCTGTCTGATTCCGGTTCAAGACATCTTTCGAGGTTCTGGGCTAAAGCTGGGGACGTAGGCGGCGCTGTCGACACCAAGTTGGAGGATGTCCTCAATGCGAAAGACGACCAGTAGCCGCCTGGTTTTGCAATCTTGCATACAGGGGACAGAATCAAACGAAATCTACATGGCATGCTTATGAAACCCAGTTACTTCCTTTTGGTCAGTTTATTCGAGCGCTATGCTAAATACTGTGGCAGCCTGACAGGGTCCTTGATGCACTATCCTAAGACCCTGGTGGTTTGTCCGCATTTGCTTCATTATTGCGCGGGTTACCCAGGGTAAATGTTACAGTATTGTGTGGCACTGGTATCCGCACTATCCTCTGAGCAACGACTGCCAGGCGCCACCCACGCGCAAAATCAGCCCTCTTCACTTCTAGGCTGTGCGAGTGCGCTTGCGCTATCTTGTGAGATGTCACCACCAATCCAAAGTTGCAACAGTTTGAACTCGATCTCCGCAAGCAACCGCCCCGGCATTTCAGCACGGATACCAGGCCAGGTAAGATCTGGTTGATCCTTCAGTCTCTCCAGTTTCTCAAGTTCGGCCTTTGACCAAGGCCCCGAAAGTCGAGGGGGGTTTGCTCTCCTCTGATTCCAATGAAAATGATGCCATGCTTGGATATTGGGGAGTTTCTTTTGCGGGAAGTGATTTAGAATCTCCTTCCATTTCATCCCTTGAACTTGTCTCATGCGGATGATCGACTTAGCTTCGTCCGGCCCAAGGGTTGTCTTCGCACGTTTCCCTGTGGGAGTTGATTCGTTGCTTGCCTCTTGTCCTTTCGGTTCGGATTCCGTTGTTGGTGTGTCTGGAGGACGAACAATAGGTTCTTTCAAAGCTGTGGCGTTCGAAGCCGGTCCAGTAGCGCTGTCATTAGTGTCCTCGCCCAGCTGACGCTTCAGCTCTATCATATCATGTTGGTTATCTGCAGGATCAGAGAGCACGGCCCTCAAATGCGAAACATAATCATCTTCAGAAAATGACTTTTTGCAGTAACCGCACGTATTTTCCCGACCGCTCGCCACCGAGAAGGGGCCCTTGCGCTTCTCTCTGATGTAGACAGAGCCTTTTGGGGTTGGGGATGGCTCATAGTCTTCCTGTAAAGGATCGTCGGATTCACTTCCATCCGGCGCGTCTGCAAATGACCAGTCGCAGACAATAGGCTGAGGATGGTGCTTTTTCTGTTTCTTCGGGCTGTTCTTTCGCTTTCTGTCTTTCACGCCACCGGTGCTCCGCCTGGACGTCCAAGGGAGAGCCCAGATAGAGCCCGCTCCCGGTGGGGATTGAGAGCGTACCGTATTATTACTGTCGAAGGGCTTCGGTTTCGATCGGCTGAGCAGCGTTGGGGTTGGAAACTTCACGTTGATCTCAGGAACACGCCAAATCGGGTCCACAATCTCATCGAGACTCTCAGTACGAGTGGCCTGAGATTGGTCGGATTCCTCGGGTTGGAGATTTGCTTTTTCTTGGACAGCACCTCCGTTACCAGCTTCCCGGATGTGAGGGCCCTTGACAGATAGCGCAGTTCCCAATAGGGAGTCCACACTCGATCTATCGTCTTCAGCCTCCGACGTCGTACCATCCCCATCCTCATCCTCACCCCCATCCCCGTCTATAATTTCCCGCGATCTCCCAGGATCTGGCCGCAAATGTGATAGGATGGATCCCACTCTGTGACCGGAGTGGTCCGCGTCCCTTTCAGGGCCACTATCCTCACCTTCATACGTGTGAAGACGAGCTCGCGCGCCCTCCTCTTCTGCCCCATCCAATGGTTCATTCATCGGAGCCTGTGAATCCGGATCCGATAGCCAGTCCCCAATTGCCCCTGCATTGTCCTCCCCATCGAGGGTATGGATGTGGCCATTATTGACCATGATATCCCCTGTCTGTAGATCAATTTCATCACCGACATCTGTAAAGTCCCGACCGTACTTTTCAAAGATACCTTCGAAAATGGACTTTAAGCGCATGTCGTTTCGAGCACGTGCTTCGTGTAGGTCGACGTCGTTAGATTCATTGTCCTCCGCTGGCGACAGGGAAAGCCGCTTTCTTTTCAATGGCGACTCCATGGTTCGGGGGCGATGAGTGAATGCGCGTTTATGTCTTAGACAGTATGGATATAGTGTGACGGAGGTATGGGTACGGGACAGGACCACGGCCAAGGTAACAGATGAGTGGGAATTTTTTTTTTTTTTTAAAAAAAAAACCCCTATATCAATACTGCACAGTACGTTAGAGGAGAACCAGAGCTAGATTTCTTCGGCGGTGGCTTGAATACCTGTTTGCGACAAACACCGCGGTGGCTGGAAGGATGAAGCGATAACGCCGGCAGTTCTAGTTTATCAGACAAGGAGAAAGATAATTAACAATTGGCTCTCATTTTCGGAGCTTTCTATTCAGCGAGCCATGGTATTGAGAAAGAACCAGCATTGTTGTTGTTCTCAGGATTGAGCTGGATTGTTGCGAAGCAAAGGCGGACACCAAAGCTTTACCTATGCGGAATCGCCGCATGACGTCCCGACCTCCTCCAAGCCCGCATCAACTGCTTAACTCCTTCCACAATTCCCTTCCCTGCCACCAGAATGGCCACAGATCAACCTCCTTAGACAAAATGAACTGCCAGAAATGCCGTACGCCGTTGAAGCTGGATGGCTCTCTCGAGTCGCTTAATCCAGCTGCGTTCGACCTACTTATCGGTAGCCCTCCACCGCCGCTGTCGTGGTAACGGACACAAATTTAACTAATCACGCTTCAATAACAATAGGCTCTACAGGTAAAACCCTACCGGATCATTCGGCTGGCTCGCCTCGCCACTCCTACCCTCAAGAGCGCCGAGAGCTCTACGATCGAGTTTCCAAAAATGCACCCCCGCCGGTATATCGGAGGTCGATCCCCGCACCGCGACAGGTCGGAGGCAATTTGACCACGCCTCCAAGGCTAGGACGAGGAGATAGTGGCAATATGTCGTTTGTTATGCTTACAGATTCCCAACTCAGCCCACCACATACTGTTTCTGGTGTGAACGGGGATAGCGCGTCAAAACGCGCATCCAACATACAGAACGACGACCCTGGTGCCGATAATGGGACCTTTGCAGACCAGATCGAGCGCACAAACCGTCTTTTTGAAATTATTTCGTCTCGTTCTGATATTGACCATCCGATTTGTACTGAATGCACGGAGATGTTAGTGGAAGGCCTCCAACAACGACTTGTGGAGACTACGAAAGAACGGGACGCATACATCACATTTCTAAGAAATTTGAACTCGTCTGTGCCTACCCAGGAGGAGATTGATGCAGCTGAGAAATCCCTCAAGGAGACACTGGAGGCCGAGGAGGTGGCGTTTGCGGAACTCGTTGCCTTGGAGGAAGAGCAGGCCGCCTTAGATGAGGAGATTGCCCAGCTGGAAGAAGAATCACGCGAATTAGATTCCGAAGAGGAAAAGTTCTGGCGCGATCGAAATGCGTTTTCCTTAGTCCTTGCTGATTTCCAGAATGAGCGGGATGCGTTGAATATGAAATATGACCACGATTCTCGGCAGCTTGAAAGACTACAGCGAACCAACGTTTACAATGACGCTTTCTGCATTGGCCATGACGGTTATTTTGGGACAATCAACAGCCTTCGTCTCGGCCGGCTGACAAACCCATCTGTTGAATGGCCGGAAATCAATGCTGCTTGGGGTCAGACAGCTCTACTGCTGGCTACTATAGCGGAGAAACTAAACTTCCAATTTGAAGGGTACCGGCTGAAGCCGATGGGGTCGATGTCCCGAATCGATAAGATCGAGTATCCGCGACTGTCACCGGCACAATCAACAGTCGATGGTGACAATGCAAACTCATCAGCAGCACCAAAAATCACCACCTTGGACTTGTTCTCCTCAGGCGACCTGCCGCTTCATATCCCCTGGCTTCACCGCCGATTTGATGCAGGTATGGTGGCCTTTCTGGATTGTCTACGCCAGCTTGGGGAATTTGTGGAAAATACACCAACACCCGTACGCTCCAATCGCCGAGATCAGGCGGGGCCCGTCGTACCAGGACTGAAATTGCCATATACCATCAAACGGGACAAAATTGGGGACGCCAGTATTAAGCTGGGATTCAACCAGAACGATGAAACTTGGACGCGTGCCTGCAAGTATACCTTAACGTGCTGCAAATTCCTGTTGGCACATGCTAGCAACATTGCTAGCGCAGGCTCGACTAACTCAGCCGCTGTCGCAGCTGCAGCTGTTGCTGCGGGGGAGCACGCTCGACTTGCAACAGCCAGTCCAACCAAGAAATAGAGAGGGCTACGTACATGTGGCTTCTTATCGCACATGCCATCTCACCGACTCTGGGGCCACATCATACCTCCCGATTTTGGCTTTCGGCATGATTGATTAGCCGTTTTCGGGTACCTTGAATTTTGACCCATTGGCCAGCTGCATACAAGTTGGACCCCTGGTTCCCCAGTCAGCAAAGTACTTGTTTTTGTTTTTTTTTTTTTTTTAGCTCACAGGTCCATCGGCCTTTTGGCACTTGAGTTTCGCCCACAAGTACCGTACGAATCGCGCTTGCATATTCTTTGCCCGGTATCCAAGTTGAATTAGCATAGGATTGCTACGTAATGGGCTCCTTGCCCGTGACACCGTGCGTAATCAACAGCACACCGCACGGGGCGATGGACCGTCTCTGAAGAAGGATTCCTTTCCCTTTGTCTTTCTCCGGCTTCCCGTCAGAGCGCCTGTAATTTCGGAGGATCTTGCTTAGAAGGGCATGGGTTGGGAAGGATGATCGAGCTTGGTGGCTATAATTTCAAATATCAAGAGCTAGCGGCGAACACAACACTTCGGAGTCCTGCCCTGTGGCTCTCCTTATAGGCTCATCGTCCTGGCCTGCCTGGGTGATCGAAGGGCAACAGCCGTTGGCGGGAGATCATCATTTAGGCTGTCTTGGACGGAAGTTGGAGGTTGGAACAGTTCAAGTTCAGCAGCAGTCAGACACCAGTAAGCAAGATGCAATGGATCCGATATGCCAGGCTGCTTCAACAACTTTCCCTCTCAATGCTCCTAAATCTGCGTATGCGCCTCACTTGATGATGGCTGGCTCCTATCATCCCACGACCGCGGTCGACTTTCTCGTTAATCAGTTTCTTCCACCATGCTGCGCGTTGACCATCGTTCCACACTCCTGGGGTCCCAGAAAAAGAAATCTAAAGGGGCGAAGGATGGGGCTACCCACAGCAGAACAAAGAGAAAAAACAACAAACAGTCAGATAATGCAGCCACAAATCTTCGGATAGTCTGCGGAACGGATCCATGCCCTCGGGTCTCCCGTTGCGCGAGTCAACGACTCAACCTGCAACCAAGATCTGGAATTCCGGATTTTTTTTTTTTTTTTTTTTGCTGCCATGTTGATCCTACACGTCAACCAAGAATGTTTCGGGCCGCTCCCGACCACACGAGGTGTCTGAGCCAATTAGTCTCTCCTCAATGAAACCAACGATTCTTGTGACCACGTACCACTCCATTTCGTCTCACGATTTTTCGTAATATTCGTGACTGAGGCATGCGTCGGAGCCAACATTCCACCACGAATCACATTCCGGAATGGAGGGGCATCAGATCAGCTCCCCGAGGTCCCGAGACAGCACACAGCCATTCCCAGTGGCTCAGGGCGAAACTTGGAATATTACGGAGGACTCTGGACCAGACAGTCATCGAAGCTCAAGCTCCTGATCTTGTCCAGACATGTGTTGGCTTGGCATTCTTCTCTGGATGCGGTACTTTTGACGCAGATATTCCAGCGAGCGCCTTGAGGTCTTGGTGTCTCGACGAGTGATACTCTTACACTCAGGCTCCGCGATTACCCTTCCAACATCGTTCAAATGCAAAATTCGTAGCATATCAATGGACTCATGGTCGAAACGGATGGTATTGACACGTCAGCCATGAGGACGCTTCCCTGGGAATGTGGCAGCAGGAAACCCGACGCCGCCAGGGCGATTCATTCTTGTGACCTTCTCACAAGTCATCAACCAACCATCCCCATTTTCTAGAACCAGCATAATTTGGAATCATAGAAAGACGCCTGATGATCATTTCTCTGCGCCTCGTCACGTCTGTACGGTGTACTCATTCAAGGGTCTCACTTTCCAGGGCTGAGACTTGGCGAAAGTTTAGATATATAACTAATGCCATCCCTTGCGCCCGATCCAAGTATTCTTCGATGTCCCATCCATTCAACTTGCGATTTAACGGTCAACCGATGAGTGAAAACCCCCACAGGACCAGCGTGCATCTCTGGTTCAGCCCAGAGTCATGAATCCACCATTTCAGGGCACGTTTCTGTTTTTGGCGCAGCGGAGCCATAATTCCATCCTTCATCATCGAGACATGGGCTCCATACGCTCGAAGCGCATGCTATGGAACCCAAGTCCGGGGGAACTGAGTCTAGACGCATACCCCAAACTGACCGCTAGACGAGAGAGAGAACCGCGAATGGCAGAGGAAGTGTCTGTGTAAATTCACAACCCAGGCGGTTTCCTTCCCTTGGACCGATATAGGTCTTGCTTTATGTGGACGACAGAGATCCGACATGCCTCTGCTCTTCCCCAACAAATTCCATATCTGTCAGAAACTGGTCAGTGTCCCGCAACACGGGTCGATTGCTGGAAGCAAGCCGGTTGGTTTGATTCCGCATTATTGGGTATGTGCTACCCAAGGCTGCTGAGTATTTTTATTTTATTTTTTTCGATATTCAATGTGTTTATCTCAGAAGGATCCTCAAACTGATTCAGAGGTGGGTCTACAAAAGCTAAAAACAAGTCGTGCTCTGATACACATCCATCGCATCGCAAATCCAATTAATCAATTCGACCCCTTTTGGCAACGAGGCATGCAGGGGTGCATCTGTTACGAGTTTTTCAGTAGTTCAGTACCTTGGGCCGGATGCAAAAAAGTCACTCCGGAGTTGTCAAAGGCTGGTATTGGCTGGATTCGCGCTGGGGAAAAGGTGGGAAGATTGGCGACGTGGCGGGATGGATGGGGCCCTTTTTTATGATTAAAAAGTTTTTATTTATTTTTTAAGATTAGTGAAAGCTGGAACTCCTTGTGATGCTCCTTAATGGAGACTTGTCCTGGAAGGCGAATTTTATATTGCAGCGGATAACGTCCGGACAGGGCAGGGCTCGCAGTAGCAGAGACGCTGGTGGCCTTGCTAAGTGTTGTTACAGGGCACCGTCTCTGCGGGCCGAAGTTCCCTATCTCTAGCTCCATAGGGAGTTAATCTGAGGTCCATAATAATAAGAGGCAAACGGGTATTATTATCCCGTCCTTGGTCAGTACTTAATATATTGTCAAAAAATAAAAAGGGAAGAAGCACCAGAAAAACAATGGGGTTGGCGCCACTGGCAGAGCTCAGGCCCCTTGGTAACTTTTGTCCACCCCCCCAAGTCCAACTCACCGATTAATCATCGGCCATCTTATGTTAGCCTCTTCGCCGTTGAGATCGTGATGGAAGGACAGCTCAGCCGACAGAGGATGGCCCAAAAAGCACGAAAGCAAATGAGATTGCGGAGCCTTGGGGCAGTGGGTCCGCGAGGCCCGCGGGTGCTCCGGGACCAGATTAGACCCGACCAGATTGACACTGACACTGACAGGCATAGCGAGGAGCCGCAGGAACAACAACGGTGGTGCCGACTGGCCCTCCAGTGCACCTCGGATTATTAAACCAACCAGCTGATCGAGGGTAATATAGCGGGCGACACAGACAGGGCGCGGCGGGAGGTCGTCAACTGAACTGCTGGCTACTGCTGTGCGTCCCCCCCCAAAAAAAAGTACCGACTTCAGGTAGGTGCACCCTTAGGTACATAGTAGGTACTTCGTGCAGATGCTTGCTTCTCTCCTTCCGGGGCAGGAATACTGGACGGCGGTACGCACATCGAGTCATCGAGTCGAACCGTCAGGTAGGCGAGATCTCATTGTCCGATCCCTGTCAATAATATCAAGAATGCTGTCAGACCAGAGGCAAAAAAGAAACGAAAAGCTAAATTCCCAAATCGGAAGAAAAATAAATAAAATAAAACTGACAAAGAAAAAAGAAACGAGCAGTCAAGGGAATCTCCGTCTTGACCGGGCTAGCGAGGAGCGAGATCGTTCAGAGCACTACTAAGCTTGGGATGGTAGGAGTTGGGAAGTTGCACCTGCAGAAATGGCGCACGCTGGGGCTCCTGCACGGTTGGTCGGAGATCATAATATACCTTATTCATGATTTATGATTTGGAAGAGCTGCGCTCGACGAGGTTCAGGCTCCCTGGCGGGGGGCGCGGACGAATAATCCATTCTCGAATATGCTGCCCGCATCGTGCTGGAAGCTGTGATTGTTGCGGGTGTCGCGCAGCGCAGGGACCCAAGGCAGAGCACCAGGACGGACGACGACAAGACGAGAAGTACGAAGCCTGGGGACAAAAGTACACACAGACCTCCTGCAGGCGGGACGTGATTGGTCGGGGAAGCACCCATGAAGCTCTCCAGCAGCAGGTCGCTCCAAAAGGCAGCGCACTAGTCGGGCGAAGTCAGAGACTCAGGCAGACTGTCTCCATTCCTCGTCCACCATCTCCACAACTCACGACTCGTACTTTCTCTAGCGCCCGTCGCTGACTTGTTTCCGGCGGCGAAAAGCGAACCGCCGGTGGTCTCTAGAAGTACGACGAATTGTCGAGGGTGCTTGACGGTTGAATTCCAACTGTCGGCCGCTGTCAGTGGGATGTTTCAGCAGAGAATGTGGAAGAAGAAGAGGCAGAGGCAGAGGCAGAAGCAAATTTGAAAAAGGGAAAAAGAAAATAGCGAGGGCATGCATAACTCGGGTGCTATTATTGACGGCAGGATCTCTGGTGTTATTCTTCGATGTTCTGCTCGCTATTCTCGAAGTGTACTCGCTCTACAATATTAATATTAATAACACTGTCGCTGCCGACGACATCATCGCCAACTGCTACTGCTGCTGGCTGCTGGCTGCTCTTCGTCGTCGTCGTCGTCGTCGTCTGCTCTGCTGCTCTGACCACCTCAACCACGCTGTCTCTCTCTCACTCTCTGACTACATAATAAGTTTCTGTCGCTGCTGTTTCCCCCCCACCTTATTCCTTATTTTAGTTCACTTTCTTCCCCATTCGCCCTTCATCCACGCCTCTACGTCAAGGCTCATCTACACTCGCTGCTGCCGTCACCGTCTCTCCCTCGTGAGGTCTGATCCAGACTATGAGTGACGGTCTACGCTCCGCGAGCCGCTCATGATGGAAGGTTCCATCCCTTCGTCCAGTCTCTCTACTCCTACTCCTACTTCCTCTTCCTCGCCCGCCGCCCCTTCTCTATTTCGTCCGCGCAGATCGGAGGACTGGAACAAGTTCCGTCCCATCATCGAGCAACTCTATCGCGATGATCAGCTGAAACTAAAAGATGTCAAGAGAATCATGGAGCGTAATCACAACTTCGTTGCATCGTCTGTTCTCCCGTTTCTTTTGTTGTCGTCGTTGTGTTCTTGTTTGCCTCGCTGCCCCTCCCCGGGTTTACTGCCCCCAACTTCATATGTTTGCTTCCCCATACCAAACTATACTCGTAATTGCTTGTTTTTTCTCTTCTTCTTATTGTGTTTCACCATCGCTTGCCCTCGCTGTCCCCTTCTCCCGGTAATTGAGGCTGTAATTATCCTAACACTTCTACAGAGAAAAACAATATAAAGACCGCCTAGCGGCCTGGAACATTCGAAAGAACATCAAAGCCAAGGAAGTCAATATCATGATTCGCAAACAGCAGAAGAGGGCTGCGAGGGGCAAGCAAACTGTCTTTCGAGTGGCTGGCCAGAAAGTCGACACCAAACGCATTGCTCGTTTCGTACGAAGATACGGAACGAACTGGGATAACAACGAGCCCCGTCCTGTCGAACCTCAACGAGACAGCCCCGACCCATGTATGTCCTCACGGCCTGTTTCCCCTGGTGTGGCTGTTAACGATGGAACAGCAACTCCTTCGGATATGAGTTACTATACTCCAGAGCCCGACGAACGAGCTACGACGCTGTCTCCTCATCCAGACAATCATGTGAATCCCTGTAAGACTCATTCCCTCAAGCGTCCCAGTGACGCAAGAGTCGTCATTAATCAGGAGAATCATTCAGTTGATAATTTAGATTCTATTCCCGATTCCGAACTTGACGAAACCAAATCCCTTCCAATTACTCTTAGTCCGACCGCCTCAACAAACGATACCCCCAGGCCCATCGAAACGATGTCCCCAATATCCGACGATCCATGGACAGCTCTTGCTAACTTCCAGACTAAGCTTCTGGAGCTCGGGGAAAGGCTCGATAACTCGACGGCCGGGCTCTATCCGGCTGACGAACCCGGCCAGCAGCAACAGCAGCATTGACTATGGGACTGTTGAACAGTCCAGAATACTGCAAAGAAGATATGAATTATTGTCTACCTCGATGGTACAACCAGATTGGAAATCCTCTACTATTCTTTTCTTCCCTTATGTTTGTTTATAGGCCAAAGTCCTACTGCGACCCATTGGTCTGCTATTGCTCTGTAATGTTATCATTTCTATTCGTGAAGGGTCGGTACCTGACACCCCATGACTTCTACCTGATCTTCTTGCCCTTGTTACCCTTTCCAGAATATGTTGATTATAGAGCATGTATGGGCTTTTGAATGTATTTGGAAGACTGGTTGATTGTAGGTTCTGGAAGCAGAAGGACAAAATGATGATGAGATGAAACGAAGATGAGGTTAATTTATTTACCTCTCTACGGTGTACTACTTCATTTGGATGATACCCTTTTATCTAATGGTCTTAACTATAGTATATCCATCCCTCCGCCATCCACACAAAAGCCAAAGCCACCCCCCCCCCGACCCAAGAGCTGTTATCCGAACCAGATCGCATGGCGGTAAACCACCTTCCACCATCATGCGCTCGAAGTTTATATCTGGGCAGTGTTGGGCACCGATTTGGCGGTCTCCAATCGGCCAAGGGTCTAGGTCTTTTGATCGACCTCCACCGAAGATTGTCGCCCCTTGATGGCTGGGAGGAAGGATTGAAAGGATTGACCCGCTGCAACACACCGAATTGCTTTTACACAAGCTTCCACTGGACGGCGACCCAATCCTGGTGCGGATTACAGCCCATCACAACCCGGACTGGCGACATCCCACGATGCAAGCTACAAGAGATTGACGTCCAAGATCTGACAGCCACGACCAGATCTGAAAGCCACAACCTTGTTGCGATTTCCAATGGGCAAAAAACCGGTCAGCCAAGACCCACCATGGCCTGGTTTCTGAATGATAGGTGACAACCCCTTGACTATCATCGTATTGTTGGCTCTGTGTGGCAATATACTTTCGAGTCTCCGACCGCAACACCAAATCAGGCAACAGGGCAGCCTATCAGATCGGATCTGTCCTCAAGTAAGGTTGAGGCATAGACCAACAAACGGGTTGATCAACCCAATGTTCAATCAACCCTGAGGTCCAGTCCGAGGATGCATACAAACACAAGCTGTCGTCGCCAATGGGTTCCAGAAGCAGCACTAAGAATCCAAGGAACAACCACAATAGTAACAAAAAACACTAGCCACCGAACAGTAAACACACTTCAGCGCGAAGACTTGGCCTGTGTTACAAAGATGGAGCTGCAGCGAACACAAGAAAACCGGAGTTAACGATCCTGGAATCCAATGCGAGTTGCGACATCCTGCGCCTCCTTTCCGTCTGGTCGGACAGCTGCATGCAACGAATATTCGTGACACTTTTACTGGCGATGCAGGGCGCACACAACACCAAGACATCCCAACAGCAAGCATGCGGGGAACCTCGACCTACCTTCCCCCATTCGAAGTGCGAGGAGGAGAGGCGGAACCCAGTAGACCAGTCAATCGCGCCCCATGGACGGAATTGAGTTCAGGGACGGGGAGATCGGAAAAAGAAGCCGGCCAAACCTTGTCAGGATAGCGTAACTTTCCACCGACAAAAAGGCCTGGAAACTTGAAGAGATTGAGGTTGAACTCAATAATGTCTTAGATCCCCGCTCGGGAATTCCCGATCGCCAAAACAATGTTTCTCGCGCTCTATTCGAGTGCCACCTCGGTGTTCGTAGCAGTCGGTTGTACACCGGTGAATCTTGGTCGAGCTTCAATTTCTGCTGTTCTTGCCCCCAGCTGTTACTATTTCCGAAGAGGTCGTACAACAGCAATCGAGCCGGCGAACAACCTCGGGACTTCCCCATACCCCTCAAAAGTACTCCAGAAGATGCGACCTTGTGTTTCCCTTCTTCCCCAGGCAGCATTATTAGTTCAAGAGGTGTATAACTGACCTGCGCCCATGTGCGACTACGGGTTTACTTGGTTGCGCCTTCAGCGGCTGCTGTTGTGAATGTGAACATGAATGTGAAAACTGATGATGACAAAGACTGCACTGCCTGAACTCAGTTAACTAACTACTCATCCTGCAGTGCGACTCATCTCATCCAAGAGTCTCAGCCTGGCAGGGGCTGTGAGATGAGACGCAGGATGATGGCGCAAGCAGCCACACCTCTTGATTATACAGTGGGTGGCTGAGAAGTCGGTGGCACGAGATGACGAGAGACTCGGGAGAGGAACAACAATCATAATATCGACACACAATGGAGTTGTGCTGAATAATGGCATTGACTCCTGGGTCTCCGCGAAGAAAACAACAGCACAGGCCGAAGATTTGGCGTTAGTTACAATCGCGCTTCAGGACGAACGATGCAAGTTAATTATCGACATGGACTGATCCAGCTCACTGCCAGGCGGGATTGAAGACCAACAAGGCGGTGTTTCAACATGATTGCAGCTGGGCCTCGAGCCGTTATCTCAGGGTCTATTATTAGGGGGCGAACGGCCCAACTCAGAAGGATTCCCCATCCCCGTTCCACTGCGCATTCCTGTCAACTCTTCAATCACACTCCACTAAATCCACTTTGCACCAAACAACAGCCGCGCTGATTCGAAATGAGGCCAGAGCCTCGAAAAGACCCAGTTGACTTGCAAGAGCTGAATGATGGACTTGAAAGGCCTCTGTTTTGGGTAAAGTGAAGCAGCGCTCAGTGGTCCGTAGCTTGGTCCTAAAATCCTGCAATATGGCTTAGTCCATGATCTAGTGGTTTTAGCGACCCAGCTGCCAGGGTTATTGCTCTCAATTTGTCTGTCGAAAAGTCTTGGGGCTAGCCACAGGCGTTAACCTGCTGCTGCAGGAAATTGGGCTCGCAGTCACGATTCCTTACTCAGTCTCACTCATAATCCGATCTGCAGCCTCCTGGAGTCCTGCAAGTCCCTCCTTGTGTTGACTGTTGACTTCACTTGGAACTTCACCACTAGACGGGAAAGATGCATTGGAATTTCCTCCAGATCATTCCTTTGGTCTTCCTGCCCCTAGTGGAGGCCGAAGGAACAGTACAGGATCTGTGGGAATCACCACAATACCCGGATTACACCACCACCTACACAGCAGGAACCACAATCAAAGCCAGTTGGGATCCGGATCTCGTCACCCAGTTTGCCTACTTCTGTGCAGACTGCGATGTCTCAAATGTAGACCTATGGCTCACGGGGACAAGTTATACTCGCAAGCTTGAGGGTATGTCTTTTCTATTCGTCTAATGGAGTGAGCCAAATCTAATATCCTCGAAGCTGGCGTGGATGTCAACACGACAACAAGCTACGAATGGGCTATCAACCTTGATGACAGCGACATCGAAGCCTCAACAGAATGGACATTCCGCTTCCTTCCCGCTGATGCCTCCTGGGGTAGCAACGACCAGGAAATCTCCTCTGCTAAATTCAACATCGACCCTAGACCTTCTGCCTCATCATCCTCTGCAACACCTTCACCAACGCCCGACCCAACGTCAAAAACTTCAACTCCCAGTGCGCCCGCGGCTACAGAAACGAACTCTACGGACGCTGACCAAGATGATGGCGGCAGTAGCACTCTCTCAACAGGTGCGAAAGCCGGAGTCGGCGTCGGTGTTGGCGCTGGCGGTCTTATTATCATCGCGCTCGCCTTCCTTCTCTGGAGACGTATGAGAGCTCTAAAGGCCAGCAAAGCTGCGGGCCCTGAGACTGTTGGTGGGTACAGCAATATCAACCAATATCCGTCTCCAGGAGATGGGTATTTTGCTCCGCCAAAGACCAAGACTGCACCTCTGGAATCATCTGTTACAGCTAGATCTGTTGCTTTGACCGAGTTGCCTGGAGATGAGAATGCTCGAGAAATGGACGCCGGCAGAGATGCGCAGCGCCCGCCCGTTGAAATGGATGCGAGCACACGTCGTTAGTTGAGTCTACTAGTCAGCCAGTCAACCAAGCCAAAGCAAACCAACTCAAAAATATGCACCGGGAGTGATGGATGACAATGCGGTTACGCCCTCATTATCCAAACCTCGAGGCTGAACCCAATCCTCCGGACTGAACGGAACCGCTTTATACGACATGTGCACGATCTATATGCCATTTTTTTTCCCCCATATTGCTTCTATTTACTCCTTATACGGAGACGCCTAGTTTCGTTTCTGTTCTTTTACCCTGGTGTTACCTTGATATCCGAGCAACTTGCATTCCATATATATAGCACTTCATACATAGCATACTAATTCTCTCTACACTTAGCACCTAAACATGTAAAAAATTGAACAGGGTTTCATCTCCCAACCTCGAGCTTCACCCAAGCAAGAGGAAATCTCCAGCATACCCAACACTTCCCCCATGCCATCCCGCCCAAATTCTCACGGACCACCGGACTCGCCACCACGAGGTAGGAGAGAAGGCGGCCACTTATTCCTTCTCACCCGCAGGTGCTTCAAACTAAACATTAAACTAAGGAAACTGAGACCAATGAGGATCCCTCATTCCTGGAGATTTTCGTCCCCCCACCCCCCCCAAACTGTCTCGAACTCGAAATCGCATTTTGAAACAACCTTGGAAGTCTGAGGAGCAAAGTGCGAGACTCTGCGAGTGCCAGAGCCAGAAAGGACTCCATATTTCGGCCCCCACGACAACTGAGGCAAGTTATCAACGCAATCCTGCACTACGAACAACTAGCTCAACCTAAGCAAAGTCAAAGGAACGGCCTCAAAGATAATCACCCTCACGAGACGACCAATCAGGGGCCAACAGGATGGATGATCGGCTTTTCAGTTTCTCAAGGCCGGATTTAAAATGCTGATAAACTTGATGTTTGTCTGTCGTTCGTTTTCCCTCGACGAGACACGGGTGTGGCTTGTGAGTCGCTAACTATACAGGTCTAGTGACCAGTCAGGTGTCTTGTTTATCTCCTCGAGGGAGCTCAATGCGGGAACTAGGAATATATTAGTCAGCCCCTGGGACGTGGGTTGGGTAATTTATACGCGGTGTACGAACGCGGGCACCCCAACCGACATGGGCAGACCGGCAACTTTTCCGAGCCGAGCCGAGGTTCTACAAACACTTTACGTTTCAAGAGGACCAGTATAGGTGATATAGAGTCACTCTCAGGAAAGAAAGGAGACAGCAACCGGTTGTTTGTCGACTATGCGTGTGTACATACAGTTTAAACTACACGAATAAGCCCAAGTATGGATGGAGACTGTCAATCATCACTCCCGCCCCGGGTGATCAACTAACTGCTTATGCATACCGGTTTGCGGATAACTACATTGCATGGCCCAAAACTTAGGGCAAATCCAGCCACCCCCGGGCCGTCACCCGTGCTCTCTGCGCGGCAGCTTCAGGCTTGTCGCGTCAATCAGTGGGTAACGAACTACGTACCAACTGGAGTATGGAACTATGGATGGGGTGAGTTGCGACTGCCAGTGCCAGTGTAAGCATCGGACTTCGCAACATCCGAGGGGTTGCTGACAGTTGACTTGCATTATTGCGAGTCATAGACGTGAGTCGGGACTCGGGACACGAGCCGAAGTACTCCCCGCTCCTCATACGTAGCTATGGAGGAGATTATGGAGTAGGCATCCGAGTCCCGTCCCGGCAGGACTATCTCGGGGAGGAAAGGGGAATATCGGTAAGAGATCTAGACTCCATTTTTATTCAGTGCATTATATTTCTGCGCACGTCATAGCCAGAGAGATGGACGTCTACCTAAAAGAATACTTGGAAGGAGTAGACTTGAAATCCCCAATATGATTTTGGATACAAGCGATGTCTAGCATTGGATATCATATAGTCACTGATAAGATAAAAAGACGAAAAATAAGAAATGTTGTGTACACGCCGCTGAAACAAAGAATAAAGAAAACGAGTTCCGAAAGTCCGATTAGAAGCGACATATTTACCCAGTCAATTCGTGGGCCATGTTCGTAATAAATCCGGGTAAAGCTGGATGAGAAATTTGAAAAAGAGGAGAGAGGAGAGGACAACCGTTTATGAGTAGAAAGCGCTCTTTTGGAAACTCTCCGACGGGATGTCGCCCATCTTGCTCTTCAGCTCGGGCTTCTGTTCCGGGGCAGGTGTCTCCGCGGTGACACGCGCCTGCATTGTGTTGCTACGGCTGCCAGCCTCACTGCCAGACGTGATTGCTTGCTGCTGCGGCTTGCGCTGGATCGTCTCCAGATACGGGCCCGGGAGATAGCCGACACGACCGTCTCGGGCGCGGCAGCGCCACCATTCCGATGCGTTGCCCATCGGGTCGGACTTGCTGAGCACGGCGACAATGTCGCCCTTGTTCACTGCTAGATCGATTCCATTGCTCTCTTGTGACTCGGGAGTGTAGTCATAAAGCACTCGGCAGAAGTCGAGCTTCGCCGGGTCTAGAGCCGCCTGCGTAGGCTCGCCGTTGGGGCCAACCATCATCTTCTGGCGCTGTTCCTCTTGCGAACGTGCAAGAGACTTGATCAACTTGCCCATCAGATACGGAAGACCGAAAAGAGCAACCAGGAACATTAGGAATGGCTTCCTTGATGGCTTAGGTGGTGCTGGTGAGCCATCTGGAAGTGATGAACGGCCACCCATGAATGCAGCAAAGGCTGCCGGTGTGAGAGCGGTGGCATCTGCAGGTGGCGGGCGACCGGTGATTTTCGCAATCAACGTTCTAAACCATCTTATTATTGTGAAAATTCCCAGGGCGGAGCCGAGAGTGTTGCGCAGGTTTCCGAACTGCTCAGCGACCGAAACCATGGCTATAGACAATTAGTTTCCGAATCCAATTCTAGCGATCGGGAAAGGACATCATCAAACTCACCGAAAAACGAGCTATGTGTCGCCATATATGTGCTTTCAAGCATCTGTGCGAATCCACCAAAGGCCCCGACAATACTCTCGATCATCTGGAAGGTAGCCTGGGTACTTTGGCCGAAAGAATTCGTCAAACTGTTGGGATCATTGGGATCACCGGGCATGCCGCCGCCGTACATCCCTCCCATACCGCCCATGCCACCATACATGCCTCCCATACCACCCATACCTCCATAGCCACCATAGCCACCGTACATCGAACCCATCGACCCCATGCCGCCGAAACGAGAGTATGGGGATGAGTAGCTGCTGTAACCGCCGATTCCTCCGTACGGAGAAGCTCCAAATCGAGAGCCTCCGTATGGGGAGTAATTTGAGGCGTTTTGGTTCGCCACGGTGCTGAGTGTGCTAGGTCGGGAAGGTAAAGAGGGGGCGGCGGCGGTGGTTGCGCTTGTTGTGGAGGTGGCTGCGGTCGGGGTCGCAGCCGAAGTTGTCGCTGGGGTCATGGCAGAAGATGTCGTTGCGGGCGACGACGAAACAGCGCCTAGTTGAGGCTCATGAGAAGGGGTTCCTCTTTTAAAAAACAAATCAAGGGGAGGGAGGGCCATTCTTCATTCACTTACCGGCAGCAGCGCCGGCTCTCTCCCACGGCTTGGGTGGCGAGACAGACGCCATGGGAAACACGAGCGAAAACTCAGTGCCGCATCAGTTGGATCCAGAAAGGACGAGACCAACCCCAAGGGCTTTTCAGATTCAGAGCCTCCTGAGATCGCGAGATCGATTTTAAAACCTGGGTCTGGGGATGAAAGCGTGGAGAGAGGAATCGGACAGATGAAGGCGACGAGGGAACGTGACAAAGCCGACCAGGCAGTGGAGCAGTTTGTGGTTGGTCGATGGCAAAACGCATGTGGCCGGAAGTGCCGAGGCTCCGAGGGCCTCCACGGTTGCCGACGGCGAACCCCGTACTCTCTGCAATATACTCTCCTATTCTAACTTATAGGTGGCAAAAGCTTGAAGTAAAATAATGTCATCATGCTAGTGCGCATGGTCATAGATATGGAACATCTCTATCATGTTATATACAGTTCGTGTAATGCAATAGCCCGCACAACTCCAACCCAACGCCAGATCCGAATAATACAATCCCAGTGCCACTATTATTAACTTATCATTTATTACAATTCCTCGTGCGTTTCAACCACACGTCGTTGCTTTGGGAGTTGGATTCTCCAAGTTCGTGGTGGTACCGGAAGACCCAGCCAGTAGGCCCAGAGGCGGTTAACCTCGAGAACTCCAAGTTCCCAGCTATAGAATACAGTTAGGAAAAAAAAAAAAAAAGCACACTTTACCGACGTCCTCGACTTTGGGGGAACACTTACAATGTCCAGGGGATATTGTACCAGCTCTTGAGAATGAAGAGAGCAGTATCCCGTACCACGCCGAACTCAGCCTTGACGCTCTCCATGATCGTTTCGTCCTTGCGCCTTACGCGGGTGCGCTCCCAAGGGCGATCTTTGACGATGTACTGATAATCATCATCGGTGCCTCCTTCGTAGTAGAAAGTTGAGCCACCGTCTTTGACTAGACGCCGAACTGTCTGACCCTTGTGACCCTTCAGTGCTCCCGAGCCTGCAGCGATAGCGAAGACTTGACCATCCGTAACATCCATGGCGCGGTGGAAGCTTCGAACTGCAGCAATACTGTGGGAAATGCGGCCCAGAGTGTTGATCAGAGCTACCAGTTCAGTTCGGCGCAGAGGAGGGTTTTCGCCATTCTTCGTCTCGTCGTACTCAAAAAGAACCTTCAGTGCGGTGCCGTAGCCGTTGACCTGGAGCTTACCCCAAAGTCGACATTTGTCGCATCCGACACAGTCCATCAGTCGGCTCACATTTCGGAATCGGTTCCGGAAATCTTCCTTGAGGTCTAGAGCGTTGGGGTCTTGGAACATGACGTTCTCGTCGAAGATCTGGGGACGTTCCGCAAGAGTAGATGTTAGGAGCGACATCTTCTCTTTGGTCTCTCGGTCCTGTACCGGGTCGCCGAGACAGTACGTGTAGCCCTCAAGATGCTTCCGTAGCTTAGACACCGCACGAGATACCAAGGCATAGTTGAAGTAAAGGTTCGAGATGCGCTCTGGGTGATTGTGGATCCGTTCCTCGAAACATTGAAGGTTGGGATGCCACTGTCCAGTTGTCTGGTTGAGGTAATCCCAGCATAGATGTGTTGAGATAGACGCATGCATTCCGCTAATGAGACGGTGGAAGACCCGCTTCTCAACACACTCATTATCCAGCGGCAACAATTCAGGCCGTTTCAATTCCTTCTCGAGCACGTTTCGGAAATCCTGCACAGCCTGAAGCCCGCCAGCCTGAAGTCCACCACCAAACCCACCCATCGGAGAGAAGGAGGACTGTTCAAGTTCCGGAGTCGGCTTCACAAAACAGTTCTCACGGTAGATGGCGTCCCAGACTTGATGCGCACCAGCTCCAGCGTACCCCGTGAATCGCTCCGGGTTGTCCGCCAAGCTGACATAGTCACCCTTTCCACTAGCCCCCTCGTCCTCAGGAACACAGTAGTCCCGCTCATCGCACTCATCATCGTACTCGACCACGCAACTTTCCCCAACGTTCTCTCCCAGCATTCCCTGCAGCGGCCGATCCCGTGGCCTCTCATGTTGTTGCTTACGGCCCGGATGACCGGCCTTGGGGCCCTCAAGTTTACTCAGCTCCTCCGCGCGCCACGTCAACGGAATATCCTCTTCCGAGTCTATAGTATTCACCGCGCATGCGATATTACCGCACATGCTCTCGGAATCTGACCAGAACGGACATACTTTGTTGAAGAGGTTGAGACGGTAGTATGAGAAGAAGTCTGTTTCTTGCGTAATGGACTGGAGGAGGCTGTAAACTTGGTCGTTGATGGAATCGACTGTGTGGTAGGAAACGCAGGCGTCCGAAACCATGGATTTGGGGTCGATCTGGGGGAAACAAGATTATTAGACCTTGCGGGTTTCACTTTGGTGGAGAGAGAGGGTGTAGCTTACCGCGCAAGTGTCATAGCTGTGGTAGTGCTGATCAGCACCGGCCAGGCTCATGAAGCCGAATACAGCCAGGTAGAATATTTTCGCCGCTGCGCGCATTTTGTCGGCTGTGATAAAGCGCACGGGGACGATCTCGGTATGATGGGGGGAGAGTACTATCTTGTACTATCTCCAATCGAGGCACCAAGTATTGAAACGAGCGAGGGACCCTGATAGTTGTGGCTGTGGCTTCACGTGAAAAAAAAAGAATGGCAGTAGCTCAGAACGTGGCCACAGGGGTCCAGAGGGTTCGTTGAGTATCTAATATCAAAAAGCAAGTTGCATTGGCAGTTGCGATGGTTTGAAAGGGAAGAGAAAAAAGTCAGCGGCGAAAGTATGAAGAAGTGGCAGCTCGAAAGTGGACAAGCTGTCCTTGGTGGCGGAGTCTTGTATGGGGAGACCGAAGGATCATCCGATCGCTTTTCTTATTGAGAGACGGACGATTTCTTGGCGACTTATTGATCAGTTCATCTCCCACTCGTTAGAGACCACGGACCACTCGCTATTGACGCAAAATAGCAAATTAGCACTCTATCCGAAGCAGCAACAGTCCCATCCGTCGCTCTCAGACAGTCGGCGTCTCTCCGCCATATCCGACGCCATTATTAATCAACGTGAAAAATGGCCCCTTCACTAATGGCCGTACAAGAACATTCCCTAACTTTCCCTGGTTTCGCCCTTCATCAGTCAATTCAGACACTTGTCCTTTTTACCTCGATCCTGCTGCGGACCGCTTATCCGCAGGACCCTCCGGCTTACCCTTTTGACTGGATTAAATACGTTGGCACTACGCCGGTTCTTAGTATCCGTATTCCATTGGAAATGTCGGAAGAGGCCGGTCAGGCCACCAGGTCCTCCAAAGACCCAAACGGGACGCCCAGCCAGGACTCAACTAGTACTTGGGTGAGTTGATTTGGGTCAACTCAACAGGATGCCCGTTACGATCGTCCGCCTTACATCATGCGGTCAGCATGGCAGTGGAAGATCCACACGGGTGTGACGCGTTATATGCAAAGCACCAGTAGACCGCACGAGATTTGACAACCCCAGATAAATTCAATAATCAACGTTTCTCAGAATAGATAGGAGTCTGGGACTCTGGGCGATGCACGGGGCACAGTCTGACGACGTACACATTCCTGAGCTTCTTGGCCAGGGTGCTGCTCCTAACATACGTAGTGACTAGACTCCCTAGATTCGGAATTTTTGGGTACCTGGACAGACTACAATGTGCATCCCTCGCTGCGTAAAAAGTTAAAAAGGGTTAACCCCTCAATCGCCAGCATCGATTGGCAATAAATATGCAGTCAAATCGATAATTGAAAAAGCACTTCGGAGCATTCTGCTCAGTTCAAGGTCTTCATTCGCTCGTGGCAAAAGAATGCATTGGGAGATATGCTCCGTTCGTACTCCAGGCCACAAAGTTACAGTATACGCGTACCAAAGGTTACAAGAATGTAAATATTAAACTCAATATATATAATAGTCTAAATAAACTCCTTCAACTCCTTGCAAACTGGGTATTGGAGCCACTAGGTGACTCGAGAAGATAGAAAAGAAAAACCGCGCAGACTGACAGAAAAAGAGTCAGCCTTTAGACGGAGACCCTGTGCTTCCGTCGAAAAACGTTCCGTATCGGAGCAAAGGGCTTTGCAGGAGTGTTGTAAAAAGGATCGTTTCTGAAATCTTCATCCGTGAATTTCTAGGGGTCCGTTAGTCTGCGCTCTGATATCAAACAAGGGTTAATCTAGGAGTCTTACGAATGGTGGAAGGCGGGAAAAGTTTCCAGCGTCACTCATCATATTGTAACCTTCCTCGTAATCATAAGTCTGGCCTTCTTGATCGGTATGCCCGGGAGGGAAGTAAGCAACCCCGTCAAGAGGGCGCTGGCTGTTGAGGGAGTCGGCGATTTTGTGGTATGGAGTTGCTCTGAGGGCCTCTGCGTTAGACTCTCGAAGGGCCTCAATAGGGCTTTCCTGCGTATTCCTGTTGCGCTCAGGATAGACAGCATCGTATGGCCCCTCGTGGTGATAAGAGAACAAGGCTGCGGAGTCTAAGCGGTCGATGATATCGGGGCTGACGATTTGGGAGTGGCGAAGTTTGCGCCCAGAGCGACGCCTTCCACGGCGGTGATGAGGAGCCTCATACATAATGTCATCGTAATCCGGAGGTGGGATTGGAGATGAGCGTCTATAGCTCATAGAGGACCGGGTGGGGGATGGTGAAAGAAATCGTTGGTAGGGATTGTTACTGCCCAACGACGAGTTGGAATCCATGCTCATTCTGGGGCTGCGAGCCCCAGGGTACATGGGATACGATTGATAGTGATCCATTGAATGCCGATACATCTTTCCTCTTTCAAGTTGAGAAGGGGGGAGCCGAATAATATAGTAAAACAGTCGATCTCTTTGGAGTCTCGGGGCACAGAGGAAGTCTGTAAGGAGTAAGTGGGAGGTGATAATGGGAGAGACTAGCGATGCCTTACGTACCGTTTAAGAACGGGATGGTGGGGCCTCCGTGGTTATTGATGTAAGGAAGTATATAGACCAGATGTGTCACTTGTGATGGCAGCCTGACAGGTCGGTTGGAAGTTGGAGAGTGAAAAGGAGGAATTTAGAGTCGCGGGGAGCCATTACGATGATAAATAACCGGGGCAGGCCCAAAATAGAGACCAACGACATACTTCTCACAGTGCTCTCTCACGGTCATCGCCTCTGGGCTGTGTGAGTGACGTGAGAGACTCCAGGCTGACGCACGATGGGCTCCGCTCTGGCCAAGGTGTTTATCGATAAGGACCCAACTTTCCCTATTCGGGCGTAGTTCCTATCCCGTTCAGGCATAGATCGCGGATCTCACGGGAGCGCTAGACTCCTTCGGTTGCATTGGGCCCTGACGATGATGAATAGATGGAGATGATTTCCCCCTCCTTCTGGTCCTTCGATGGCCTTCGACTCGAATCGGGGCCGAGAACTGCATCACTACAAATCATTTACACCTCTTGGCCAGTGCCAGTCTTTCCACCCGAGTATTGTCGGCAGAGAAGGCCTCTTTCGAGTCGCAATTCCGTCAGCTGACTCGCCCACTGCGCCTGAGCGCCACGCAGCTGATGGAATGCTGTACAAAGGCAACATTTATTTTGGGGGGCGAGGGGTAGCTTTTCTTTTGGGAAATTCTGCGCGGCCTTCATCTTGCCAAGCAGCTCGCACAGATAAAGTCCGCCCTTCATCAAGGCGACAGGGTTTTGGAAACCGAACTTCGCTTTAATTTTAAGATTAACCTTTGGATAGTCTGCAACGACGGCCTCGATCTGGCCTGAACTCCCCCGGGCCCGGCCAGCCTTACACGCTTCCCAATCGGGTTAAGCTCGGTTCTCGCTCCACCAACCCAGGGACTTAGTCTGGCCCTGAATGACGACGACATTATTCTAGACTACCACAGCACATTTGCAAGCCTTCGAGGTACATGATCTCATTCTTTGTCGTAGATGAGGCCGAATCAACCAACTGTCCTCAATCGAGCCCTCGTAATACTCGATGAAGCTATGGTCGCCAGGTCTAAAGGTGTCGGGAAGTATACCCTCGGAGTCAGTTCGTCTCGCAGGCGCAAAGGGGCCATTAGCAAGGAAAATCTCCTATTTGTAAATCAGGTACAGGGGGGTTACCTAGTAACTTACCCAGTACTGTTGAGGTTGGAGTCTAGTGGAATGGGGATATTACTGAGGTCATATAGTCTTTCCACCCCAACCCCAGAATATTCAAATCCACTCATAGGTGACATCTGAAATGATCCCAAATGCTCGACATGGTCATTCATTCAAAAACAAATAAAATAAAATGGAAATACCACGGGGGTACCCTGCAGGCATGCGAACACGCGATGTCGAGCCTTGACAAGTTTCTATATTAGTAAAGGACTCAGTCATAACGCAGGGGTTGGTATAGCGAGCAGCGTGGATACAACCTGGGCGAGCTTCATTGTGTTCAACCCAGCAGTGACATTATACCATGATGACCGCTGTTAGTTCTCCATAACAAAGAATATTGGGACGGGATTCAAGAAGTATAGGAGGGTCGGCGAGCCCAAAATTCAAAACTTGCTTTGAGCATATCGGCTTGAGATACACCAAATCTGTGAACACGCCTCTGCCATGTGTACTCCCGTACCTGGTACTAAGGTAACTTTCTGGCCTCCATCTGGAACGCGACTTGTGGGGCTTCGCTCGCGCACATGCCTTGTATCAATGACACCAAGGCATAATAAGTCTATCCTATAGAGCAACCTGACTGGGATTTGACACAACATATGCAATGGCATTAGGATACTCCAATACAACCCATTCATTAAGTTGTTCTGGTACATACGACCACAGGGTGTGGAAAACAGGGCTTCCCGTCCGCTCAGCCGTACTTAAGCCACACGCCGGCTGGTTAGTAGTATGGTGGGTGACCACATGCGAATCCCAGCTGTTGTATGTTTTTTGACCACTTTTTTTCAATCCCCCGATTAATCTTGTTATTTATTGACGTGGACCAACTTTGAAGCTATTGTCTAAAATTCGATTGATTTTATTACTCTTTAACTGATGACAGGCAAGAAATGGTTCCGATGAGCAAAACAGCCACGTGACCAGTATACACCCATTTTGGCTGTCGATTGGGCCCAAGCTAAAGCCAACGGAACTGCCAGTTGCAGGTGGCATGATGTTCTGCCTTGGCATGATTCATGGCTCTGGTGCAATATTCTGATTCCGAATCGGACTCAGGGCAAGAAGGTCCTCCCAGAAAAATAAATAAACAAAGAGAGGACACATCAGCCCGTAAACCGGCTTCATCGCTTCCGCCACTGCCTGCGTCTTTCCACGACTTATATGCTTCTAGCACGAGAGTCAGTGTGAGGGACGATCCGAGCCTTCATGGTGGTCGCAAGAGAGCAATTCCCCATGTCGAGGGGAACTGGCCAACTCATATATACCTTGAATGTGCGTCGTCCATGCCAGTTTGTTATGTCCGCCTACTGACCAGAAGTTGTAGGGTACCCGTCGAAAGATGAGCTCAGGATCCTGAGCAACATCATTAAACAAGCTGGAGGTATGCTTCAAGGAGAGCGGGCAGAGATCCATAGCTTCTTGCATAGTGACCTGGGAGCACAACTTCCCCTGCATATCAGCCTTTCGCGGCCGGTTGTTCTTCGAACCGAACAGAGACGGCCATTTATGGAGATGTTCGAATCTGCGTTTGAGAAGTCTGGTTTATCGCCGTCAGTAATCTGTTGCTTCTCATATGCTATATAACTTGCACTGACTTTCCCGAACAGTTTCAATGTCCAGGTCGACAGTCTGGACTGGGTTTCCAATTTCGAGAAGACACGATGGTTTTACGTGCTGCGAGCAAAACGACCTGATAAGGACTACCTGAACCATCTCTTACATATCTCAAATCGTACACTTGCGCTTTTTGGCCAACCGCCACTTTACGAACCTGCGTCAGATCTTTCAAAATATAGCGGAGCGCAACAAGACAGCAAATCTAATTTAGCTGCCGACTATACTGGGTGTTTCCATATCTCCATTGCGTGGAGTCTGACGGAGCCATCTACCGATGAAAGGGAACGCATGAAGAACATAGACTTTCAGGAGCTCATTGCTCTTAATATCAATTTTGATTGCGTGAAGGCTAAGATAGGCAACAATGTCTCAAGTATACCACTTTAATGAGAGTGCTTCACAGGCGAGAAATGTTATATGGGGTAAATATCCAACAAAACATTATATATCTGCCTCATTTGTGTTTCAGAAACGAGAACGAGCACCTGAACTGCAATGGACTTGATGCGGGCAGCTGGGCATGTAGAGGCCTGCAAACTTTTGCTCTTTGCTTCCCTCAGCACACGAAACACCAAGTTACTGTAGGATAATTTTATATATACTATGAGTTCACAACTAGATTGTAGCTCACACACTTAGTATCATTATCTTAATGGACATAGTATTCTGTTAACCATTATCTCAGTCTGTTCTATGGTTCGGTAATCAGTAGTGTATTAATACCGTAATATTACATATAAATCATGAGCAACGACGCGCTTCGACCTGTTCCGTTTCTCTTCCCCTCCACCAACGCGTCGGACGAGGCTATTCGTTCGCCAGCGTTGACCTGCAACTTGGGCTTCTTCACGAGGAAAAATGTCTCAAATGCATGTTCCCCCCGTAGCTTTTGTGAGTTGCCTGCTAATATCTTTCCACGCCCCTTTAGCTAACTCAGCACTAGGAAGACCTCCAGGCTTTCCAAGCGAAGCATTTCCCGGATACTATCAAGCCTCCGCCAGTTCACCCCGCCGTGAACCAGACTGGTTCTAATACTGCCTACCAGAAAAGCCACGATACCAGTGCCGAAGATGACTTGGGCTACTACCCCGACGGGGTAAAACGCACGCTCACGGACGAACAAATCCGCATTTTTCGACACAGTGAGATCCACGCGCTTCTGCGGGAGAGGCAGATAAAGGCCGAGAATGAGGAGTATGAGCGGAAGTTTGGAGACAAGGCTCAGACGGGGCCTGATGATCAAGATGCTCAAGGAATTTCAGAAAAGAGTATTGAGTCCGTCTCTGATGGCGACCAGGCTGAGCTTGACGCTAAGGCTGTAGCCGGCAAGAAACGCGCTGTGGATGAGCCTGGGTCTAGTCAGCCGGTTGCGAAAAAGCAGTCGACTGTCCCCGCGGATGTGTATTTGGATTATAATGAGGATGAGGCTAGTGTTGCTGCCCGGTCTAGTCATGGACGGACGGCTGCTCCTCCGTTCGCCGGGCGGAGAATCATCTCGTACGACGACTGAATGCGGGCTTTGAAAGATCCGGACTTCGGCCATAATTTGACTATTTAATGGTCGGTGCCGCGGTGAGTTTTCTTTTTCTTTTCTTTTTTTCCCCTTGATATCTCAATATTATATGATGAAATCATCGTATCAGTCATCCTTAGTCGGAACGCCATACCATGTAGCACATGTGTGAGGCTTTGACGACTTCAATCTTCTCTCTGAGCCAATTGTTTCTACTGAGCTTCTACTCGAAAGGTGGTGGAGATCGTGTACTAACCATCCCATTGAAGTCTAGCAGACCTCGTTCTATCTATACTCAGTCGTTGAACTGCACGACGTCATGAACGCTAACAGCATATATACTTGTACGTGACTGCACCTGTTGGAAAAGATATTTGGTTAACGTGACCCAGATGATGGCAAGACCGGCCGATAACATTTTCCAGGTGCCTATTGTTATCCTGTTAAGTCAGTTGTATCCGGCCCTGTTTCGGAACCAGGGCCCAGAAGATAGTCATGCCGACCAGCAAGCCTATCATTATCGGCTGGAGGACCTCGACACCAGCGCGAGAAGCTATCGCACCGGTCAAGAACGGGAATGCAGCACACCCTGCTGATCCGAAGCTGGCAGTGAAACCTGGGCGGGTGTTAGATTATCGATTACCTGATCGGCGGTATTTGACTGCGAGGAATAACATACCGATCGCCCCGAGATGCAATTCTCGTGGAATAACTTGGGTGATGACATAAAGTCCCACCGGGTAGAAAGGGCCGATGAAAAATCCTGCGTGAAATCAAGGTCAGATATCTATCCAGTTGTTGTACTGCCGGCTACATACCTAGCAAACAAACCGAGATGGCATTGATCAGGATGCTCGGAATAAGCCAGAACATAAGCTGGAATATAACTGCCAGCTTTATGTATATGAAAACCATGCGTCTCTCACCAAATCGGTGTGTCACGTCTGCCAGGGCAATTCGACCTAACGTAAAGCCACACCAGAAGATGGATGCAACGTAACCAACCTTCTCGGGTTCTCCATGCCGCACCGCAACTAGGAACTGAACGATCCATCCTGCAACGGTCATTAGCAGTTACTTCAGAATAGGCGTCATGCAGGGGTAGAGAGGGCAAGGTCTATCCTACCGCCAAGGGTAATCTCAGCTCCAGAATAAAGGAAGAAAAACATAGTAAGAAACCAAAGCGACCGATGCGAAAGTGTCTCCCGCAGTTCTCGGCCCGGCGTCCCCTTCGCACCAGGATCATTCGGCCTAAACAAGCCATGGCGGAAGGTCCAAACGTTGAATAGAATGTTGATCACACCTAGAATAAGCGAAATGAGGTAGTAAAGCTGCCATCTCGGCGTGTGCGCAGCAATGGGATTCGCAATAAGCGGAGCTAAGATGGTGCCCAGCCCATAGACAGCATGGAGCACACCTAGCCAGCGGTGCGAGTTGCGGACAGTGACGGTGAAGCTATTCGCCTGGGCATCGGCGAGCCCCAGACCGAAACCCGTGAATACGAATGCGACCAGGAAGAAAGGGAACGAGGGAGCCCAGAACATAAGTGCGTAGCCGGTGCATTGGAATGCGACGCCGAGGACGAGCGTGCCGCCCGTTCCTAGATGCGAGCAGATGTGGATGTTGGCAAAGGATGCGGTGAAGCCACCGGCGAAGTTGACAAGGTAGATGTATGATATCTCGAGGAGGCCGATGTGAAACCAGGGCTGGATGTAGGGAATTAGAGGCCCGAGTGCGGCATCTGGGGGGTTTCAGTCAGATCAGTTGGACAAGCATGAATGATGCATGAAGTTCATACCGTTGAATCCGGCGCACAGAATCGAGAAGTTCGTGCTGATGATCTTGCTGTATACTTCCCGCGCATCTCTGTGAGTCACCTTGGATGGCGCGGAATCCGAATCTTCGTCGTCGTCGTCGTCCGGTGTTGTAGCACTCTCCAAGTATGGAGGGGGATCATCGTACTCGTACTCTGATGATTGAGTCATGCTCGAAACGGATTGTGCAATTAAACAACTCTCAGCGGTAGGTGTGAGCAGAATTCAGACACTCGCACCCAGGACAGCGACAGCTCTTATCAATTCGAGAGCTGCATTGATTGAGCCGTTGAGCTCCAACGCAACGGTCGGAGGGGTAACCCTGTCTCATGTAAGCCAAGAATGAACGGCGGAGCGCCGATGATCTGCCGTTGGCGAGAGATGGCATCCAAACCGCGATGAAAGGCTGCCCTCCATTGGGGCCCAGGCCTATAGTTACGGAAAATTCACGGACCAACCGTGTGATCGCCTCGTAAACGTTTTGTTGTGGTTTCACAGGGTTGTCGGGAGACCGGGTCACAGACTCAGACTCTCGGACCGCAGAGCGTTACGGCGTCACATTGCGCTTCGAGTCGTGGGGGGGGGGGGGGGGGGGGGGGGGGGGGGGGTAAGCTGCATTGTTCAGCTCCAACATCCTGGAACCCCGCAGCGACCCCTCTGTGACTGCATTGATCATGCATGCGCTCCTTGTCTGAAATGGTCAGCTCCGTCTCGCTCCGGTTTTCTGTTTGGGAGTTTCTACGACGATGGACGATGGGCTTAGTAGACACTCGTAAGTGTTGCTATATGGCTTGAGGTGGCAGCTGGGAACACGAGGACATGGGATGTCCTTGATTTGGCCTTGCATCCGGCTTTTTCCGTCCTTCCAGCGATAAATCCAGCTTATCTTGGAGATGAGTTGTGTAAATGAGTCTGCGGTAATCTGAAAGCCGCCTCAACCGAAAGCTATAATTGAAAGTACGTACTATACGCCTGCTATCCACCCCGATAGCTTTAAGAACCTTAAAATAACCTGAGTTATGCCCGAAACAGTAATGTTCATAACCGAGAATTTTTATGTTCACAACTCCATACAAATCTGGGGCGGGTTCGAACAGAAGCCTTCCAGAAGCCGTCCCGTGCCGGCCTCGGAGTTGCCTCCTTGCTCCGGGGAAGGAAGAATCGCCCAATTCTCGAGTGACCAGGATGCAAGCCACAATTTTAATTCCCGAGCTTGATCAGCCTGACCAATAATGCAGCTTCGCTCTGACTGCCGATCGCAGTCTGTAGTTCTCGAGCTCTATACACAGCCCTATACCACAGGAGCCTCACGATGCCTGCTGGAAGACTTGATACTTCCGCCTCCCAAATTAATAATGAACGGCCGGTGAGTTGCTGTCGTTCCCCGGCATCGGAGGCGTTGAAGAAAATTTCCCCAGTTTCTTGAAATTTCTGTTACGTCGCGGTTCGCCATTCGTGGCAGCGGCCCACCCGGACCACCTGATGGCCGCGATCTCGTCCCAGTGGCGGAGACGAGGTTTCATTCGGTGTCCTGGTCCAGTCAGGGCAGGCTCTTGACCGGGGACTATATGCCGTCCTGAACTTTCAACGCTTAAGCTTCATCGGTGGCTGCCGACTATTCCTCTCCTTCTCCCACCTGTCACCTTCTCTTCTCCATCTCCCCGTATACCCAGGTCGACGGCCGACTCGCCTTCTTTCCCTCGCTGCCCGCTCTCTTACTTTTGTTGGGTCGTTCTCTCACTACGCCGTGTCGATCCTTTTTCATCAGTCGCCTCTCACATCGATCTCAAATGACTCAAAACACGTCGGACTTTCCGGCTCCCTACGGCCAGGACGCGTCGGGCCCAGAGAAAAACCTCGCTGCCGACGAGGCCTCGTTTGGCAATGACGAAAAGAAGGGCATCACCCCTCCGTATGCGCAAGACGCCTTTGGTGAAGAAGAGTTCGCGGAAGTCAAATACAAAACCTTGAAGTGGTGGTACGCAACCAATTGCTCCAATTAAATACCGCCGCAGAACTAATTTAACTCTTTTTTCTTTTACAGGCAATGCGGTTTGCTCATGGTGGCCGAAACGGTGTCCCTCGGTGTTCTCTCGCTGCCGGCTGCAGTGGCAGGCTTGGGATTCGTTCCGTACGTCTTAAAAACGTCCATTATTACCAGTGGATGGGTTGCTAACTAATGTAATATAGTGCCGTCATCATCCTTGTTGCGCTGGGTATCTTCGCGACATATACGGGCTACGTTATCGGACAGTTCAAAAACAGATACCCCCAGGTTATGAACATGGCAGATGCGGGTGAGGTTTTGGCCGGTAAATGGGGCCGTGAGATTCTGGGAGTTGCGCAGATGTTGTTCTTCGTCTTCGTTATGGCGAGCCATCTGCTCACTTTCACTGTTGCCATGAACACCCTCACAGAGCACGGCACGTGCTCAATTGTCTTTGGAGTTGTGGGAATGATCGTTTCGTTCATTCTTTGTCTGCCTCGGACTCTTGAAAAAATGTCCTGGCTTTCGCTTGTTTGTATGTGTATCATCACCACCATTATGCGCAAGGCTAACTAGAAAACAGCATTCATTAGTATTTTCTCGGCCGTCATGATTTGCATGATTGGAATCGGTATTACCAAGCCGGGAGCAGACAATATTGTGGCTGTTGTTGATACCGATCTCTACCACGGTTTCACTGCGGTGACGAACATTGTTTTTGCCTTCTGTACGTTGTATTCCATTTCTTTTGGACTATTGAGACGCATGCTAACCCTAACAGGTGGACACGCTGCCTTCTTCGGACTTGCTGCTGAACTGAAAGACCCTCGCGACTTCCCCAAGGGCCTGTGTCTACTTCAGGGAATCGACATCTCTCTCTACCTCATTGCAGCTGTGGTGATCTACCGTTTCGGCGGTGCTGATGTCAGTTCACCAGCCCTAGGCTCCGCAGGTCCAATTGTCGGCAAAGTTGCCTACGGAATTGCTCTTCCAACTGTATGTTCCAACCATTTTTCATATACAAAGCCATCCACATAACTAACTCAACCCTCAGATCCTTATCGCTGGTGTAATTTACGGCCATGTTGCCGCAAAATACATCTACCTGCGTATCTTCAGTGGTACCGACCGCATGCACAAGCGCGATTTCGTTGCCGTCGGCACCTGGGTCGCCATCGCTGGCGTCCTCTGGGTTATAGCTTGGATCATCGCCGAGGCGATCCCTGTCTTCAGCAACCTGCTCAGTCTCATCACAGCCCTCTTCGCAAGCTGGTTCACCTACGGTCTGTCCGGCATTTTCTGGCTCTACATGAACAAGGGTGTGTGGTTCTCCAACTGGAAGAAGGTCTGCCTTACATTCCTGAATCTCCTTGCTTTCGTCGTTGGTGCCGTGCTTTGCGGAATGGGTCTCTGGGTTTCTGGGAAAGCGTTGCACGATCATCCCAGTTCTGCCAGTTTCTCTTGTGCGAATAATGCCTAGAATCCTTGCATTTGCTAGGGATTTTGCTGTTGCTTGAGTCCGTACATGTATATACTTACTACCTGTTTTGAGCCTTTCAGCTGGCTGTTCATGGCGTTGTGGAATATTTTTTTTTTTCCCGTCCGTTTTGCTTTGCTGTATGAGCCAAGGCATTGCATTGACTGCATCGTGTATAAATACTTCTTCTACTGCATTGCATACATAGCCTTTACTTACTTTTAATGGAGCTTGATGCTTACGATCTCAAATTGGAGTGTGATACCAAAATCGGGATGGAAGTAGTAAACTGGTATAAGTAGAAGTATAAAGTAAGGGTATTTTATATACAAAGTGGGCGGATAACCACCGGTTCAAAAGTACAGTCTTCGGTCATTCGAAACAAGTGAGTAAACTTAAACTTGTCCCAGTCTGAAGATAAGGTTCATAATATAATAGAATAGAGAAACGGGGAATTCAGTTTAAACTCGCCCGCTTCATCCGTCTTCTCTTTCGTTGGCATGACTTGATCGCTTCTGGTGTTAATATATCACCTGGAAGCTCGAATTCTTTCTCCTCGACGTCAGGTATCGGCTGCCCAAATGCGAGGCGGCTGCGGCCCTTGCGATGCCCCGACATGGCTTGCTCTCGAAGATGAGGTTTCGCGAAGAAGGATGTGAACGGTTTTGGTGGTTCTGGAGCAGGTGGCAGTTCGGGCTCCGGCTTCACTTTCGGCCGTTTCCCAGCTGTTGCGGATCGAGCTTCTTGGAGAAGTTGCCGAGCTGCTAGAGCATCGACATCGTCTGGTGGCGGTTCGCTGGCGCCTTCCTCCTCTTCTTTCTCATTTTCTTTTACGTGGGAAGGTTCGGCAGCGTCGGGGTGAAGAGACGAATTCTTATCTTTGTCAAGCTTACGTCGCTTTTCTTCTTCTTTCCAGATCTTGAACTTTTGAAGCAGCGCGGAGATTTCTTTGATGAAATAGTCCCGCTTTGGCTCGTATAGTTTTTTGTCTTGATCTGATAGGCTTCGGCCAGTAATCCCCATGACACGCAACCAATCTTGGCTCTTCAGTTCATCCAGAAGACGGTCTAGGTTCTGTTTCTCGTGCTGCGCGCGGTCCCGCTCGATGTTTCGGAGCTGCTTCTCCTGTCGTTCATGTCGACGGTGGACTTTGAAGAAGAATTGTTCGTTGAGGGGGTCTTCCCCATAATTCTCTCCAGCTTCAGCCCCAGGGTCATTATTTGATGGCGTGGGAGGATCAGGAAGGTCGATAACTTCGCATTTATGTAGATTAACCAAAGGGTTTCCGAATGGTGTGTCGCCGTCGGAATTCGAAAAGGTAGAAGGAGGAATGGGAGGCTCGGTAAGGTCGTCAATCAGCTTAATCACTGTATTTCCCGAAAGCAATTCTACAATCGCATCGATGAGTCAGTCCCAAAACCGGATATCCTTGCTAGAGCATGTTGCGCGGTGGAAGATGTACACACCTGTCTTCGGAGGCTCTAGGCTTATCACTTGATCATAATTCGGAAAGTACAGCGCCAATTCACTTTTCGCCCTCGAGCTCCCATCGTGGGAGCGAAGGCTCCGCCGCTTCTCCGGAGCCGTTGCGGCAGGCACTGCTAACGATTGAGGAATTAAGTCGCCTGAGGGAAGGATCGTTGATCCTCGAGGGGCACGGGTATTTTTTGGGTTTGAAGGCTCTGTTATAACTTGTCCCGATGCCGATTTTGACGGTTGCGTAACACGGCGCTGGCGGTAGGCGGCGGAGGTGGGCGTAGTAGTATTAGACGGTTCTTGGGCGGGTTTGAGGGTAGCGGGAGCCGTCGCAGGAGAGATTGTATCGAGGGGATCGGGGGATTCGGGCTCGAAACCACCATTCATGTATAGCGCCGTTGAGGTAGAGATTGGGGTATCATGGTGGTGAAGACGGAGGTTTCTGGCGCGCGGAGTGTTGCCAGCAGGTGGCGGAGAGGAAGTGGTGTGGGCGGAGGAAAGGGCGAAGAGCGGTCGCGGTCGGCGGAGCTTTGTCGAGGCGGAGGATGGAGTGCTTTCGATCGTGGTGTCTAACAGGTCTGGGGAACTCTTGCGACGACGCGATGGGACAGCGTTCAGGCGAGGTCGCTTTGAGGGAGGCGGTTGGAGGGAATTCTCACCCGTGTCGTTCGAGTCTAACGCGCGGAGAGAGGACCTCGATCGCACCGGCATGACGGCAGTGGGGGTCATTGGAAATGTAAAAGAGCGGAGAAAGGATGGGATTTATCACAGTCGCGACCCTGACCCATCGTTATCCTTATGAGGGTGCGAGAATTGACGCGTTGGAAGGGAGGATTACGAGGAGAGCGAGAATGACCGGATTCGGTCAACTCGAAGCCGTCCCGTTGTTTCAGTCAGCACAATCGCGATACTTGGTCCTATTCATGCGCGACTATTGATGCCTTTTTGTTGTAGTATTATTAGCTGATTGATTGAGAATGTGTTACCCATTAAGACCCCCATTGTTAGCTGTATAGTTGACAGTCACACTACGCGGTATAGATCTTTCCCTTCAACCCCTTGAGATAATCCACCCCCGACTCCAGCATCCACCACGCCGTCAATTCGTGCAACCAATTCGCCAGTCCGTTCTCTAACGGAAGCTTCGTCTTCGAGTCCTTCTCTCTAATCATGAGCGTCTCGTTATGGAATACCGCCACTCCCTCCTCGACCTCGACACTCATCGCCAATCGTCCCTGGATGCCCAGCTGGAACTCAAACTCCACCTTTTCGTCCGTGCGTAGCTTAACTCGATATGCATTACAGACAAGATCGCCTTCTCCAAATTCAAGAGTCTCTATATGCGCTGGATCGAAGCTCTGCTGGGCTTCTGGATCCGACGCCATGAGTTTAAGTAGACGAGCTTGTGGTAAGTATGTGAAGAAGGCCATGTTTCGGCGGAGGAGAATGGTGAGCAGTTGGCGTAGTTCAAGATCTGGCAGTGCACGGCGCGGTATTGCGATGGATGCGTAGTCGTAGACAGCATAGCACTTTGTGTTGAAAACCTCAGCAGGGAGAGATGAAATGTTGTGTGGTGTTGAGGGAGAGAGCTGGCCGCGAGTTGAGTAATGGCGAACGCTCGATGCGAGGTATTGTTTCTGGCGTGAGAGGTAGAGAGATACAGCTATCGAGATGCCACTGAGGGCTGCCGCTGTGATGATGATGGTTTTCTGCATTGTAGAGGCCTTGTATAATCTCGATATCCCGGAAATAGCTCCTTGTATGTTTTTCAAAAATGTTGTTGGGAGGGGTTGAAGAAATGTCGTGAGAGTTTCGAGAAGATGTCATCGACTTGTAGGAGAGTTCAGTTCCGTCACGATCTAAATACGAACTTGGCGTTTGCCTTTCTTGGACATTCGTATTCGCTCGAGCCAGGACATCTCAGACCATTTTCATGCATTTTAGCCAAACGCATTCTGCTTGAAGTTTTCCCTAGTACAATAGCGCGAGTATCTAGCCCTAATAAATAAGTTGGCATCGGGCCTATTTGGGGCGCGCCAGGTTATTTTCCGCTCAACTTATCGGAGACTTCAGATAAACTTTGGTATTATTTGTAGACAACCTTTTTTTTTTTTATCCAGAAGAGCAAAATGGGTAATGTGTATTTAAAGTTTGTAGGTATTATGGCGGATGACTAGGCTAGATAAGTCCTGCCGAAACAGCCCTAGACGGAATCTTACCTTGACTGACAACATATTTACCTCGGGTTCGCAAAGTTCAATGGACGAAAGCTTCAATGGGGATGTACACTCGCATCTGTCGAGTGTTTACCCATCTGCCCAGCATATGCGGATTTCATAATGGGTAAATGGCGCTCTGTCACCGACATTGAGGTACTCAGTCAGGGGACGGTAAAATCTCACACGATATGGGAAATGTGGTCTCGAATGATGCTCTTTGCGGGAATTCAAAACCATTAGGTTCTACCGTATGCACGCACAGGACCCTTCCAGTATACCGCAAACAATGCATCGTATGGGCCGCTGCGACGCGGTACTCCTAGTGGCCGACTAAAAGCTCTAGTGCGATATTGTAGTCTCTCTCAAATGACATGCAGATAGCGCGGAGGTGGCAACATGAAGGGATCAATAACAAAGCCCTGATCAAGACCAGGGTTGAGCTCGGCGACATGACCGATGGAGGTGGAGTCGACCACTGAGGGCACGGCATTATTAACGATTGGACGAAGCTCAATTGCTGCTGAAAACGAGGGTTTCGCATGCATAGCAAGCGTAGACGCTGGAGTAATCATGGCATGCCTATTTGAATTACTCATTAGTTGCAAAATCCACTTATTTCTGGAATGAATAATATGGGCATTTAATGAAAGACATCTGTCCCACCGTGCACCACATTGAGCCGGAGTTGGTCCGGCCATGTCTCCAGGCCGATCTCATTCATACCCGAGAAAGCGCAGGACGCGGCCAATGGATTTATCATCGTATCAATGACCACATACTGTTTCGTATGTGGTGTCGCTCGTGGAGTAAGCCCTGTAGGGTGCCCCGACTGCCCTTTTGGCGTCTAGTCTTCCTGGACGGATGATGGCCTGTCAAGTGAGCATACTCACTGTTTTGTTATTGGAACGGAGAAAAGAGCGTGGGGGTGTCAGTTGTTGATTCTCCGAGAGGAGGCCCGTCACGTTTCAACTTGCGGCGATGCGATGAAGATGAAGCCCGTGGGCGTGGATGGAGATGACCCTCATTGTGTGGGGTTGCGTGGGGGTGAAGAGCAGGATATCGACCTGGACCACCGGGACTGCTGCGACTTCGACCACGACCACTCTTCCACCGGAACAGCTTCAGGTTCTTGCCCCTCGCTCCAATTCATGCTTGACTCCGTCTCCATGGCCTCCTCCACCTTTAAATCTCCCTCCACCCCTCGCCCTGTCCGGCTTTCATTTTTATTATCTCCTTCTCCCCGCCTTTTCCAGCTTTTCCCCTCATAGCTTCTATCGCCGCAGTAAGTCCCACCTAATCTTATTCTTACGTTGCCTGGTAATAGTCTAACCGATTCTTACCACTAGATCATGGTCAATCGCCCTCTCATCCCCGGCGTTTACGTCCCAACTGTCGCCTTCTTCTCTGAGAACGAAGATGTCGATGTTCCCACCGTCGAAAAACACGCCGCCTACCTCGCAAAGTCCGGGGTCGCCGGCATCGTTGTGCAGGGAAGCAACGGCGAGGCCGTCCACCTAGACCGCGAAGAGCGCAATCTCATCACTGCCGCGACCCGTCGCGCCCTCGACTCCGTCGGTGCCACGTCAATGCCCGTAATCGTTGGCACTGGCGCCCCTTCCACCCGCGAAACAATCAACTTCAGCAAAGACGCCGCTGCGGCTGGCGGCGACTACGTCCTCGTCCTCCCTCCGAGCTACTACAAGGGTCTCGTCTCCTCCGCCGCTTTGCTCGACCACTTCCGCGCTGTCGCGGACGCCTCTCCAATCCCAGTTCTCATCTACAACTTCCCCGGTGCCTCTTCGGGGCTCGACCTCTCGTCCGACGACATCCTTGCCCTTTCGTCACACCCCAACATCATCGGCACAAAGCTTACCTGCGGGAACACGGGTAAGCTTACTCGTATCGCGGCCCAAGCTAGATCTTCGTTCATCACCTTCGGAGGTTCGTGCGATTTCACACTTCAAACACTCATTGGTGGAGGTGCGGGGGTTATCGCCGGTACTGCCAATCTCATCCCCCGCGCCTGTGTTCAGATCATGGACCTCTACCGTGCGGGTCGTGTAGAAGAGGCCCAAAGGGTCCAGGCCATCGTGGCGCGTGCGGACTGGCTTGCTATCAAGGGTGGTTTTGTGGCTGTTAAAAGTGCCTTGCAGTCCTACCGTGGATACGGACAGCAGCCACGCCGGCCGTGTGTTGCGCCTTCGTCATCGGAGGCGGCAGCCTTAAAGGAGGCTTTCAGTGAGAGTATAGAGTTGGAGAAAAAGCTGGAGGCATCACAATGAACTGGTTTCGGATAGGTCTATTCACGAAATAGTATTAACGGCCGCAGAAGAAGATAATACCACGGTCTGGGTCACGCATTGTATTTTCATTCTTGTATAGAGTAACCGGCGGGCTATTCCCATATGTCACAGGCCCTCCAGTGACCGAGTTGTAAATTGAGAGATATCGAGTCACGAGGCTTCGAATTCCCATGCATATAAGCTCTCGGCGCACGTCAAGATAAAATAGCGCGGGGCTATCGCTCCAGTATGATGCTTCGTTTACCCGAGTAGCTCACATTTCGTGCAGGGTGGGATGGATAGTGCCGACGTATTAAGTCAGTGCTTCGCAGGAGGAAAGGTAATGCTGCGGATGGACACCCTCCCCACGTTTTTATTTCGTTGTCCAATAGTCGGCTGACTATCTCTAACGTATCTATACGAAGAGTCCCGATTTCGGTTATGGTACGAACAAATGCGATACCTTGGGAAATGACAAGCTCCTTCAGTGGTACCATTTTCAGCTTTAGTCATGTTACATGTGTGCAAGAGGGTTGCGGGCATTTTAACCTTGACAAGTTTATGCGGAGAAGCTGGGGTCGCTTCTGTGAGGTTTATTCTCCGATGTTCATTCCTTTGTTCATTCTTTTGGGCGGTATTAAATGGACATCGAGAGTCTCAACTCTAATCCACCCTCGATCTTTTTAAGTTTCAGAGGTATGTTATTGGGTGCCTGGAATGGGCTCGATGCATCTGCGGAGTGTGCGGAGATATGGAATTCCAGCTGGAAGCCATGGTTCGATAAGCGGAAGACCCGTTGCTTCGTTGACTTCGGGTGTTAGCTTGTGTTGATGTTTAGTGTAAAATCCTGAATTTTGATGTGAAAGAAAGATCACCGTAGAAAGAGAAGACATCGTCACTCCGTAAGCGAGCAGCTCTACCGAAGCTTCCCCGAGCAGTGTTGATCATGGGTCAAAATTCCAAGAATAAGATAAAGTTTGGGGTTGACCAGACTGAGTGGGGTAAGCAGAGTCGCAGACTCCAGAGGTGAATTGCAAGGGTATGCTCGGCAAAGGGAGCCCCGGAAACAAACAGGCAATGTCACTGTAGCAGGCTTCACAGCCACCTTGACAGCGCCTGAGATAAAGACAGTGTACTCGCCAAGCTCGAGATACGGGACAATTTCAGCTGGGAGATGGGCGAATCTTTAGGACCAAACAAGATACGTCACGTTTGAAGCAACGGCCGGCTATCTGGATGTAACATTGATGGCGTTGGTGATGGAACAGAAGCATTGTTGGCTTGGAGGCCCAGGACTAAGGGAAGCGCATCCCCTGCAGCGACCAGTGAGGGACGCAGCTAAGCTGTTAGCCTCGTCTGATGGAAATGAGGGTGTTCATACCTTTCACCTCATCTTGCACGCGAGAGACTGGACTGCGAGGCCCAGAAGTCGGATGACTGTTTGACACGAAGGAAGAAATTGGGTGGAGCTAGATGCATTTTTCACGCATGATGAGGAATGCCAATGATGGAAAAGAATGGAAGCAGGCAGGAAGCTGGAGCGATGTTGTTTGTCTATAAAGGCAGGGGATCTGTTGATCTGCAACACCTGACACTGGCCTGCATCTCCTCAAAACCTCCCGCATAACTCACTCCCTTTTCTTCTCTAAGCCTCCCTTTTCTGGACCTCGATCTTGCGAGCGTTTATGTATTCTTATCTCTAGCTACTATTATGATTTATGCCCGCCTTTGTACCGCGTTGATCGCGGTGGCGTCCTCGGTCGCCGCCGTTAAGGTCAATCCTTTACCAGCTCCGCGCCACATTGCTTGGGGTTCTTCAGGCCCCAGACCGCTGTCAGATTCCGTGTCTTTGCGGTGCGACCAGGACACAAAGGACAGCATTCTTACGAATGCGTGGGATCGCGCCTGGGAGTCCATCACTTCTTTGGAATGGGTCCCTGCTGGGATCGAACAGCCCATTTCATCTTTCGAGCCTTTTCCAACAGCTACCGCATCCCCCACTCCGTCTTCTAGTGTAGCTGCTAAGGCAAAGCGTACCGACGATGCACCGATAAGTTTCGTGGAAGTTGAGGTGGACGACTGGGATGCCGACCTCCAGCACGGAGTGGACGAATCCTACACTCTTGAAGCCAAGGATGGCTCCGACACCGTCCAGATTACTGCGAAGACCGTTTGGGGTGCTCTGCACGCTTTTACCACATTCCAACAATTGGTCATTTCGAACGGAAAAGGAGGGCTGATTATCGAACAGCCTGTTCAAATTAAAGATGCTCCTCTCTACCCTTACCGTGGAATCATGATTGATACCGGCCGTAACTTCATCTCTGTGCGCAAGACCTACGAACAACTAGATGGAATGGCACTGTCGAAGCTCAATGTCCTACACTGGCATCTGGACGATACCCAGTCATGGCCCTTGCATATCGACGCCTACCCAGAGATGGTTAACGACGCATACTCCGCGCGAGAGACGTTCTCTCACAAGGACCTGCGCAACGTTATTGCATATGCCCGGGCCCGCGGTATTCGCGTGATTCCCGAAATTGACATGCCCGCGCACTCTGCCTCTGGGTGGCAGCAGGTTGATCCCGAGATTGTGGCCTGTGCAAATTCCTGGTGGTCCAACGACAACTGGGAGTTCCACACGGCAGTCCAACCGAACCCTGGACAGCTCGATATTATCAACCCAAAGACATATGAAGTCGTCAGTAAAGTATACGAAGAGCTTTCTGGTATCTTCACTGACAATTGGTTCCACGTCGGCGGTGACGAAATCCAGCCCAACTGCTATAACTTCAGTAGCTACGTTACCGAGTGGTTCGCCGAGGATCCCTCGCGTACTTACAACGATCTAATGCAACACTGGATCGACGAATCTGTGCCAATATTTAAGAGCGTCAGCAAATCCCGCCGTCTGATCATGTGGGAGGACGTCGTTCTCAACACAGAACACGCCAATGATGTCCCCAAGGATATCGTCATGCAAAGCTGGAACAATGGGCTCGAGAACATTGCCAAACTCACTGAAGCCGGGTACGATACGGTTGTGTCCTCCTCGGACTTCATGTACCTCGACTGTGGTCGTGGCGGCTACGTCACCAACGACGACAGGTACAACGACCAAACCAACCCTGACCCTGAAACCCCAAGCTTCAACTACGGCGGCATCGGCGGATCATGGTGCGCTCCATACAAGACATGGCAGCGGATCTACAACTACGACTTCACCCTGAACCTGACAAAGAGCCAGGCAGAGCATGTCATTGGTGCCACTGCACCTCTCTGGGCCGAACAGGTTGATGACGTGAACGTGTCCAACATGTTCTGGCCTCGTGCTGCGGCTCTTGCAGAGCTTGTGTGGTCTGGGAACCGCGATGCTGATGGCAACAAGCGTACCAACCTATTCACGCAGCGCCTTATGAATTTCCGTGAGTACCTTGTCGCAAACAACGTGATGGCTGCTATTGTCGCCCCCAAGTACTGCCTGCAGCACCCACATGCTTGTGATCTGAACCTCAACCAGACCATCCTTTACTAGTATATCTTTAATTCGATAGTCAATCAACAAATTTCTGTATACATAATCATTAAAAAGAATTAGCTACAACTTCTCCTGTCTTTAGGCCAGACATGAGCCACACCATACCAAATTTTCAAAACCAAGCCGTATATCCAAACAAAAAATAAAGGAGGGAAAGGAAACCACGGAGGAAGGAGGGCGTCCCTATTAACCTACAGAACCCCCAAACGCCAAATTTCAGGAATCTCATACTTATACCCAGTCTCTTCCACCTCTTTCGCAAAAAACTCCCTCGCCCCAATGCCTTCCTTCCATCCCGTCATATTCACCGGCTCGTCCTGACTCCGAACGGATATCTCCCAAAGCAGCCGCGGGTTTCTACACTGATGGATCGCACCAACGCCGTTATTATGCCAATATGCTTTCCCATCATACACGATTTTCTTGGGCCGTTCGAGCGTGTCATCTGCGGCGCAGAGGATGGCCTTTCATTTATAACTTAGCTGACCGACCAAATCGTATCCCAGGGTAAGAAGGGTGGCGGTGGCGGCGGAGGCAAAGAGTGTATGTAGTGTAGTGTACCTACCTGAGCAAGATAATCAAAGCAATGGCTCCAATGCCCATAATTCAACTCCATTGTGTTCTCTCGCCACGGCGTATTGGAGCTATTCAGTGCAATGTTCGTATTATTGGGGAAAATCAGGCCCCGGATCACGGTTAGGCAGTGTAGCTGGTGTTCCATGCTAATGACGAACCCACTCTCGCCTCCGCCGTGGTTGTGGCCGTGGCCGTGACCGTGGTGGCCGCCCTCTGCTGGCTCGGCTTCGATCTCGGGGTGGTCGTCTAGATGGTTAAGGCTCTCCTTTTGGATGCGGATCCCGTGCGTGATGAGAGGTGGCGTGAGGATCTCTTCCCATGTCAACGGATTGGCGGGGGATTTGGTTGTAGCTTCGAGGATGGCGGAGTTGTTGTATATGCGTCGGTGGGTACCGTCATGATGACTGGGGCTAGAGGCCGAGCTACTGGATTGGGGATTTGAGAGGTCGATGTGGATTTGGGGGTAGGTGCAAGATGTGGAGGAGTCGGAGAGGATTCGCGACGGTCCGATTATGAGGATGAGCACGGAGAAGATGAGTAGGGTTGCGATGGTGAGGATTGTGATGTGGATGGTTGGATTTGTGGTTGTTGAGTTGGGGTGGTTGTGTGCCATTGTGAAGAGGCTTCTCTTTTGGTCTTCGATCTCCCAATTTCTTGACTGTTGCTGGGAGTTTCTAATGCCGTACCGTATAGTTTTGTTAAAGTTGAATGGTGGCTTTGTGGTGGAAAAAGCTTCACATTTTGGAGGCGTCTGCCGAGAGATCAGCCAAGTAGGTACTTATTTATAAAGAGCTGTCATGGCGCGTCACACACAAAGCTTGGTTGCTGCATGAGGGGTTCAGCAGCATGTCAATAGGCAAGAATTGAATGAAATGTTGTCCGGTGCAGCAGTGGCGGCGGGGACTCTATTGAGTCCCGATGGGGAAACAAAGAAGCTTCCCGTTAGGCTCGGTGGGATACGAACCCGATCACCGTAGGGCCAATGGGTCGCCGCCAAGTCGAGGAACATAACAGGAGCTCTTGTGGCAGTGGAAATTGTGGTTCAGCTACGTCAATTACACGTCACTTACTTGCCAGAGGTAGTGTCACAATGTGATGATCGTTAATTAAAGAAATATAAACATATAACAGAAGTGTAAGTAAGATGCCATCTTCCAACACCAAGGTCCAGCCTTTTATATAAGTACATGTCTTTTTATATTAATGAAACATCCAACGCAGTGGTATCAGCTTATCCAAGGAGAAAAACAAAACAAGCAAACAAACAAAGTCGCTATAAAATCATGCCATGCAATAAAGTACCCGAAATCAGGCAGAGAAGAGAGGGGAGGAGAGACAAATCATGACATCAATTCGTCAATGTCCACGTTTTCTGCCTCGGGGTTCTGAGAAAAGTCAGGGAGCAGCATCGCCGGTTGTCCGATCAACTGTCTCGAAGGCCCGTCAACCCAAGCGCCGCGTTCTTCCTCGCTGGCACCGAGGATACCGTTGGCACGCTTCATCGTCTCAACGTCCAGGTCGGTGATGTAGGCGTCGCGGTTGGTACCATCTCCAGCGCCACCGGGCAGCTTGAGCCGGACTTCAAACTCATTATCGAGCATCATTTCGTCCTTCCATAGGCGACGCTGGCCATCGAAGACGCAGAGAACGCGCTTCTTCATCTTAATGTTGCTGCTGGGACATCCCCAGGACTGAGGGTATCGATCACGGTTGCTTCTCCTCTTGGACGCGGTGATACGGCCTTTGTTATTGCCGTTCGATGAATACTTGGAGACAGCGTTATTCCCCAGGATCACGCGGGACCCCTTGCCTGCCTTTGCACTGCCCTTGGCTGGTCGTTGATCATCAAAGTCGTCATCGTCATCATCGTTTTCGTCGTATCGATCGACGGAGCCAGCCGTGTCGAGTAGTTTATGCTTCTCCATGGTCTTCTTCACCTCCTCGTCCGACTCAACTTCAGCTAGTCGCTGCTGGTTGATTGCCTCGCTAGGCTCTTCTTGCTGCACCACACGAAGGACACAGTCGTCTAAATGCTCGTAGAAGTCTTGAGCATTGTTGAAAGTACCCGAGCAAGTGGAGCACTTTCCGGTCGCATCCTGGCAGTAGTCGGATACGTTCTTATTTGAAGAAGCAGCGGGGCTCCTCTTGCGGCAGTTTGGTGGGGTCTGTTCCACGCCGTGAACCGAGGTCAAGTGGCGTTTGAAAACATCCGCCCGGTTGAAACTCTTCTCCGCGGGCGAGCCTGATCCAGGACAGAAGCCGCACACCATCGTTCCCTTGTAATGGGTAAGGGTGTGTCGGTTCTTGTCGTATTTGCGAGCGAAGCCCTTGGTGTGGTACTCGCAAGTCACGATTGGACACTTCTCCGGTCGTTCGGATTGGTGAGTGAGCATGTGGGCTTTCAAGTCCTTAAAGACACGTCCACAATCTGGGTGAGGGCACCGACCCTTCTCCTTGGTGTCATCATCCAATTCGTTGCCACTGGCACCGGGGCTTGCCTGTGAAGGGCGAGAGTGAATAGACGATATTGACGACCGGCGATCATATATCGACACAGGGCGAGAATGCGGGCCAGATAGTATTGGCGATGGGGGTACAAGGTTGGATTGTTGCGAGAACGACTGCTTGAGCATATAACTCTCTGGGTGGTGGAATTGAGAGGGCTCAGGTGACTGAGGGTAGAAGCCATTGGGGGCAAGGGTATAGTCGGATTGTTCGGGGTACGAGATAGCAGGTGGAGTAAGGGTGAGTTGGGGTTGTTGTTGCATGGGTTGAATAAGAGATGGGTCTGTCGAGAGGTCAGATCAATAACTCCCAACTGCGAATTTTACAAAAGTAACTCACCAACAAAGCTGTCTGACTTCTTCTGGTAAAATCCCTCCGAGTCGAAAGGGTTGACCATGTTCTCATTAGGGAAGAGGTCACCCATAACTGCACCAGGAAGCCCCAGTCCGTGGTTTGTATCCACCCACTCCTCCTGGAAGTTCTGCGCATTGGCCGAGTATGGGGAGCCCATGGCGGACGAGGAAGCACTAGCAATGGAAGGGCCAGAGGCGGTCGATACGCCCGACAAGTAAGGCTCGGAGTTGGAAATTGGGATGGCGGGAGGAGTGGTAGGCATAAGGGGGAAACCATTTGATTTAGAAATTTCAGGATAGGAATCGCCAAAGCCAGCGTTCTGGTAGGAGGCTTGGGTTAGACCTGGGTCGTGCGGGCCATATGCTGCAAGGTTGTCCACGTTGAAGCCGAAGGAGTCGACCAGGGCAGGGTCGATAGAGAAATCCTGGAAATATGGGCCTTGGTGATGCCTTGAAGATTCGACTGCTATCATTTTGGCGTTGTTGGATCGCGAAGGGAAGAGAAGAAAATCGGCGGAACTTTGGTCGCTTTGCATAATAGCTGGCCGGGGGAGCGGCCAAAAAGCGGGTTCGGCGTCGAAACACTATATGTACACTATCTGTACTAGATCTGCAGATTGCACGTCAGCGGCGAAGTCCGAACAGGAGAAGTCGATTGAGTTTCAATAATGTATCGAGGAGGGATCGGGCCGCTCGGGGGAAATTTTTTCAACCTACTGGTGATATCGCGTGGCCGTGTTAACTTTCAAGTTTGGTGCTGTGTGCAATTGCTCTGGGAGGCCAGGCCGCAAGGGATCAGACAAAAGTACGACGGGGGCCGAGGCGACGACAGAACAGCGAGTCTGCGACTGAGGGTTTGGCCGTGTGCCTGAGGAATGCGAGAAGGGAGGTGACTCGTCTTCTGCAACGGCAATGAGGTTTGCCAGGAAACAGAGGGCGAAGGGGGGAGAAGAATGTAGACGGCAGATGGAGGACAGGAGCTTGCTCCGTGGGGTATCAAGGTAGGGTGAGGGAGGAATGTTGTATAGCCGACGTGAAGTCGAGAGGAACGGGGATGGGGGGGAATATAAGTAAGAAAATGAAGGGGAGTGTGCTAGAAGAAGGATGAGGGGAGCATTGTTAAATGTCTGTGATTGCTGGCCCTACGAGAAGAACACCGTCTGGACTTTGCAGTGGAGCAGACAGGAAGAAAAAGGACCAACAAATCAGCGAGACAGGCACTAGGGATAACCACAGTCTGAGAGGCCGGGCAGGGACAGGGAATGATTCGCGCGTTGACAGACAAGACCGACTGGGGTGTGGTGGAATCGTGGATGAAGCCGACGATGATGCTGATGATGATGGTTGATGGATGGGGTCGTGGAGGGGCGTGTGAGGAACTAGGGGAAAGTAAAAATAAAAAATAAAATAAATAAAATACGCCCGATAAATCAGAAAATAATAATTCCCAAATAATCCAAAATTAAATAATAATAAATCTCGAAAAATAAAAAGGAAAAGGGCAGTGGAGACTCGACAAGTTCTCTTCAAGTTCCTTTAGCATCTTACTAGCCGTAATTGCTGCGTACCAGCAAGGCCTGCAGTCATGCAGTGTTGCACCGCCAGACGCCGCGATCTCCCAATCCTGCTGCTGCTGCTGCTGCGATCTCATGGATGCAGCGGTGACGACTGACGAGCCGACGACGGCCATGACAGCTGCCTGAGCAGCCCTCGCCCCGTGAGTTCGCTGCCAGTGACTTGGCCGCAGCCTCGCAGGCACGAAGGTCCTCCAGCAGGAATACGTACAATAATAATGCCAGGCCGGTTCCCGATATCAGCATCGAGTCCACCTCCGATCCACCGCCGCATCCAATGATCGAGGTACCTCGCCGATTTCTCAGCATGGGCCATATGAAAGTCGCATTTCGGTCCCTCGTACAATGGCAAGAATGAATAATAAAGCAGGATAATAGGGTAACGAACGACATCCTCCCAATACAAAGGATGAAAAAGAAATTGTTCCTGTCCAACCGCCCGCCGCCCACCCTCCTCGCTACGGTTACCTCATTATGGCCCCGGCCAGGCTCGCGACCCCAGTCTCTCTCTCTCTCTCTGTGCAGCAGAAGCACCACACTCGCTTGTCATGCCTCAAACTCTCGCAGCGATATTAATTAACACCACCGGAAGTCAGCAATAGATTAGGTATTACCAATACTATATTACTGCCACGCTGCCAGCAGCGCCGGGCGGGAGACCCTCCCCGGAGACGCCGTCACTCTGTGCGCTCCCCCCAGGGATCTTGCCCACAACCATCATCGGCGAGTCCGTATCGCTGGAAATGTCCAATCGACAAGCATACCTCGCAATCTTGGCATCATACCATTGCCAATTGATCTCCTCGTTGACAGGCATCGTCTTCGGCTCCGCATCCTGATTGCGATCCTTACCCCCCATGATAAGATGGTGGCAAATAATGCCCCTCAAGATACAAGGGCCAAGTAATTTTTTCCGAGAGAGTCGAGACTTGACTCTGAGCATAATTCGGTCCCGCTCGGTTCCAGCAGCACGAGGATCCTGAAAGAGCAGACTGCAGTGATCGCCAGGCAATTCCCCTCTCCCACCCGGCTCGCTGTCGTTTAAACGTGATAAACTTGATGTTTATTTGATAGCATTTTGCTTGGCGGTCAGACAGAATCCTTCCCTGACCCGTCAACTTGGGTGAACCAAATTCCTTCCTTGGAGGACCGTCCACAACTGACACAATAAGATGCAGGCTCACGTTAGTACCTGAGTACAAAGTGAGGGGATCGAGCCTGTACGCCCGCCCACCCACCCGACTGCCCGACTGTCCGACACCCAGAATCTCCAGCATTTTGGAAAAGATTCAAGATGGGAATCTCGACGATCTTAGCCCGGCTCCACTGGAAACCAGCAAGTAACACTCGATCACCCCTTGTCGATGAACGTGCAGCCCGTTCTGAGTGCCCTGGTTGGCCGAAAGCAAAATGAAGAGCCAACCTCTCTGTACACGACACCGCCAATCAGCACTCGTAAACAGTCCCAGACGGGAAGCCCATCCTTTGCTAGCGCCCAAAATGGGACAAACACTTTCCCCATTGCGGGTGAACCTGATTTGTCTCGAACCACTCAGCCATACAGAGCCGCATTTCTCTTCGACGTGATCAATTTAGCGTCTTACGAATCCAATAGTGCGGTCCCCTACCGAATGTCAAAAATCCTCTACTTGACGTGTCAGGGAAAATAGTTCCATGCCATGTGAAAAACGATGTTCTTTCCTCACATCGCGTGTCTGAGATTCGGCCATTATTTTTTTTCTCCCCCAGGGGAAGAAGCGCCAAGTTCCTTCGGACGGAGTTCTTACCCGTGACAAAACAATACAATTTAGATTACGTGGTCCCTCGAATGTGGGGACAACTGTGGCTCATGCAAGGCTGAGCCTTCGAGACCGTGACTTTTTAGCTTTGGCGCTGAGATCATTTGGCATTCGGAAAGACCGCCTCCACGGGTAGATCGGAGAAAACCAACTGCGACAGTGTTGGAGAAGCACAGTACCGCCGATAAAACCACTGGAACGCCGAGATTAATGCCAGGGAGGTGTAGACGTGTGCCGTCCGAATAATGAGTAATAATGAGGAGGCTTGAAATGGAATTAGGTCGACTTCGCTGCAGCGTCTGCATGATTAACACCATTCGCGGTCGCAGAGCATGATGCATGTACGGCCTTGCAATGTGCAGGATACCCTGGTCACGGCCACAAGGTGCAGATTACCAGTTCCCACTTCGACTTGTTGCAGTGCAGGGCTAGGTGTATTCCGGAACGCAGCGAAAATGTCGGTGGTGTCGGTGAGCAAGTCTTCCTTGAGACCGGTTAAGCGCCACACCCATGACCAAGCCACGCTTGAAGAGCCAATTGCACAGCAAGTCGCGGACCTTTCTGGGCCTCCATTGGAAGACTCCTCGGCGCTAATGCCGAAGTGGATTTACTGAGGCGCAGCACTTCCATTTTTACACCGCTTCGCTCTTGATCCGCCCCGACTTTTTGGTTTCTCCAAATACAGCACATGACTGTGCCCGATGATTCAGAGCATATATTTTCCGCCCAACTGGACAACGACGTCATTCGCAGTGCATTTTCCCTGCCAAGCCGGTCAGGAACCGTGTTTTCCTCTCCCCAAGGTTGAGTGCCCCTTGGATTGACCGATGTTTCCACCCAAATTCTGGAGTGAAACCTTATTCTTGCTCTCTCACTTTGCGGTGGAATATCTGCCTTTCTGACCGGACCTGCTGCCGAAACTACGGTGTCTGGAATCTTGAGCCTTTCTAGACGTTTCGGAATTTTTTTTAGTGACAACCAGATCTCCTCGGAGGGTCGACTCGCCAATCAATGTTAAATTAATATAAAACCTTGTCTTATGGGATGATGATCAAGATGATGACATATCACTTCATTGTGAATCTCCCACACCATACGTGTATAACAGCGACACTAACCAACATCAAGAAATCTGGCAAGCAATGACCCCCTCACGTGCTTACTATTCGGCGTCTACTATGGAAAGACCCCGATGCTCCCGCCCCCTCTTCGTTACCAATATGAAATGCACGGCTGGCCTCTGAGATCTTGAACTGACAGACATTGTACGACTTTTCACTTGTCCACCAGCAACCAGTCAGCACACGTTCCCACCCCAGCTCTCTCACTGCACGTGGCAAGACAGTTGTTGAACGCTGATAAAATCCTGATAAGCCTCCAGGCTTGTGTAACTCAATTGACTCAATGGAGACACGGTGTTCCACTCCCCAAACCCCTCTTGTGCAACAGCCTGACAACAAACCTTGAGGCGACAACATTATTGCCGTTTCTCGGCTGGCACCTGGGGACAACACGACTCTCTTGAAGATCTCCAAAGTCCTGCGTATAATCCCGTAAACCCCGGCCCGACAGCATTTCCATTTCGTTGCTAGGCAGCAAATCGTATAGACCTATTTCCCGAGCACAGCACGCCTTTACTCCTTCGTTAGAAGCGAGTCAGCGACTCAGTCAGCCAGACTCAGCCCTACTGAGGCCCGAGCCTGCTAGTTGCTGGTGCTCCTGAATAACTCCGCCGTACATACGGTGTTATCTCCGCACTGCCCCCTCCTGACGGCTCCCAGCAGTTGGGACTTGGCTTGGGGTTCAACCCGTCTGTCAGTATGTCAGAAAACGGATCGCCCATCCCTGCGTCCATGTGTCAGAGATAAAAGAGCATCTCACCTTCTCCCTCATTGGCGATAGGTCAGACCGAGAGCGCTCCACCAACATGGCCCGCACAGTGGCAAGTTACAACGACTGCTCCTTCGTTAATCCCGTTATTAGGCCGCTCGCTGGCTACGATCCCGTCTCTTTCCCCTCCCCACAAAAGCAGTGCAGTGCAGTAAAAAACAAAAAATAAAAAATAAAAAATAAAAAAAGAGTGGATTTCTGTCCTTGTCGGATAGAGCCGGCGGGTCTGATTTGCTGCGGTCCGCTAAATATAGGTACCACCATGGGGATTGAACTTTGGCTAGGATAAAGTTTCAAACAGAGTGAGGCACAGAGGCACGAGTGGAAACTGAGACCGGGATTTGTAGATATACAGAGTAAACTCACATGGATGGCCAATGGCCAAAACTGCTTGCAGAAACTTGCTCGTGTCTCAGCTGTTTTGGATGCCGCCGGGCTTTGCCATGTTACACGGGCCTGGCCAACACCAAGAACCCCCCCATGCTAATTTGCTCAAGCATGGTGATTAAATATAGATTCGCTACCAGTATACCAATTGAGAATTCTGGAGCGAGAATACAGAGGCCATTCAGCGCTAATACGAGTAGTATTTAGTATTTCGCTACTGGATCGGCGGTATACTTCTAGACTGCCCCTTACGAGTCATTTCCAGGTCAAAACAAATCAAAGTTGACAGGAGTTGACAAATTCTCTTGTTATCACGAAGCGCGGATTCTTCCCGAGCAAAGAAAAATAAGTCCAGGAGGGCCGTTTCAAGTCCCCACAGTTTTAGGTCCGAAGAATCAATCTTAATTACGCTTCTCCATAAGCCTAAAGTAGTTTCTTCACAAAGCGTCAAAGCCACGCGCCGGCCTTGTGCCCATCTCCCTCCCTATCGTCAATTCTACCAAGGTAGGACAAGTATAGACCTTAGATTGGTAAGGCAGACTACTGCTTCACTTTGCCACTGACTTGCAGCAACTAAGAAACGGTGAGGGGGGCCAGGAAGAGGAGACAAAAAGGCATGTTTTGGCCCCCAAGTTCGAACTAAGTTGTCGCCCCCTGCGCGACTGCAGGACGGAGACTCACATCCTCCATTCAGAGCAGCCAGGGACGCGGAGGGTGGCCGCTGCCGCCTATTATCTGGATGAAAATCAACTTAGTCGACTTGGAGCCTCGAGGTCTGAGTAAGCTGCCAGGGTTCGAGCTCGAGTTCTCCTTGTTCGCGCGTGGCACGCCATGGGTGGTTGACCAATCCACAGCCCAGACCTCGTGGGGATTGTTGGTTTGTTGGTTCGAGGCTTGAGGGGATTGTTCCATTGCAATGAGGGGTGGGTCATCCCAATGCAGTCATCTCCAGCTTACTCTGCCTCGTGGTTTGTGTTGTACAAGATACGGACACGCACGCCCTTACGAAGCACGCCATGGGTTCAGGAAATATAATTCCATATTATAGATGGATCTGCCACATTGGCACCATGGGGTTCCGGAGGAGCCGTCCAGCGTTGGTGTCGGATGCCAGTTATTTGACAGTCGACCGTGGTCGTTGTTCCGTGCCTCGTCGGACGTACGTATCATTCGCTCTTTCTCCAATTCCAAGCATTCGTCGCGCACCTTAGCACAGATCATGACCCCGGGCTAGTCGTTTAATGGCGGTCACAGGCTCTGAAGAAACCAGTGACTCCACCATCCACCGCTCCCTGGAAATTTCGTAGCTGATTTGTCAACCTGAGGAAATTGGGTGGACGATTAATAATACTAAGTTCTTGGATTGAGGACCGGAGATATTGGAGGAGGGTTGAGCTTGGCAGCACGTTGGCATATTACGGTGTTTGGAAGACGGTCATCGAACTGTTGACAATGTTGGTCAGCATTAGCAATTGGCTCATTAACTTATCACAGCCGCTCGAAGACCCGGACCCGATGGCGTTTTTTCGGCTGTTTCTCGAGATCCGGCCCCCAGAAACGGAAGCAATAACGAAGCGGCGTAATTTGATCTGTCGGATGATCGATGTTGTTGTTCCAAAGTCGAGTCAGTTGGACCCGAGAAAAGGGGGCCACTACGGCAGGGTAAAGAGGCTCAGAGGCCTGGATTATTATTGGCATTGTCCATATTGTGGAGCGCAGTGAAGAAGAAGACTTGGAGATGCTTTGTCGCTGATTGGGGGCAGCGTGTTTGTGGTGGGGGACCGTTGAAGAATTGCAGCCCACTCGAAACTGCCGGGCTGCACTTGCTGATGCCAAAGCTGCCAAAGTTCTCCGGGGGATGGTGTCAGCCTGCACGATTGCCATCCTCTCTGGGTCTTGCCATCACTACATGATCGGCGTTTGGCACCCTCCAAAAGCGTTAGTTGGTCTCGCCTTCAGTGCATGCCATTGCAAAGGAGATACCAAGAGCCGTACCACCCATGACGGGACGATTAGTTCACCAACCAAAGGCACACCGATAGACAGGAGCTTTGGTGGCGGAGCTCAAACAGTGCTCTAGCTTCTATGGCCCGAAATAAAATGGGCTTGTTTTTTTAGCCCTTCCACGAAGGAACATGGCATCCCGCACTGCTTGCCATTCTGGACTGACACCAAGACAAGCGATTCATGAGTATCGATCGAAGACGTGGCGCTGATGGGATGGCGTGGCGGCCAGAACCTCAGGAAAGCCAAAAACGCCGTGGAACGAACTGATAGCTGTAACCCGAGAATGGAGTGGTCAACAAGCTTCAGTGACCACATTTCTCAGGCACCATTATCCGCGAATGAGACATTCGGCCCATACATTACGCTAACTTGGAAGATCCCTAATCTCACCGTAGACGGGACGAAGAGCAACCGTTTCCTTGTTTACTCGAGTGGGAACGAAAATACATGGCAGGCCTGGAGTGCCAGGATGGCAAAGCGGCATGTTCTACAAAGTATGGAGGACGTTGGTGGATTCTGGACCTTTGGTGGAAGTCGGGCCCGGAGCACCTCCGGATGTGCAGATAATTCTTTCTTCCTCTTCCAGGCTCTCTTTTTCTCGTGAGCACTGAGCAATAATAATGGGCACGTGGGAAATCCCATCAAGCTCCACGGCTCATTTTCGATCCAGGAAAGAATTTCCGCTCCTCTGCACGGACCGAGCTTCGGCAAAGATGGTAGTGGTAGCCTAGCTTGGGTTTGGCCCCAAGGCCTCACTGCCAAACTACCAGCTAGTCAAGTCTGCCTTGCTGGAACGGCACTGGTGAATCTGGAACGGCGACTACAAGGCCCCCGTTCCATGGCGGCCGTTAGCTCGATTGGAGAAGCCAGAGCTTGAATGGAGTCTTCTATCCGTGGGAACCTTCCATATCCAACCGCTTGAAAGCCTGAAAGCTCAAAGTTGATACCCCGTATTTGGCCTCAAATATTATGTTTGAGGCTTAGAAAGAGCGCATTACTTGGTGCCCATGGCAGCGACTCTGAGATAGGCCCGCCGCGGTCTCTTTCCTTTGTCCGGGGGATGGCAATTTGCCAAGTCTGCAGGGAGTTAAAGGGCCTGTCCAAGTCGGAGTTAAGACCCGAGATTCCTTCCAATCCCAATATCAACGCTCCAGGATACCCATACACGAGTCACCATCACCGTTTCGGCGTTTATCCTGCACCGAGTCCATTCTGACCTCTCCAGGATACATACTTCCACGTGTGGCCAGGCCCTCGATCGCAAAAATGAGGCACCAGTCAATTTCGCTAGTCGACGATCTCAATCAAGGCCCGATAAGATCGTGGATTCTTGCTCTTTCCCCCTATGTATGACTCTGATGATGGAAGCAGCAAGCACAAATAGGCTCTCTGTCATTTTGATGGTTCGATCTCTGCCGCGGTGGACCCATGCTATTGATTTGTCGTCGGTGGTCATCACTTGACATTCACATATTTCGACTCCATCGCTACCAAAGTACGGGTAATTTTCCGGACTCCCCAGTCTCCATCTGGGGGTCGTGGTTGAGGTGGCGAGTCTCCATCCGAATAATGGTAACTCTAACCATCCAGGTACGATTGTACGATACGACAATGCAGAGCGTTAGCGGAGTCTGCCTTTTTTCCCCCCTTTCCCACCCATTGTTCCCGTGTTTCACCTTGACCGGAATCACCACCGTGACTCCTTTGTCCCTAGAGACTGGGACTGGACACCGGAGAGACTGAGCTGGTTATCAATTACTCTTCTTGATTATTCATGGTCCATTCGCATCCATTCTATCGGGCCCATCTCGGGGCCCCACTGACTGGAAAGTTTACTGCTCAAAGCTCGATTCAGTGCTTACAGAGTATTCCTTCACAGCGTTGTCGATGACTCTCACAGTATATTATCAGGTCGGGCATCGCGAGTAACCTCGCAGATCAATGTTTGATCCAACGAGAGTATGTAGTCTCAGCAAAGTTCCTGGTCAAGGACAGCAACTCTACCCCGTAACACGGAGTTTTTCGTGCTCAGCCACAGCACGGGCGCTTCCATTGCCGCGGAAGATACCGGCCTAACTTCGGCTGGGCCCTCAGGACCACATGGACACAAGGGGCCATCCCGGCCGCATCTGTGGAATCGTGGATTGAATCGGTGGAGTAGTCGTGCGGAACGGTGCCCGCTAGTCTCGGTCGGGCTCGTATTGAGATGGCCAATAACAGTTCACAAGGACGGCTGCCAGATCTCGAAGGTCGGACGCCAACAATTTCGCTCGGATCATGACGAGTCAACGACTTCAGGCGTGTCCACCGTCGCGCCGACTTCCAAGAGAGGAAGGCCTGGAGATCTGCAGGCCTCCCAGAGTCCGGCCCCTCCGGCTGTCTTCCGTATTTCGCGGCTATTTGGCGATAATTTGACTCGTCGAGTGCTCTGCGCTTTGTGTTGAGGAGCAATGGGTCATTATCCTCCATGACGCGGTTGATGCAGCTGTCGCCGGTCGGATACCTTGGATGCATCCCTCCATCCCTGCTATAGTCAGTCTGAACGAGGAATAACTTACCAACTGCTTCCTTCCGTGTGGTATTCCCCTAAGGAAAACCAAATTAACGATCCAATCGAAAAAAACAACGGAATTCTGACTCTTGCCGTCGCCTATGGGGCTTGTTCGAGGATGGTCTGGAATTGTCATGCACGCAGGCAAGGCGAATCGCATACTGCGTTTGGAATAAGGCCTCCTCTGAAACTCAGAAAATGTCCCACTGCTTTGGCTCCGCAGAATGTTTATTTTTGAAGTTTAATCTCTACGCGAGTTTGAACAGATATACGATATGTCAGCGCTTGTTGACAGTCGCTTCACCTCGACAATATCATCGTCAGCGGTCATGACCACAAGGCATCGACCGACGCTTTCAGGGAGCTAGATCATGGAACTAGTTGAAAACAGTAATTTCAAACAAATAAGATGGGGGAAAGCAAAGCAAATAATTTCCCACCATGCCGCTGGCGTATTCAACTTTTTTTTCCCGTCTGATACGTGGCAATCGCAATATCAATCATGCTCCTCTTCCTATCATCATGACAGATCATCCCTGAAGCAGGAAAAAGGAGAGCGCTTTTCCAAAAGGCTATCTCGCTTCTCAAAACAGCGCCGATAAATTAGCGCCATTCGTCTCACCGTGTCTTTTGGCGAGGAGCTCTCCGGCCCCCATACAAAGGTTCGGTCAGTAAGACGGTGCTGCGGTAAGGCCACCCATTCTCCAATTTATGTTGCAGGAGGATGCGCAACCCAACCAAACTATCTGGGGTTCAAAATAGCGATCATCCCTGCTATTGGCCTCCTACTCGCCAAGCTTGTCCGCTTTCAGACTTCCGTGTCCGTGCCCGAGGCTGTCAAATGCCTGCACCGTCAACACATCCAGGCGCAGCCGTGATCAAAGTGCAAGATCCCAAGACACTGGTTGAAGAGACCAGGGCCTCTGTGATGAACAGCATTATTACCGGGTTGTTTTCTGCTAATCATACCCATGTCTGCCGATCTTTTGTTTTTGGGTTTGGTCGATTCCATACTCCCACATTGAAACGGGGTGTATTGCGTATTGACCGTTGTCAGCGACCGGTTATACGTCTCCTCTGCGTTTAATGCCCAGATGACGCCTGCATGGACGCATCTGCCAACTATACGGGATTTTGGCTGACGAAGATTCGACAATCTGTGCTGCGGGCTGCAAGTGTCAAGTCGACCTCGTCCTGTAGGGCTGAAATCCTGATGCGGCCCCTAAGAAAAGCCACCCTCGAATTGCCAGTTCATAGTGTGTTGAGTGCTTTCCTATTTCGTGCGTCTAAGCCTCACTCGATATTAATCCTCCTTACAGGGATTCGCTCCTCCCCCCTTTTCGTCCTCCTGCCTTGGTAACGCCAGGCCTGTTGACCTAGGCCTGCACGCTGCTTTGTGAGTTTCTTGTCTTGATCTTATCCTCCAACCGATTCGCTGCTCGTGAGCCCGTTCGCAGAGTCCCATCTGACCGACATGAGTTAGAACAGGGCAACCCAACAAGCAAACTGCCAGCCCTATATTTCTTGGCGTGTGTGCGGACTGATTCTCAATGGGCACAGGAGCACCAATCCCCATCCCCACTGGCAGATCGGCTCTTGGATAATTCTCGAGCGTGGTCCGCTGATGATGTGGAAGCGCCTGGACAAATCATTTCACTTCTGCAGGTTCCTCGACAGCTGAGCCGCCGGGAGCGTTTGTTTTGTCAATTGATTCTCCATTAGCCTTTTCCCCCTTCACCTCAAGCCACCACGCCCTACATCAGGTTAGCTGTCGGTATCCCCGGATGGATCCAAAGCGTCTCCTAAAACGAAGTAAGTTAATTACAGGGCTGAGCATGACGAGGTCCACCTCGTCTTACTTGCCAGGCCCGTGCTAGTATTACTGAGTCTCGAGCACAAGCCGCCAACGGACCGAAGTTTCCACTAGCAGCATGATTCATGATTAAGCGTCTTTTCTCCAGAAAGTTGTACCCGGGTAATGATGACACCCAGCTCGGTGTTCCTTATGGCGCTATACGGCTTCCCTATGATCCTATCAAATCCGCGGACTTTACCCGGCAATGCCATACCTGAGACGCTGACGGGGTCGACTAGCAGAGGGATGAAAAACCTTACCCTGCATCGAGGATGAGACGCCGTCCCTGCACCCTCATTAGTCCAACAGGGCATGGGCTCATTAGCAGCCTCATCCAATCGTTGCTGATACCCGGACTGTCGGTGCTGGCGCTGATGCTGGTGCTGGAGCGATAACCAAGCCGATCTTTTAGGCCACCCAACAATCGGGTTGTTTGTTTGGCTGAAGACGTTGAACCTTGTGAGATCTTTGAAGCTACCATTTTTCCAGCCGTTGGGGTTCCCCCTTTTTTCTTTGACGATGAGACGGGAAGATTTGTTGTTCGTCTTGTTGATTGCGTGGCACACGGTGGTGCGTTGAAGCCGGGCCATCGACTCATGAAAGTTGGTAGGTTGTTTCACGGGGACATGCTGACATGGGTGATTCCAAGGCATCTTCCATTGTCTGCTTTGTTTGGTACTGTCCGGGGGGATATGACTGCATGCTCCGTTGCAGAAGCAGTAGATGATGCGGGCCTGGTCACTGAGTGTCTGGAAGCACTACCTACACTATGCATTTACATCTATCGTAAAATTAGACACCAACTTCGAGGCCTCATTCAAATTTCATTCAAATACTGAGTCCAATGAAGGAAATGCTAGTAAATCAATGCCTCAGCCTGAGCCTCCTTGGTCTCAACTGTATATGATATGCACATTCGGATAGCGTAACTGCTAAGTCACTTTCCCTTCTTTTGCAGTTAGATGAAGTAATAAGTGCTAATAGGGGTGATATTACAGTATATCCATATCCCTACACCTCCCAGGAGTCCGTATTGCTAGGAGACGCCTACGGACGATTTTCCTCCAGTATCCAAAAACAATAAAGCCATCTATTGACAGAAGAAGGGTCTCATCTACGAGTGAAAGCTGATATTCATGAGGCACGAGTAACCCTAACTTACGAGAAAAGAGTATAGCTATCCGGAGAAAAGAAGCCTGCAGCGGGCTTTACTTCCACTCCTGATGGTAAATTGGAATGATATTGAAGCAGAACAAGAACCAATTCCGAAGTCTAACATGCTAAGCACCGCACAGAAATAAATCTCCCCGAAAACAACGAAAACATAACCAGAAGAATCACCTCTGTCTCTACTCCCCGTGCGCAGCGCAGAACCACCTATTTAACGGACACCAAGACCATCATCTACATCTGCCATTGGCCCCAGACCCAAAGTTTGTGAATTAGCTGTGCATCACAGAGATCGATACCAGAGCCGTTATAACGGGTGTTGCCAGCAACGCGGTTTTGAAGATTTGGCCGAGGCGGATAGTATCACCGAATATCAATACCTGGACTCCCGGGATGGATACTAGTACCGCGAGACATTAGTTTCTTCTTTTTCAGCTTGACTGTTTTATTCACGGCATGAGGTATATCTACAGGGCGAGAAAAGACATGGCATGACGGTTACGTACCTCCAAGACAGCTGGGGCATATTGTTAACCAGATAGCCGACGCGAGTATGAGGAATGGGGCCTGGAACCGGTATTCCGTAAATAGAGACCCGGGTGCTAACAGTTAGATGCTGCATATATAGCAACAGAAATTTGATAGAGATGGGAGGGAAATTTACCATACCGAGGCTCCATATGTATATATATGAATGACTCTATAGAGTTCATCCGACCAGAAAGATTATGAGGATAGAAAACGCAAAACACCTAGGAGAAACGAAATGAGATGACCATTTTATCTGCCTTTTCTTCCGATGCAATTGGTTTGATATCCTTGGCTGCCTTCGAACGTGGTGTTTTGATGCTTAGGTGATGTTGGCCTCAGGCGCTGATCCAGTATCGGAATCCCGCATCCCCCGCATTTGTTGCTCCCCGTCTCATCTGCCCTGCCTTCTCCAACTCCCAACTCCGACGCTTCGAACGAGGAATCCGCATGATGCAGCTTGGGTTGACCGAGAGTCTTCCCACTCTTGTGGCAAGGCGCTTTGCTGCTGCCAAAGACGCTGGGCACTTGATATTTTCCCAGACTCATCTTGAGATTCTACGCCCTGGTGGCACCCCTGTAAGGCTACGGAAACCATACCTGGAACTCTCTGCTTTCATCGATTCACTATACGGTCACTAATTGTGATGACTTTCTCTAGTATCAACTCCGATACTGCCCTGCTCTTGCCAACAAGCCGACCGGAAAGCCCAAAGCGGACGAGGGAAACAACAAGAAACGATTCGACCCCTTCGAAAACCCGTCCCCAGACCTTCTGATCACACACTTTCCAAAAGAAAACCCGACACATTTTCTCGTATTAAACAAGTTCCCTGTCATCCCGAATCATTTCATTCTCGCAACGACTGCCTGGCGGGAACAGACGGATATACTAGAGAAGGAAGATCTGGCGGCGGCGTATGCCTGCGTCAAGGCATGGAGCGAGGACAGCCAAACTGGCGGCGCAAAGCCCAGAAGGCTATTCGCATTTTTCAACTCCGGGTACGAAAGCGGTGCAAGCCAACCCCATAGACATCTGCAGTTCCTACCTGTGGAATCGATGTCCGAAGACGACGAGACTGGGACATGGAGGCCGCTAATCGATACGGTTCCCTCACAACCGGCTTCTTCTGAATCAGAATTTCGACGAATACCCTGGCTTCCACTTGCCAATTTTGCTCTCCCCTTGCCCCCGAATGCTTCTGCCGAGAGTCTCCACGAAATATACCTGTCTCTATACAAGGCCGCCGCAGTGGCAGCAGGTGTCCCCCGAAATGAAGTGCGGTCAAGCACCGGGCCTGCGGCTGTTAGCTATAACCTTGCGATGACAGAATCCACGATGATGATCTGTCCGCGGAAGAGCGTCAGCGCCGTGGTGGAGGTTGATGACGCGGTGCGCAAGGATATCCATGAAGCGGGAGTTGTTGAGCTTAATGGGACGCTCCTTGGTGGAACGATGATGGTGAAAGCTGAAGCAGAGTGGAGTGAGTTGCGCCGGGGCTCTGATGGTCTGATGAAGGTGCTTTCTTCCATTGGGTATCCCCAGCCAGACATAAGAGAACTCGCGCTGTTATAATCATAGACATGCATTTTGTGCGTTCCAGCCCAAGCATCTAATACTCCCCATCGGAATGGGTGAGAGAGTTGGTACCTTAATAGGTAGATACTAGCTATGTATATAGTTTTGGCCATCACGTGGGGCGGCCTTCCAGGCTGAGACTCATCCATTCCCTCACTTTCTCCTTCCTCTTTACATCCGCCCAGCCTGACAAATTCTACCGACCACTATCTCGACCTGCTCGTTTCAGTTGAGTATAGGAATTGTAGAAATAAGTTATGAGCTGAACTAACGCTATTCTAGAGGTACATATGTTTCATCCCTTCCGTCGGCATTGAAGGCAGAACACATCCATTAAACATTCACATTGTCATTAACACGTATTGTTAGGCACCTTTCTATAGACTCATACCCTTGTATCGAGTCCTTATAAACGAAATTATGAGAAAACAACAGCGTCCGTTGGAGCTGCATGATCGTCCTCGAGCGTACTTTGCACTTCACCCCATTTCTTCTTGCAGGTGGAATTGCCGAAATGATACGACCCTCCGTGAGCTGATATATACTGAGCAACCTTCTTCCAAGGTATCTTGGGCTCTGGGTCTGGGCGCCTTGAACGACACGCCGAAGTGCAGATGCTGCGTCTGTCGAGTTCCGTGTATAGGTTGACAGCTTCGCGCAGAAGCCTGACCTTCACGGAGTTAGCAAGCTCTTTAAAAAAAGGTCAACTAAGCACTCACGTCGTCATCTTGCCAATGGGGCCTTCGTACGCGCTGGTCCTTGGATTTTGTCAAAGTCCGATACCTGCCACGGAGCGTTGACTCGGCCTCTCTGAATCCGCCGATCTTCTTGATGTCCCGGTATGAGAGCCCACGGCGCTTGTATTCGATAAGGAGGGCATTTCGGGCATCATTTGTCCAGGTGTTAATGCGTTCGGTGTAACTTGGTTGGTAGGAGGAGATCTGCCCGAAAGTGTTGAAGAATGAGCCAGCCGAGTTGATTTGCGGAAGCCCGTTTTGACATGAGGTATAACTGTTCGAATGTGGTATCTCGTTGAAATTTTGGAGTGAAGTTGCGTCGCCGTGCTGGTAGAAATTGGGAAATGTCGGTACGCAAGTATCGAAGGATGATGAGGACTGGGCAAAGGTTTCGAAGCCGGGTCCTATGTAGGGCAAGCCATTGATATCGTCACTTGTCTCAGTGAACTGGCAAAATTGTTCCTGTTGCGTATCGATATCGGAATAAACCTGTGGTCCATTCCACGCAACTTCGTGATCGTTTTGAGTCGTGCTGGGCTGCTGTACACCCAAATGTCGTCCTGGGATCTTCGGCATAGGCCATGGGGACACTGAACTACTATCATACACCCCATCAAGGGTGTTTGGTGTATGGTTTTCGGCCACAGTAACTGGAGAGGCTGTGCCAGGAGTATTCCCTTCTTGGAGCAGAGACTGAAAGGCTAATGTGTCATTCGCCCAGTCTGGCTCTTGCATCAAACGTCCACTGCTTTCAGACAAGTTATTCTCTTGTGGAGTCTCCATTTGTTCGAACGTCGATATCGATTCTGACAGGTTTTCAGATGCAAAATTCCCGGGTCCCATGTATGGGATGTGTCTCGGAATGGGGTGAAATAAATCGGGTGTAGGGACGCTGGCATTGCTGGAGCCATAGTCGTCAAACGTGAGCTGACATTCCGGACTTGGAGGATCAACTTTGAAAGTGCCCCAATGAGATGAACACTCTGATGGTGACTGAGTCTGGGATGTATTGGATAAAACGCTTGCACCTGGCTCGACCACTGGGAAGTTGGTTTTCCAATGATTATATTGTTCTTCGATGGCCTGGAATTCGCTAAATGGGTCGATGTTTGTTGTCTCATCGGGTGTGATCGAGAACCGTCCGTCAGTTCCCACGCAGTCGTCCATTTGAAAACCACCACACTTAGCGACGATCTCTGGAAGTTGGGGGGAGTTTGTTTGTGGATAAAAAGGCGTTTGTGGAAGAGCGTTCCCAGAGGTATTAATGGGAAGGACAGCTAAACACGAGGGATGAGAAAGAGGAAGGATATCGCGCTCAATGTCCATGTCGTTGGTAAAGCCATCCGTTTCAACAAATAGGCGGAACATTGCTGCTTTATCTTCAAGGCCAATGCCTATCCTCTCAAATTCACCGCTCTTGTCACCTATAACTGGTGTTTAAACTGATTTAAGCATGTGCATTGAGTGTTGTTGCTGCTTTATGCACGTTGTTGGGAGTACTAGGGCACCTGCATGCTAAGGGTCTCAGTCAACACCACAGTATCTGAATGGAGGGGTCTCAGAGGCAGTCGTGAACCTACCAGGAAACTTCACTCGGTATCTCTCCTCTCCAGTCAAGATAACTCCTAGAGTTTGATAATACACCGCGCCTTTCAAACTCGACAAAAGAGATGTTAGAGCGGAACTCAATCGTGAAACTTGGGAGGAGTGTATCAGCCCCCCAGGCAAGTTGCGTGCCGTCCGTATATGGGGTAAATATCTGTTTCGTGGGTGATTGGGCAAAGGCTAACGTGCAGCAGATGTGCTATGTCTCGGTGCTCACCGTGTTGAAAGAGACGATTCGAGAAGCAGCTGAACTCTATTCCGAATGATGGACGAATACACTGTTTTGGAATGTCTTAATTGACGAGAAAAAAACAATGCAAAAAAAGAATCAAAACAGAATCCTAAGGAGTGCCAACATCAAGAGAATGTCTGAGATAGAACGGCTACAAACAGCTCATCGATAGTTCCTCTCCGACGCCCCGTGAAATCTTGCTTTAATAGGGGTTTGGATTCTATAGGCTTGAGATCTGCTAAACTCCTTTCATAATGACTTCCACCCTCCTTCCTAAAGAGAGCAATTATATCAGAGCTAAGCCTTGATCTCTGGTATCTTTGTTTACTGATCTGCCGGGATTCAACATGGGTACTGCCTGAAAGGACATCATCTTCGGAGAGGAAAAAAGGGGGAGGCTCCGGATTCTTCTCTGTTACTTCTCCACGATCAATACTTGGCAATGGACAGACAGTGACAAGTCTCAACTTCCTGTCAAGCAGAGGCCTTCTCGTCCGTATGTGGCTGGATCGTTGGCTCAAGTGGCAACTGTGGAAACGGCCGCTCCGGCTGAAAGAAAGCGAAAAAGATGCAGATCATAAAATAATGACTTCAAGAACCTCACCAGAAAGGGATAGCCTGGACGGGGTGCCAGAGATTTCAGGTTTCACGGCAGTGCCCGCAGGCGGCTGGCTACATAGAGCTTTGTTGTTTCATGCATCTGATGATCTGACCCAAGACCAACAGTCAACAACATGGGGGGGGGGCATAGCTCCGCTGCGTACGGCACCATCCCCAATCATATGGTATCATTGGGGCCCAAGAGATCTGCGAACGTTTGATCGGGGGATTTTCCCACCGTTGGATCCAGGCGTCGCTCTCCCGTCCCGACGAGCTGCGCCAGTAGGCTTACCTCAACACCCAGGCGGAAATCAACCAGCCCTCTTTGTCTAAGGTATCATTGGGGATTCGTTCTTCATCTCTGTGCTCTGGATGGCCTATATCAGGGGCCAGTATTAATACGCTTCCGCGTACGCAAACCACACGTTCTTGGTTAACCGAAGTCTCAACCCAAGGCGAAGCCTTCTTTCTATCGTATCATGCCAAATTTTACCCAGGTGATTCATTTCTACACCCAATACATGGTCCCAATTGGATCATGGCCTCAGGAAATAAAAAGCAAGTCATGCAAACCAACTTCAATGGTTTCTGTGGATTTCCAAATGATAAGCTCAATGTGGACTCCACTTTTGTCTCTAGATCATGTTTGTTGACTGCAGGTTATGAAGAAGTGTTCTGCAGAAGTAGATACGCGTAGGCCAAGCCTACATTGGGTGGACGGATACTTTCCTGCGCGGTGCAATCGCAATCGCAATTGTGGCGTCTGAATGGACGAAAGAAACCCCAGCTTGGGCACAAGAGGCAAAAAAAAAAAAAAAAGAAAAAAGAATAAGAAAACGAAAACGAAAAACGAAAAACGAAAAAACAGAAAAAACAGAAAAAAAAGCGTAATAGTTCGTGCTCTTTTCCCCCGCATCATCTTTTCCTGGATGGCTTCCAGCATATTCGCAGTGCAACCACCAACGCATTGCTCTCAATCCGATCAACCTGATCTCGCCCCACGCCCAATTCCAGAGTTGTGGGAATGCAGGCTAGGCTAGTGCCGCTGTCAGCTCTGATTTTTGGCTTCCTCCCAACCCAGTTACACGACGTTCTTTTGTTGAGCGAATGTGCTTGCGTGCGTGGGTTTTTCTTGGTTAGGGCTGCGCGTTTAGAGGCCAACCGCAATAACCTATCTGTTGTTTCCTTGCGTGCTACTTTTCGACAGCTCCCACGCCGCAGGTTTGGAAGCAATTGTAGAAAAACCTATATTCATTCTAATCTTCCGATTTGTGTATGCTCATATCTATTAATGGACTTCATACAGTGCTTTCTCCTCGTGTGGACCCGCGCTCCTTTGGTCTTCCTTTCCCGGTTCCGTTTGACACTTCCATCTGGCTTGCCGTCGTCCGTTGGCAGGTGTCTTAAGCCACCGGCTACGGTGCACGCTCCTCTAGTTCTCAACCCCCGAAACAACTGCTTCATGTTCTATTATTACCTTTGGAGGGTTGTTTTCCCGGGTTTGCTCCGCTGCCGTTCCGCTGGGGATGGCCAAGAGAGTTGTAGGTACATTTCCGTCGGAGTATGCACGGACATGCAGCACACAGCCTTGGTCTCCAAGGCATCTTTGACGTATCTACCAAGCTTAGCCCTCACCGTAAGGAACATGCTTGCCGGCGACCCCCTCGAGCTCATTGGTAAATAAAAAGTGATTCATCCATTCACCAAGCAGGATCAATAACCATAAACAAACATAACTGTCACTCGGGAGAGGCACTGAAAATCCGACCCAGTGAAAGCGAAATCGAACAATGTACAGGGAAAAGTGGTAAGCATACATATCGCGTTTACCTCGCTTTCCTGCGTCCCGTCGGATTCTTGCTTCCCTGGTGGCTAGCAAAATGATCCAAAAGTCGGTCAACCAAAAGCACTGCGTCCTGATGAGAAAGATATACCACAGTTGCAAGCCGGCAGAAGGGACTTACCTCCAAATAATACAAATGTAAATGCGTACAGTATAGTTGGTGATTTCATGAACGAATAGGCAAGCTCAAAATGCTTAGCAAAGATGGTGAGGCACCCCAGGAAAACACCGGAGATGACACGAACTGCCACCCCGATTCCCAGAGCCAGCGGTTTATCATGACGTCGAGCCAGGAGTCCAAAGGCCGCAAAAAGAAACATTGCAAGTGACGCGACAAGAAAAAAGTACACATACACAAATCCCAACAGTTCAACGTACATTCTTAGAAGTTGGGGGCTACTCATTGTGCTAACATGTGCAGTACGTGGCGGCACAATCCTCATACTAGAAAAAAGGGCGGAGGTTACGTTCCCAACCAGATCATTGTACATGTTGCTAATGAGTCTAAATCCAATTGTCCCATTTTCGGGACAGATTGGATGGTTTGGAAGGTCGTTCAATATGTCGTAAATTGCCTTCTGTTCCCCAGTTGCGCCTCGGCTGTACTGAATCTCCATATCCTCTATTGTCTGCCGAAGTAGCCTAATAGCAACTCGTGGTTCCGGTCGTGGCTCTTCACATGCGGACAGGATCGTCTCCGTAAGATACTGCAGCTTCAAAGTGATATCCAAAGTCAAGGCGAGAATCTGCGACCCCTCCAGGAGGAGGATGAGAACCACGTGAAACGGAAAATGCAGCTGGGCCCAGATTTGCTGCGCAAATGTACCCATGGCCCGTCTCGGAGTAAGATCAAAATACTCTTGCCAAATAAAATACTAAAATGCCAGTGTTAGCTAATTCCAGCATAAGGAATTGTACTATGGATGGTCAGTGGGGCCTTACGACGTTGGTAGTAACACCTAGAATATGCACAAACGACCATTTGGTCCAGCCGCCCGGCTGCACTGTCTTGTTGACAAGTCTTGTTACAGAAATGACACCTTCACCAATAATAATCAAGGTAAGTAGTCCCATACGGACGTTCAGGTGAGTATCCTGAAATCCGATGCCCGGAGTAATACAGGAGGTGGCGATTATTATCCACATTTCAACCCAAAACAGGACGAACCAAACAGTCCATATGTAGGGATGAGCTGAGTCGTCGCCGAAGGCAAAATACATCTTCCAAACAGTTAGCCGGTGGTGTACCTCCTTATCCAACTGAATATTAGCTTACTCCCAAGTGGACCGCACTCGAAATGCATAGGGTTGCAGCTATAACGCATAGTCCTTTGGCAGCGCTTCTCATCCGCCTGCGGATGAACAAGGTACTAATGGTGTATTGTAGAGACAGTAGGAATCTACTTCCGGCGAGAATAAGGCTCAATGATTGGAAGGCCCAAACATTCTCGTCTTGAACATGCGTGGTGAACCGTGTGCCTGCGGAAGCAAATCCGACCATAGCCGCTAGTTGTATTCCCTTGCAGAGTCGTTCGAAAAGCGAATCCCGTGCAAAGCGGATATCAAACATTGTTACTTGGAGCCAGCTGAACCAAATCACTCCGAGGAATCCGATATAGGCTCCTAAAGCTAATACTGCAAATTAGATCTCGGGCACATAGTCCGCGAAAGTTTACACACCTTCTACATTGTTGATTTCATGTGTAGCTGTGAAGGTAGCTAGGTTCGCAACAAAAAACAAATCGAAGAATAGCTCGATTGGAGTGGCGTCCGAATGGCGATAGAGGTGTGGAGGAACCCCATCCTTCTCATCAATAGGTGTCTCAATCAGAGCTAAACCCCTACGTGGCCTTCCCATGACGAGTTACTATTATACAGAACTTAGAATATGTCATGTTGGCAAGACTCACCGAGTAGGTTCACCTGCAGGTTCAGGCTGGGATAGTGGCCCGCGACCCAAAGAGAAAAAGGGCGTTCGATTCATCGGGCAGGAGCCTCCACGAAATAGTGTGAGTTGTCTTCGGTGAGGCTAGTGCACTTTTGCTAGTGCACTTTTGAAAGTTCAAATTGGTAGAGTCAAAGAACAGAGGTTCCCTAGCGCTCACTTTGATGTCGCACACGGTGATGATGGGGTTGACCCGGGGGTGGGTAGCACCTGCTAAATTGAGGCCTCCTGTAAAGCAGGCGCATACGCTTCGAATCGACTCAGGATTCACTTTCCGAGTTTGGCTTGGATATCATGGACGACCCAATATTTTCTAATCCTCGTGAGCTCTCGAGATCAGTAGTTGCGGGAGTGGTAACCTCGGATCCCGGTGTGACACCAGCTTCCTGTTTGAGCTTTTCATAGTGATCTCCAGTCTCTTTTATCAAAGCCTGGATCTCGACTTCTCTAACAGATATATCGGCCTTCTCCTTCCTCAGCTCCTCCATGCGGTTGATCATTTGTGACCTAGATTTCTCCAGAACGGCAAGATTCATCCGCAATCGGTCTAGGCATGTTGAGAGACGTGGGAGCGATGTCATCTTTGGGGGTGTCTTTGGTCGATCCACGGGGTATTTGCCATAACCCACTGCAGCTCTAGTTTGTGCTGCTTCATAAGCTGCTTTCTCCTCCAGGTCCGAATCTTCCTCATCCGAAAGTGCCTCAGCATCCTCAATAAGCTCGCGCATTGCTTCACGCTGCTTCTTCTTTTGTTCGCGTTCTGCCTTTTTCCCTAGGGATATGCGCCCATCCTCAACGTACTCGTCGAACCCTTCCGCAAAGTCTTCATCATCTCGCTCCAGCCTCGTATCCTTGTGATCTTCCCTATCTGCCACTTCCCATTCATCCTCTGCGTTCTCCTCGAGCGAAATATAGTCCTTTTCCGTGAGACTATGACTGTCGTGTTCCTTTGCTAGTCTTGCCCGTCGAGCTTTCTTCTCCCTGATTTCGGCCTCGGTAGGGATCGCCGAGGGAGCAGTCACTTTCATGACTTCACCAAATTTTGCCGCCACATCCACCTCATTGTCATTCGTATCGTCGGCTGGAGGTTTCGGGGTTGAAGCCGTTTGGTTTCGAAGTTCATTCAGGTAGTCCTCATTGTAACTTGGTCGATCTTGATCGGGCCCGACTCGTAGCGGAAGCTGATTATTCGACCCCGACGGAGTCATCGATCTTTGAAATGCGTTCTTTTCAAGCACGCGCCTACCCAAGCCATGTTTCTTGGGGACAATAACCTCGCTTTCATCCTCACCATCCTCCGTCATTGAAGTCTCTCCGGCTCCAAATGAAAGGCGTGATTTGGATTTTTGCTTCGTTTTTGAGTTTACCGGTCTTTTCACAATTGGTCCAGAGTCTATAATATCGCAATCAGTCCACGGGTTACCAGATACAGTTTGATTGATTGATTGATGCGGGGGCTTACCTTGCTCTCCTTCGTCGTTGTCCTCGTCGGCTCCGCCGACCTTGCGCGGCTTCCTTCGATTAGCAAAGCCAGAGCTCATATCGAAAATCCGTTGTTCCTTCTCAAGTCTTCAAACAACGTATCTGGGAAGGAGTATTGCTCTGGCGAGTGCGTCAACCGGGATTTTTGAGCTATCGGGAACATTGTTTTTCCGAGAAGCTCGCACCCGCCGATATCAAAAGTTCCGCATCGCGACCACCTCTACACCAAGGCAGGAAATTGAACCAAGACCAAGTCGCCAAAATGCCTCAAGCCCAGCCCGAGTTAAAGAAGGTGTGTCTCGATATTTATCTACTCGCCGATGGCCCGAATAACAGCGCTAACCTACATGGCCCACAGTATATGGAGAAGCGGGTGTTCTGCGAACTTAACGGAAACCGCAAAGTCATTGGCGTTTTACGCGGCTACGATGTACGTCCAAATGGACCCAAGTCCATCTGTTATTTCTTTTACCTTCGTGTTTCAGTTTTTCGAGCGTGCGACAGAAGTTACATGACTCCGTTGCCGGGATAGATAGGACTAACGCCGCATGTGCCATACTAGGTGTTTATGAATATCGTCCTTGACGAAGCTTTTGAAGAGAAGCCGGGTGGAGAAAAGGTTGCTATTGGCATGATTGTAAGTTGCACGCGCCATCCAAGGCCTCTCAGCCGGTCCCCTCTTTGGATGTTAGATGGATGCTGTGAAACTAACCACTTGTACGCCTTATTTGTAGGTCATTCGCGGCAACTCAGTTGTCATGCTTGAGGTTAGTTCTATTTCCACCAATTCAAATTTCCCATTCAATCAGATTGCTAACGTCTGCTTTTTCACTCTAGGCTTTGGAGCGGATAAGCGAGAAATAGACAGACTATTATAGGTTGCGTGTGGAGGGTGGAGACGTCCGGACGTCTACGTTTTTTCTTTATACCATACATGCATGTATGTGGGTTACTTCAAATATCAAGGAGTTCACGGGTTGGACCGCTCGCGTGGAGCTATCCGAGGGTATCTTTTTTGAGATTTTATTATGCTTATGAGAGGGAAAGGAAAAGAAATTTGAATAATACCTACATATGTCTATCCTGAGTAGACCAGTGGCTACGTGCTCCTTTGAATTAATACCTGCCAACTACATATACTAGCACATCGGAGTAGTTAAGGATGATATGCAGAGAGTCAACTGCATTGAATAGATCCGGGGCATAGGGAAGATTTAAAGCAGCCACACTACAGATTAAAACCGCAAGTAAAGCTTCTTGGAGCCTGTATAGGACTATATTCTAGTTGTCCAGCTAAGATCCATCCCAACCTCACGCCCCAAATCTCATATGGCTAAACGCGATCCAAACACCCAACCCACACCGCCAAAATATAGAGAGAAAGAGATAAAAATAAAAGAAGATAACGGTACAATACAGGTATACTCATTAAAGGATTCTATTATTATTGTTTGGATCCGATTTTCAATTTCAGCTTGAGCCCACCGCCAGGCGTAGACGGGGTTGCTGGAGTTTGTGACGCTTGTGCTGCTTGTGTTGGGGCCGCTGCGAAATTCGGGATGTGGAGCTTGGGTTTTGATTGTGAGGAACTTGGACCCGGTGTGTTTGAGGATGGAGTGCCGGGGTTGGGTTTTGGCTGCTTGAACGTGACTCGAATAGGGGCGGCTGGTGCGTCTTCTCTTTTGCGTTTCGTGGATGTAGTTGAGTATTTGGAGGGGTGGAGGGATGTCCGGGCCTTGTTCGTGCGGAAGAAATGAAGGCGGCCCTGTAAACATGGATTTATTAGCTTTTTTTTTTTTTTGGACGTAGTAGAGCTGTGCTAGGGTTTACCTTTCCGAGGTGCTTGACGCCCCAGTACCTGGGGTATTTTAGGGCAACCTTCTTTGACGTTATGGGGTCGTATATGACTCTGCATAGATCTGTGAGCTCGGAAAGCTCCAATACACCGATTGTTGGGGAGCTGCATGCGGCCCAGAGGCACTCCTTGAGCACTTGATCGCCAGAGACCTCCGCCTTAAGGGCAGCCAAAGCCCCGGTGACAGTTTGTCTTCGGGCGAGGTCCGCCTGTCGAAGTTCCGTTGAGGATTCTTGCTCAATAATTAAACCATCAGCAGCTGTCGATGGCTCTTTGACAACGCTGCGTCCAAATGCTACGGGCGCGAGTGCTTTTCCGAACAAGCCGTGAAGCCGCCACCTGAGCCATACCGAGTGATCATTGGACAGAGTGAAGACAAACCATCGAAGTAGCTCGGGACTTTTGAATATATCGAGTTCGATGAGACATTCGAAGGCGTCTAGGCGGAGGAGATCATAAGTGCCCACCCGTGTATAAGGGAGGAACTGCATAACATCGGCATCCGCTATTTTAGCCTGCATGAGCTGCATCTGGCAATGTAGAGCTGCACGAGAGTACAGGTTTTGGAATGAGCTCGACCACTCGTCCATTCTTCTATAACGATCAATCTCTGCCACAGCATCTTTTTCGAGTTGTTCTTCAGCTTGGGCTTCTAGAACGGCTTCCATATCGAAGTCATTGAGTTCTTCGGTGCGGGTTTCAGCTCTCCCGAGCATGGCATGGCATAGAGACCTCATCAACGTCGCGACGTAAAAGTTATCCGAGTACTTTTTTTTTTCCGTGAGCGCAATCTTATTAAGTTTTACAGCAAATATGTCTGCTTACCTCATTGTTTGAGTTGTCGTTGAACTTCAGCTTGTCATAAAGAAATCGCTTAACTCTCATTGGGGTCTTGCCGCTGGCGTCTCGCACTCTAGAAATCGCCTCCGGGATGACTAGTTGGAGAACGTACGCGGCCCTGTCTGAGAAGTCGTTTGATCTGGTCATAGGGGAGTCCGGTAGACAGAACATTTCCTGAAAGGCTTTCTCAAGGTGATAAAGTCCCAGCCAATTTATCTCCTCCTTGGCATGCTTTACTAAAGCCCGTGCCGCAGCCACACGGATCCCGTGAAAGTACCTTCGATCCATTAATGTTCGAAGGAAGATGGTTGATATCAAAGGATGCTCCTTTTGGACGGCCATATACTGGAGAGACTATCAAAGGATAAGTAAGAAAAACACGGAAGGTCGCAGCGACAAACCTCTAACTGAGCTACCACATCACGGTCTTGCTGGAGTTGTGAAAGATACATGTATCCAGGCATAACCAGTGATAGCTTGCAAACCCATTCGAAATCTGCATCCATGCGAATCCATTCGTAAGATTCCTGGCCCATTCTTTCTTCATCCTCTTTACTCCAATCTGCGAGTCGCCATTGTTGCATTTCTTCCTCAGTCTGCAATACGTCTCCAAGGCAGTAGAGCAGGATATCCTCCTGCACCTCTGCATTTCCGTCCGTACCTATCACGGCCGCGGCGCGCTCTTTTTGTCGCTTGTTCCTTTTAAGTCTTTTATATTTCGTGTTATACGGTATATCGAACTTCGTGACGCCTTCCTTGATCTCGACGATGTGTTCGTAAGGGGTACCGTCAGCTTCGTGAATTCTGATCGTCATGGACCCAGTAAAAACGGGCTGTATTGTGCCAGCATACACATTCCGAATTTCTTCTTTGACGTCGCGCATGAAGGCATCTTTTTCCAAGTCACGAGTACTTGGTTGATCAGACTGGACTTGTTTGATCATCATTTCCACCACCAATTTCTTCTTATTGAATCTTTGAGTTGCTTGGAACCGAGGACACCCGGCACCATAAATCCACTGATTGAAAAATGTGTCCAACTTTGCGTGTCCGAGTCGTTCGCAAGTCTTCTGAAAATAGGATGATGTAACGGCCCCATTGGGTATTTCTCCCATGCGAGCGTTTAAGAAAAGGCGAGAGATAATTCGGGACATTGTTGCCTTTCCGCTGGCTTTGGTGAGGCGCCGGTCCAGAATAAACAGAACCAGCGGCGCTTTGAGCGCGATGAAGTCAGCCTCTGATGGATCTATGCTGAGGATATTTCCCATGTCGTGGACAGACGGACGCTCGTAGTCCAGATCACAGACCCGATCCGACATTTGCTTTAGTCGAAAACGGTATTCGTTATTCCCGCAGAGTTTTCGCATGAAGGTGTCCGTCATATACCAAGCAACGCCAACTGTTACCCAAGTATCAACTGCCTCCTTTGGCACAATATTGACACCAATCCACTGGACGGCAAGCGCATGGGTGATTGAACGAGTGGAGTCGTACATGGGGTCAATTATCTCCTCCGGGAACAGAAGATGGCTGCTACATATTGAAAAGCAAGACGTTGGTAACGTATCTTCCGGTACGTCATCGACAAAGCACATCTTGTAGCTCGCAAACGGGTATGATCCATAGGTCAATGAGAAATAATCGATGGCCTTTGCCATCGGAAAACAGGTGTTGCGAACTTCATCACCCCTTCCTGGTAGGCAAAATGCATGCAGTGGGATGGCATTCTGACCAAGTTGTTCATCTTGGTCGCTTTCACGGAAATCGGCAAGGTTGACATACTCAAATGGACCAACAGCAAATCCGATTTGCCGGGCAGAAAGAGGGGAGTAAGAAGCAAATGAGACCGTTTTCTTGCTGGGATCTCTTGAATCAATAATGTCATCTGTTAAATCCCCGGAACAGACCACTGACATATCCATGGCCTCATCGTCAGGTGCCATGAATCGATCGTGGTTCGTGGTTGATTTTGGACGAGCTCCAGACCCACCACTTGTTTGATCCCTCGATTTGCGGTCGAAAATATCGCCTAGCGTGGCCGCGCATTTGATAGATATTTCCCAAGTGCAACGCGAGGAAGGGTCATCGACACAAGGGAAAAGCGGGCATCCAGTCCCATAATCAAGAGAGTTTGTCGTATAAACGTGCGGATAGCGCTTGTCACCACTCTCTACACCAACAAATTGCAACCCATCCCGTATGTTCTCGACGATAAATTCGATATTCACCGTAAGCGCTGTAAATCGCGGAAGGGACGTATCCGCAGTCTTCGAGCTTAAAGGACCTTCCGTATCATCAGCTATTCCGGGAGCACGCAGTGCCATCTGATCTTGAGCCTCCGTAGAAAATGGATCGAGTTCTTCAATGCGGACGCTTTTGGGGAGGGTCAATAGGAGTTCGGGTTCGGGTCGGGGTTTGAGGAGGCCATCTATTTTCGACGAGAGGCGTTGGTGATAATGGGGTCCGTAGAGTTGGAGGGACTCGTAGGGGTCGGTGTATTTGACGGTAGGAACCTTTCCGCTGACATTTAGACGCTTCAATTCCCCCTGTCGGAAATTCAGTCGAATAGTGCGCAGGTCCTTGTAATGAGGGTGAATGATGATCTCCGTTTTGCCTTTGAGACTCCGGTTTGCGAAATCTACCTCCAGTTCAACCTTCTGGTGGGCAACCGTATACCCCAGGCCTGGCCAGCTTGGGCCGGCGGGAGTATCAACGACCCCCGGCATTGCGCAAGCTACTCAATCGTGTACTGCGCCGCGAGGGCCAGGCTGACCATCCACCGTCATGTCCAAGCTCAAGGAGCAGTTGTACAAGGATCCGAAATCAAACTAAGCGATATTGCGACCGCTATCTATTCGGATCAAACGGTATCCGGGGCGAAGGCGTTGGTAGCAGGAAGTTCAGTGGATGAAAGAAGCTGCGAGGTCGAGTGATTATGTGTTTAACGAGCGATAACACAACATGAACAATAAATGGAAAGGCGCAGACTTTAAAATAAAGCAATAGCCCCGATGCACAGATATTTTTGTTCCCGAGTCTCAGGCGCCAAGCGATTCCCTCACCCTTTGATGACTTTCTTCTCATCACGCGTCTCAAAAGGGTTCACAAGCATCCGAAGCTGCGGAGCTCTTTTGGAGTCACGTGGCGTTCACCAAAAAAGAAGGCTGAAGGCTGATCACAGATTAGAGGTTTACAACTAAATATTAAATCACAGACTACAGGCCTCTCAGCTAACTTTCTTGGGCTTGTCCAGGGTTATGCAGTGCACTGTAGCTAAATAAATATTCTCATACACCGGTCAGCCTCACTAGTTGTCTTGCTGCTGTGAACGGCAAACAGCCTCAGGCCGCCCACTAGCCCGACTGAGTCCCCGCATATAAGCGCGGAGTATATCCATATTAGATATTGAGTTGCAGTATACGAGACACTCGGTAGACCTTGATTTCTTTTCTGCCGTCCAGGTGTACTGTCCCAAATCTCACAATGACTTCTCAGCCTGCAAGTTCAACTACAGTCCCTCTCTCCCCACTCAAAGAGGGCATTAAAAAGGCGTACAACACTATCTCGAATACCTACTCGGACTGGACAAGGACACATCATACAACTCGAATCAAATACCTCAACTTACTTCTCAAACACCTTAACTCCAATGCGCCCACCCCACAATCGGTGTTGGAACTAGGCTGCGGTTCTGGAAACCCTATCACCTCTCTCCTCGCATCTAGTCAGAGTCCCACCAACAGTGCAAATACTAGTAGCTCGGCTCCCAGGTTCAAGGTTATTGGAAATGATATATCGCAGCAGCAACTTCATCTCGCATCGGAGGTGCTAAGTTCATTTAAAAATGTCGAACTGAAGGAAGGGGATATGATGGATCTATCCTTCACAGAGAGAAGTCTTGACGCAGTACTGGGAATGTACGCGCTCATTCACCTACCCAGGGAAGAGCAGAAAGTATTGTTGAAAAGAATCCATACCTGGCTCAAGCCTGGTGGGTATTTCCTTGGGAACTTCGCAGTGGAGGAGCAGGAATCGGCGTTTGATCATACTTGGTTGGGTTGTGGGGCTGACGGCGGAGTTATGTTTTGGAGTAGCTGGGGGGAAGAGAAAACGTGTGGTATTTTCGCCGAGATTGGCATGGAAGTGATTATAAGGGAGGTGGTTCAAGATGCTGAGGAGGGCAGTGATGGGGGGGAGAAAAGAGTATTGTTCGTGTGGATTCTGGGGAGGAAGCAGCAAGATATATAGCCAGAAGCAGAGAAGCAATGAACCTGATACAAGTTATCAAATCCTGGATCAAAACTAAGAATTATAAGGTGCCATGGACCATGATTCGCAGAAAAAGCAAACATGTCCGAACTCTCAACCTCCAGAGCCTCATGAAAACATCGAGGATCGAGACCTGGAGCAACTATAACACATGGAAAGAATCCCGAAGCGGAAGCGGATCGGTGGGACGCGACGCACGTGATCCCCAGGTACCGAGCTTGACTTCGTGCTCGCGGTCGGCGCTCCATTTAACTCGCATTCCACCTCTAAAAAAGTGGATCTTACCTGGACTCGCTTTTCCCCTACTGATCCTCGCCGGTCGACCATCTTCCTTTTTTCTCTGCGAAGAACACCCGATATTCGTGTCGGCGCGACAAGACATTGGCTGGTCCCCTTTTTATCTGCTTTTCCTCCTATCTTGCCTTCGCGTGTGTGATGAACTAGTCACCGGCCTCCTATTCTATCCTCCCAAATATTCATCGGATCGCGCCGCTCTCACAAAATGATTAGGATTTTTCGGAGGATCCGTGGTGAGTCTTGTCGCGCAAGACCGAGCACGCATTCTTGTTTTACAGCCAGCTAATCAGTTGTGCGCATTTCCCAGAGATCCAAGACTCACTCTCCGACGATGTCCTGCTACCCCTCAAGAGCTACAAGTACTCGAGCGTGGATAAATCGTACATCTCGAATTATATCCTCAGACATTACGTATTTCGCCCTTGCTCCCCGTTGGTTCATGTCTAATTGGAATGGTGGGGTGATAGTGGAATGCTTTTGTCGAGCTACTCCCGCTTTGGATGGCGCCGAACATGGTCACCCTCTTGGGGTTCCTGTTCATCGTGGGCAACGTTATGCTTATAGAGATATATATGCCTGACCTCATTGGACCGGTAAGGCACTCATTCATTCGCGGTGTATCAGCCTTGTACTGATCGGTCTTTGTAGGGCCCGTCTTGGTTGTATTACAGTTTCGCATTAGGAATGTGGATGTAAGGCATTTACGTCACTGCTACCATCTTCACTTATCTAACGACTTTACAAGGTACTCGACGCTTGATAACGTTGACGGGAAACAAGCGCGTAGAACTGGGACCTCCAGCGGATTAGGAGAGCTTTTCGAGCAAGTGAAACGGCCGAGAATGGAAAGAAATATGCTAATTTCTCCCAGTCACGGAATTGACTCCCTCAACTGCACGCTTGCTAGTCTCCTCGAAACTGCGGCAATGGGCCTAGGATCCTCCGAACTCGGCGCTTGGACTGCAATTGTGCCCTGCCTTGCCATGTACTTCTCTACCTGGGAGACCTTTCACACCCATACGCTCTATCTTGGATACTTCAACGGCCCCACCGAAGGTCTTTTGATTGGAATAGGGATCATGATCGCGTCTGGCTGGTACGGACCACAGATTTGGTCACAACCCATCGTTGAATTTCTGAACTTCCCGAGTCTCTTCGGCAACAATTCTGTGAAGGATCTATGGGTTCCGATCCTCGTCGGATCGTTCTTCCTAGGCCACCTGCCCGGCTGTGTTTACAATGTCATCTCTGCTCGCAGAAGCCAGAATCTCCCCGTTGCTCCCATCTTCAAGGAATGGATTCCGATGGCTGTCTTTACCGGATGCAACATCGCCTGGCTTTTCTCCCCATATTCGTCTATTCTGTCCGGCAACCGACTAGTGTTGTTCTGCTGCACGATGTCTTTTGTCTTTGGACGGATGACCACAAAAATTATCCTTGCACACTTATTGAGACAGCCATTCCCCCACTGGACAGTATTCCAGACTCCTCTTATCGGCGGTGCTATACTCGCCAATCTTCCGTTCCTGGGCCTCCCTGCAATTAGCGCCTCTTTCGAACTTTTTTACCTGCGGGTGTATTTTCTATTCGCATTTGTCGCTTACATGTACTGGGCAGTGCTGATCATTAACCGCATAACAACATTCCTTGGCATCAATTGTCTAACAATCCGTCGAGACCGATCATCCGAGAGGGAACCCCCATTTCGCGGCCTCGCAACAGATAATTCCGACAGGGGAACCATCAAAAGCCACTAATACGAACGCGAAAGTCCTCGAGAACGGGAGCCGTCTATAACACCCAACCCATCTGTGCAGGCTTCGCCCTGCAGAATGATATGACAGATGGATTTATCCCTCCCTCTCGACGTGTTACGACGTACATACTTACAACACATACATACACACATACATACACACATACATACATAACATGCATGACCTGCTTCTGCTGTACAATTCCCCCCCCTCCTGGACATGCCAACAACACGCGCAGACGCGCTATGATCTTACGACTTTATTGATGGGGCATACACCGACAGATTATGTGACATGGGATGAACAGAGAAAACTTGGAACAACGTATTGGGTTCCCTTCTTTTCCAGTGCTTTTCCCCATAGGATAATTATAGATAGCTTATTAAATAAGCTTTTAATGGATAATAACGTCGATAGAGATATATATTCTTTTCCCATTCACCTGATACGCGTATCGTCGATCTTGGGAGCTACGCTACCTTTCACTAAAGCGCTTATTATGCGCTTAACCGATGTTGAACGAGTTGCCCTCGACCGTAGTCACAAGGAGTGAAACTTCAGAAAGTAGTGGTATAAATATATCTTTCCCAAAAGGGTTGGTTCCACTTCGATTAAATATTTAACTATAGGGGCCCTTTAGATTCTAAAGGTATTTTACGACAAAGAGTGCTCGTATACATCTTACTTAATTTATTAGATGATACTCGGATTGTGTGGGGGGTTAGTACGGTGTTGATGCAAGTTCTAACACATTCGTCCAAAGAGAAAGTCCTTGACGATTGGGGAGCTTGAGAACTCGGGGTTTAGGAGAACACAGCTTTGGAAGATTTCTGTTAGTTCCGGATGTGGGAGGCAACCGGCTAATTGGGGCGGTTCTTACTTCAGGAAATACTCGAGACCGACTCTGCGGGATTCGAGGAAAGATGGTCGAAATTTGACTGTGGCTGGTTGTTAGGGAGAATCCGCAAGAACGGGTTGTTGACTGGCTGAGGACATACAAACAACACTTTTCGGGGGAAGTGAAGGGAGGGCATTCTTCGCATGAGGAAAAGAAGCCACTAGCTGAAGTCGTAAATCGTCAAACTCGGAGTATCTGCAGAATATGGGTGAGTACATGCTTGACAAGGGAAAGCCTTTCTCAAGAATACCTCATGCGAACTGGTATTATACCACCCTACATCCTAGTAAGCTTCCTTATACGCCCCAACAAGAAGGAATATAACGGTGGAATCACACCTCAAGTGTCCGAATTTTGCAATTCCATACCACATATGCGCCGATACCGGTCATTCCCCGGACGACAACATGATCATCGATAGTAACGCTTTTAGCCCACAGTCCACGGCTGGTTTCGGAGTTTGGATCTTCAGTATGGTCCTCAAGCGTTATCGCCGGGCCGCCATCAATGGATATTTGGGATGCACGAGATGCATTTCGGTGGTGGGCCCAGTAGGGAGGAACTATGCCCGAGACCGGGCGTTCTTTGGATGAACGGCGAGGAGACTGGGAGGCTGGACTAGGGCTAGCACCGACGTCGGCAGAGTGAGAAGCGAAGGGTTCTGTATCACGATCGGAGGCGCTGGGAACAACCGAAGAAGGACGAGGAGGGGAAGCAGGGAGCGGTTGCGGCCTCGGTACCCGGCCTGTCTCCTCATTCGCTGGCTCCATCCATTTATATGTCTTAAAGACTTCAGGAGGCGGGCAAGAGAGGAGAAACGGTGCCTACAGCGACGAAGATAAAAATAGTTCAGCTTAATTCAGTATGGGAGGAGGGGTAGGTGGCGGGGGACGCCAGCGCAAGGGCAGAGTAACTTACGGATTACCTTTGAGACTGGTTGGCACACCCGACTGGACGACTACCCTTTCAATTGGGGCTCAAGAGTAGGGATGATTTAGGAAGGCAGTGAGGAAGACTATGATAACTCTGGGAGTTCAAAATGGAGAGGTCGACATGGCATGAGCGACGAAAAGAAGTGGATTGAGGCCACCCAAGCATAAACTGGATATTGAAGCGAACTGGACAAGAAAGCGGGAGTGAAGAATCACGGGAGTGCTGGTGCAGTTGCCAAGGCGCCAATCCGGAACAGGAATGCTGGATGGCCCTCACCAATGCCTTGTCCTCAGCAACAAGTAGCAGGAATGGAAATGGGTTGATAGAAAATTGGAGAATTCGTGGTCGGCCGCGAGAAGCTGCCGCCACCGAGTCAAATCACGAGGCGAGATAAGAAGATAGCCAAAGTTCCAGAGCGAAGCTGAATGGGGAGAGCTCCAAAGGAAAAGGCCGAGGTTCGCGCTAGAAAAAGCCAAGCGCTGCACTGGCCAATCAGAGACCGCCCGAGTCAGACATGCCAGACCCCTAATCCCAATCTGTCTCGACAAGCAGAGGCAATCAATTTCCATGTTACATTATTGCTGCCACCTTCCAAAACATTTTGACACCATGTGAGCGTTCGGTGGAGCTTCGTCAGGACATGACCCGGACATTCAACGACTGGGAAGCGAGCGGCCCAATCAATACCCAGACATCCGTCTCAGTTTGAGGATTGACGAGAGGGAAGTAGATGAGGGATTGGCGGGATGGATGTCGCTTTGGAACCGGGCGTCAGCGCTGCTTGTCTCACAGATAATAGCGAATTGTCGCACAAAGCATGGAGGACTGCGCCGTGTCTCACGCACTATATTTTTGCTACCCTCGAATTGCGTTGTGGATTCCGTGAGGGACGGAGGCAGGAGAGAGCACCCTTTATCTGGATGAAACGGAGCTCCGGCTAGCTGTCCCCGGATCGACATCTACATATGAGATGGGATGTTTTCTTTTGCCAGACATCCCGCTCGACCCCTAAAGCGACCAAACCAAGTCTCACAATAAAACCTGCGGAGATCCGGAGGCGATGGACTGTATTTTGCAGCAAGATGGCAGGAAAATAATCAGCTCACTCCGCGGCGCTGGGGATGGATCTAAAAAAAAAAAAAAAAAAAAAAGCCACTACTACCGGCCAAAGCTAAAGGACTGATAGCGTCGCCACGCAAGCTCAATCCGCGAGTAATACGGGGTGGGACAGGCAATAGTACTTATCCAGGGTCTCCTGCTCAAATATCCCCTTCTTATTCACTCTCCTCGACACCTCTTGTATCCGCGGCCTGGCTTCTCACTGTTTACCTCAGACTTCATTCGTTCAGTCTTCCATCACTTGGGGTTCTCCTTCAATTAACTAAGGTAGAAACTCGACCCTTCACTGGTTCAGTTTCTCTCGAGTCACATCGCTGTTTCGAACGGTACATCCCCTAATACTGGTTTCACGCCGGGGCTCGCATTATAAAGCTAACACTCTCTTCCTTTTCAGATAGAGCATTGGACCCTTTCGATCACCTCTCAGTCGCTACTCTTATAATTCAAAATGGTCCTGTTGCACTCCCTCATCGCAATTGCCTCCGTGGCCGGCGTTGCGCATTCCCAGAACGATACATCGACAGTAGACTCGCAAGACATTAGCACTCCCACAAAACGTAATGCACCCATATGAGAGCACTAGTTGACATTGATCTAACAAACCTACCTCAATAGAACATTGGTGTCTCACCCAGACCGAATCTTGCCTCATCATTTGCGATCAGGTCACAGGTGTCACAGGTGAAACTCCAGATTCAAATGAGTGTGATGATGTACGTTGAGCCCCAAAGCCTAGTTGCGAGCTGCGAGTATTGGCCTTTCTGTTCTGACTGTCCCTCGTTCTGAAAACAGGACACCCTCAAGTATAGCTGTATCTGCAGCAATGGTCAATCGCCAAACGCCTCCGAATACACAGAAACGATCCCCTACTTCCTCTGCACTGAACAGAACACTCGATGTGTCAACGACTGTCCTCAGAATGACTCGAGCTGTCAGGATAAGTGTCGCTCCTCCAACCCTTGCGGAGCTCAACACCCTAGACCCCCGAACAAAACCTCAACCACAGCTGCATCTACCACGTCTACCTTGCCGCCGTTTACCGGGGAAGCTAACGATGAAGGAGGCGCCATCAAGCCGATTATTGATCTTAAACCGGTGTATGGCCTCTCCATCGTCCTTGGGGGGTTCTTTGCCGGCTTTGCGTTTCTTCTCTAATTATTTTGCATATTCAAGTGGCTAGCGAGCGTTGATAAGTAGCATTTGAAATCTTGTCTTGTTCTATTTTATGAATGTACTTGGGTCTCAACGATCATAATCGTTTTCTTCTCATTTTCTCGCAAAACTAAAATGCACTAGCTGGCTACAGATGGGTGACTAGAATTCCTTCGCATCGAAGTATTCAGGATCCTTTTCTTCTTCCGCATCGAAATACTCAGAATCGTTTTCTCGGTCCCCAGGGGTCGAAATGACTGGATCGATAGACTCTAAGGGGGATCTTCCCTTCGGAAAGGCCTCCCAGAATTCGCTAGGCTCCCATATCCTTGCAAGTTTAGTTTCATCTATGCCTTGGGTGTCGTGGGTTAGCCATATCATTGCCGTGCGTGAGTCCTTTTGCACTTTCCCCTCCCTCACGAGCCAAAAGGGTATATCTCTGCATACTGCGGCCACCGACTGGATATTGTATCCTCGAGAGCGCTCATCGTGTCCACCGACGTCTGCACCTGAAAAAAGGATCCTCCATTCGGTGTCCTTATCCAGCATATAGTAACCGGGGCTTATCTCCAATTTCGATGCCGCGTGGAAACCCTGGAGCTTAAGTTCCTCACTGAACATTTCCTCTAATGCCGCCTTCGTCTCTTGTTGCTCGGTCTCTGGCATGACGATGTAAACACTTGTACAGCATTTCTTCACGCGCTGACTTGGAAGTGTGTCAGATAGATAGCTGACAGCAACACGATATTCGGTGTCTTTTGCCACTTTGCGCAATGAGAGGCAAATGTTTGCAACATCATCATTGGCATCCTGCACATCTAGTGTATCATACTTTATAAATGCATTTCCGTCCATGATCACCCTTGCTTTGAAATTTCAATAAGCTCAAGGTTATAATCCGATGTTGAAAATAGTCAGCTGGAGGATAGAAAGAAACCAGGAAGATTGAATAGTCTTTCCGACGCAGTTTGTTTGATGCTTAGAATATAGATGTGCATGCTTATATACATGAAGTTGTGCACAACCGGGTTTCGAGTCACTTGTTCCTTTTGATTTTTCTTTGAGGCCAGATATGCATTGTGTCTGAGGTACAAAGGCGTTAGTTGAGATACTGTTTGTGAGTTGATTGCTGTTTGGTATTGAAAATATTAGGGCTGCTTGGATGAATGATAGGGGAACAAAGGCAAGGTGTTAATAAACACCAAAGACGAGCCATAACAAAAATCAAAACGGAAACAAATGGGGTTATTCTGGATATGCCTTCAAGTCAAGGGTTCAAGGATAGCATGACAATAGCACAAGAATGTGGAATCTACAATGATCGACTTGAGGACGGGAAAGAAATGCGGAGGCGGCGGAGAAGGCGGTGAGGGTCCACGCCGCATGTCATCCTCCGCTGAGAGCCTTGAGGAAGCAACAGATATCATTTACCCCTCACTTTCTTTGGCAACAACTTCGATACTCTAAGCTAGCAGACTGCATTGAAAGGAGTGAATTTGTATGTGAGGGGAGTTGCTGCGAAACGTTGGCACATCCACGCTACCTCGACCTCCAAGCTTTCAGCCGATTTGGAGTGACTTCGGTATCGATTGGAGAGCTCCCGTTGCTGTCTGTTGAGGGTCGTGGGATACCTTAGAGCTCTTCCATTCCACGTTACCCTTGGAAAACAGCTCCCCCCGTTACCGCACTTGACGACATCGTCTCGCCTCAACCTCACGGCCGAGAAACCCACATAAATACAAGATGGAACCTATTCAGGCAGACGCTGGTGACGGTGGCCTGGTAGGTCAATATACTGCACAGACACCCGGTGCAGTGGGAGCAGATCCGGAGTCTTCAAATGGAATCGTATCTTCATCTGGAGTCCCTCTTGTGAGGGTAGACGGTACATCTAGCGTCCGGGCATAAGCCGCAAAGGCCAGTAAATTTGCTGACAGTTAATAGATCCTCCTAAATTCGAACTGGAGTCATACATCGCGAACTATACTGGTGAGTCTAAAGCTTCTTCGCCACTGATTTTTAAATATAAGCACGGCGCTGACGGATATTCCACTATTTCAGGCCGAACTAGATTCAACCGTCTATATCTTATCGGAACCTGCTCATCATACCTCGCTGTCGAAGCCCTTAAAGCTGCCATTGCAGAAGCAAAATCCGGCAAAGATGTTTCTCGATACCTGCGCGCAGTTCAGGCATTAGCGGGTGTTGCACCGAATGAGGCCGAAGCTACTATTGATAAAGAGTGGGCGGAACGGTCACAGAAAGTCGTCAAAGTCGAAACGGACCGATTAGAGCATGAGCTCAGGGGATATAAGAATAACTTGATCAAAGAGAGTATTCGGGTATGTGATATTGATCAGAATTGGGGTCACAATTGTTTGTTTGGTTTCTAATATTGGTTTGCATTAGATGGGAAACGAAGATCTTGGACAGCATTATCATCAGGCTGGTGACTTGACGTCTGCATTCAAGGCATACTCCCGCATGAGGGACTTCTGTACGACATCGAGTCACGTTGCATCGATGCTTTTCAAGGTTATTAGTGTGGCAATCGAGCGCGGAGACTGGTTGAGTGTACAGTCTAACGTGCACCGGCTCCGGGGCCTGGGAGCCAAGCAGGAAGAGCAAGCCAAGCACCAACCAAAGATATCAACTGCCATGGGCCTATCGCAATTACATTCTGGGTCATATATAGAAGCAGCAAACAGCTTCATATCGACAGATCCCAGCCTAGGAGACTCGTACAATGAGGTCCTGTCATCTAATGATGTTGCTGTCTATGGTGGTCTCTGTGCCCTGGCGTCCATGGATCGAAATGAACTTCAGCGCCGCGTTCTGGACAACAGTTCCTTCCGCAATTTCCTAGAGCTAGAACCTCACATTCGCCGCGCCGTTTCGTTCTTCTGCAACTCTAAGTTCAGACCGTGTCTCGAAATTCTCGAGGCATACCGCGCCGATTACCTGCTTGATGTCCACCTCCAGCGCCACGTTCAAACCTTATACACCCGGATCCGCACAAAGTCCATTCAACAATACCTTGTCCCCTTTAGCTGTGTATCTCTCGAATCGATGGCGAAGGTCTTCGTCCTCGGAACTCCCGCAGACCAGTCCAGCCAAACAGAATCAAACTCTGCATTCGTCCAGGAATTGATAGGTCTGATTCAAGACGGTACACTGGATGCACGTATCGATTTAGAAAGGCGCGTCCTCGTCTCTAGCCAAGGCGATAAGCGCACAGAAGTGCAGGAAGCAGTCCTTGATAGTCTCGATACCTACGTCAAAGAAGCCCATATCCGACTCCTACGGTCCAACGTAATACGTGCTGGCCTCGAAGTGCGCCGATTAAACGACGACCCTCGACCTAAACTTGAGGAACGAGGTGGAAAGAGGGGCCACGGTGCAATCGGGAATATTCTACGGGCTACTGGGATGAAGCAATGAACTGACGCCAGACTGAATAATAAATCTCAGACTGGAGGTGGAGCTAGGCTTAACTTATTACGATTAGATGATCGACCATTTTTTTTTTATTTCCTATCTTGCGATGATACCTAGAACTAGCAAGGAATGGAACCGGAAGATGAATTAGGTCCCGTATATAGCCACAAATTACCTGAAGTCTTCTAATTGTCTGTCATGATGTTGTTCTGCATCATCTGGTCCTTTCCGTGTCTAGATGTTCAAAACAGGAGGCATAATGGCTGGATCTTAGCAGTGCCAAGTTCCTACTAGTTGGAGAGGATTCTAAATAGAGAATGGCTATTGGAGAACCAATTCTTAAAGTCATTAAATATTATTACTTCATGTTTCCTATATACGTGTATGCATAGATAGTACGGCGTAATATTGACACTTACCACCCAGATGCAAGGCAGTACGTACGAATGTTCACCCGCAGGGCTTATCGGAAGTGGAGGTAGTTGTTATAGAAACAAGTCGAAAGTAAACATCACTGAGCTTAAGCTAGCGCAAGAGCAAGTGCCATACCAGCACCGCTAACGAGCCACTGCGTCGCGGAGCCAGTGACTTGGGCCATGGCGGCATTGTCGGAGGATGTTTCCTCGGCATCGGCACTGGAGTCGGTGGTAGGCGAAGCAGATCCAGAGGGCTGAGCGGTCGTAGAAGCGGACTCAGACGGGGTGCTTGAGGAAGACTCGGATTTGGGCTCAGCAGAAGTGCTAGTCGCAGTCGCGGTAGCGGTTCGTTCTGCATCGGTTGCGGTTGAGGTGACGGTGACTGCAACATAGGGCACATCAACGGAGGTAGTGATAGCCATTGCGGAGGAGAAATCCGACTGGGTGTTTGTCACCTCGCAGGAGACCCAGGTTGTGCCGCGGTACTTGCAGCTTTCTCTAAGCCAGCTGAGGCGGTGACCCAGAGTTAGATTTGATTGAAACACAGAGAACAACGGGGCAGATTCTTACTAGTCATCGAAGGAGTATTCGTAGATGAACGTAGAATGCCCTGCGGTAACGGTCAGACCATCTCCTAGACCACAGTCGTTAGAATCAGCGCCCTCAGGACAACCGATCACGTATGTGGTCATTGGGCCATCCTAGAGACGGCGTTAGGTACAGAATAAACACCAGGTGCGTTAAAAATGTCAGAATAAGGAAAACGTACACTGCCGATAACTTCAGCAACGAGGTCTTGCTGGTCTACCATTGGAAGCATGAGAGAGACAACATCATTGGCCGCCGCGAGCGAGACCCTGCCGAGAAGCGCGAGAGATCCGATGATTTGCGGGCGCATGTTGATCAGTTATGACGATCAGTTGAAATCACGAACAACGGTCAGTGCCAACTACCAATCAAAGTGGTAAAGCGAACGTTGTGGATTGGATGCTCAAATAACGAATGTATATGAGTCTGCAGGACTCAGTCGAAAATTAAAGAGCAACGGAGGCAAAAGAGTGAATAAGTGCACACAAGGGTTTATTTTGAACGACAAAAGGGGGTTCCTTGCGCGAGGGAAATGAGAGTACTATATAAGCGATGGGATATGACCACGGCGCTAAAAAAAGACCGATCTATCGATTGGCTGGACAAGTCCTTCATGGCTGGGATTGGGGCCTGCAGAAGTGACTAGGACATTCAGGGTCTGGCTGAAAGTTAGGTGGGCAGTAAGATTATTCGTGCGCCGTCGATTTTGCTAAACTCCTGACTTGGGACTTTGGGGGGCGCCGGCGGCGGATGCCAAAAGAAGCCTCAACACCGAAGCGACGGAAGAAGAGGCTCTATCTTGATTGATTTCCTGGCGATAATGGAATTCGCCACTCTCGTAAACCAATATCCTTCGCTGAATTGCCACGCAAACAAGAGAAGATGGCATTTCATCAGGGTCTGCGCAGTTCGTCCGAGTCCCACAGTTGAAGATTGGGGCCAAACAGTGGACTTTTCCATAGCGCGCTACTGGCTCACTTTGAAGTGGATGGCTAGACCGCTAAGAACACCGGCAAGCACCAGAACTCCGTTAAAGCCGGCCATGATGTAGAAGGGAGCGCTTGAGTCTAAAACGTCAAACAACAGCCCCCCGAGTTTGGTGAGTAATAAGATCCCGGCTCCTCCAAACAGAGAATATACTCCGGAAATTGAGCCTTTCAGATCCGAGGGCTGCTGATTTCGATGAACAGGTGTTTCCAGCAAAGGCTGTTGCTCGTCGGACTCTGGGACCGTGCTCGGAGTCTGACTGTTGCCTGCGTCTAGTGTTGCCTCGGCTGAACATGTCATGCTCAGGATACCGTTGCTCAACACTGACAAACTACACACGATGGCGCCGATTTGGCTAACACCAACCAATGCCATTACTACAAAGATTTCGGGACCGCCTTTTTCGCCCTTGAACTCGGGGCTAGGCAGTACCGCAAGCACGGAATATCCCACGACTCCAGCCAGACAAGCAATGAAAAGTGGTAGGTGGTATCGTCGCGACTTTTCCGACAGATACCCGAAGGCTGGTGCCGCGATTAGCGCTATAAGCTGAGAAACGCCGGTCAGGATTGAGGCGAGTACATAGGCCTTCGGACATGACCGCTTGATGTCCCCAGGGTTGGCCCGCTCAGTAGGCTGTTCATCACAGAGGCCAGATCTGCGATAATAATTGTTCACAAATAAGGGGATAAATAGTGATATGCCGACGGAAGAGGCCCGAGCTACGAACCCTCCGAGGTAACCGATGAAGATATCGCGATTTCGGAATCCCAACGAAATTGCAGAACTTAGTTGGTGCAGGTACGGAAATCGCACCTTGTATGTTGTGCGAGAAGAGTGCCTGGTAGGCTCGGCTGTTTGAGCATTGGACCGTAGACCCGTCCAGAGCGCGGTCCATGACTTGCCGTTTTCTCCAGGGAGGTTTCTTAACCCAATAGAACAACAGAAACTGACCAAAACAGCTATAACAGCCGCTGTATAATAAGTATACTGGATAGCCTTCGCTGGTGAGAGCCCCATTTCTTGAAAGTGAGCCGGTAGTGGGAGGAGGATGACGAGGGAAATTAGAGCACCACATCCCGTACACATCCCAACAAAACCGGCTAGTCTTGATGAGGGAGCGTCAGTGTTTGGTTCTAACTGATCACCCTCGATTCGAGGGTTCGGTCCTCCCCCGGTAACCACTGGTAAGACGGCCGTAACCATCGTTGAAACGGCCGCGCCTCCTATACTGAATAGCAGTCTACCGAGAAGAAGCTGAGGGTAAACATTGCTAGCTTGGACAAACAAGACCAATGCGATAGCAACAATGATATAGCCAGTGGTGCAAACCTATAGTTGTCCCGTATTAACCTTTGAAATGACCGTTAATTTTGGGTGACCCGAGCGCTCACCTGGCGGACACCAATACGGTCTGAGAGTACACCCCACATTGGACAAGCTGCCAGAGCAAGCAGCTCATCGGCAAACCCGAGAGTCCCAACTGCATCTCCTTCCCCATCGTGGATACCTATTAGGTCGGTGACAACGAAGGAGATAGAAGAATTGATGAAAACCAGAAATGCAATTGAGAAGGGGCAGACGCCGAGTAGATATGTGAACGCCTGAGTGCGGCTGGCAGTAAACATGGATCGTTGAGACGTCATGGTGTGGTTATATTCCGCCCCTGGGCATGGAAATAAGAGATATGCAATGCCGTATTTTCACGGAAGAATCGCCTCGAGACTCACGAACTCATACCTCAGGGCTTTTCTGGCCGCGGGGAAATATACAGCGTGAGAGCTATTTGTTGTCGATGAATCATGTGACCACGTGGAGTCCGCAGATCGGCGACGGAGGGAACGTGTGGAGGAGGTCCAATGCAAAGGGAGAGAACTCGCGAAAGGACGACTTCACTTGCTGTATGATACGGGAAAGGAGGCAGAGTGAATGCCCCGGTGAAGGTTGAAGGAGAAGTGATATCTACTCCGCCGTCGAGTATCACAGCCGACGGCCCCGCTGACGTAAGACACGGGCGGAGGCAACTGTATCCGTATAGCTGTCCAGATTCCAGAACAGGAACGGCAACGACCGCCTTAACATTTAACTGTCCACGCTATCCTTATCGTATTTCCCATCTTTCTCTTCTTGAGGACCCACGAATCCTGTCAATGCTTGATTTGAAGTGACCTCAACTTCTCATATCTTGACTTTGTCAATGATTCTGGGCTTCTCGCCCGCTCTCTCGCGATCATGAGGTTCGCTGCCTATGCTGGGGTATGCGCTTCGGAGCACACGATGCTTTTCTCGAGCTTATACTGACTCTTCTTTAGGCCTCGGTGGCTCTGGCGAGTGGTGTATTTTTGAAAGCACTTCATCAGAGGGCCAATTTCTATTCTGCTTGCGTGTATCTCTCCCAGAGCAGCGCCAATCTCATGGTAACCTTTCCTATCTCCGCGTTCGTTCCCCCTTGACGTTTATATCTGACCGAGATTACCTTTAGATCTTGACGAACGTATGCCTCCTTGCTGTTGGATTTCTGCTTTTCTGGCTCCAACGTCTGCTTTATGGCCCCCTCCGACCCATCGAAACAGAGCAACTTTATGAGAAAGCGTGGTTTGCCGTGACGGAGACATGTTTGGCTATGACGATATTTCGGGGAGAACTCGGGGCCTGGTTCTTGGTCATGTTTGTGTCCCTGCTCGTTGGAAAGGTCTGGGGCTGGATTGGGGAAGGCCGTGTGGAGTTTCTCGAACAGCAGCCCCCCGCGAACCCCTTCCTGTTTCACACCAGATTGGCGGCCTCCTTATTACTATCTGTCTTATTCAACATGTTCATGCTGAAATATTGCATTGACACCGTTCTCGAGCAAGCGCGTCCGGACATGATGGTGATGTTCGGTTTTGAATTCGCCGTGCTGACAATCATCTCGTCTTCAACTGCCGCGAGGTATTCGATTTCTCTTGTGGAAATCTACGTCAATCACCAACAGTTGAAAACCCGCGTCGAGGAACGACGCCAGGAGATCAGGGCTTCTCGCGAGCAGGCTGAAGCAGAGCATGCGGCATCTGAAGATCACACCGCAACCCCCGATCTACCAAATGAGGATGACATCAATGAGATGGAACTTGACATCCCAGGCTGGGAGGAAAAAGGGCGCTGGGTTTTCTATTTGGATCTTCTCACCGATTTCCTCAAACTTACTGTTTATCTGTCTTTCTTTTTTATACTCTTTACTTTCTACGGTCTGCCCATCCATATTCTTCGGGATGTGGTGGTCACCATACGCTCATTTGGTCGGCGAATTATGGATTTCGTGCGATACCGAAACGCCACTCGTGATATGAACGAGAGATACCCAGACGCCACCGCCGAGGAAGTCGCAAGGGAAGAGGTGTGCATCATTTGCCGGGAGGAGATGACCGCCTGGCAGCCTGGAGATGGACCGGCTGCACGAGTTTCCGAACGATTACGCCCCAAGAAACTCCCATGTGGCCACATTCTACATTTCTCTTGCCTCCGAAGTTGGCTGGAAAGACAGCAGAATTGCCCGACATGCAGACGACCAGTCATCGCGCCTCCTCGTACCCCAGGGGCCGCTGGGGCAAATCCAGGCCAAGGGAACGGTGGTGTCGGCCAACAGCAGAATTTGCCGCCAGGAAACCAAGCCATCGACCGAAACGGACCTGCGGATGGTGTTCCCAGGGCTCGAATTTACCAGTTTGGTCCGTTCAGAATTGGCTTTGGTGCAGGAAGGGGAGACCTTTTCAACAACCTCCATCAGCAGATTCATCAGGGTAACGCACCCTGGCAGCCTGCTAATAACGCTAATCCTGCTGGTGCCAGACAAATTGGCTTTGGCTTTGGATTTGGACGACCTCCACAACCACCGCCTGCACCGACCGCAACCCAAGGGGTACCGACGGCCACGTCAAGTGTGCCCAACCTGCAAAACCAGCTACTACAGATGGAGCAGCACATCGTAAATGAGATAAATGGCCTTCGTGTTACGGCTGATCAGCTGAACCTGGTTAGGCTATTGCAGACCGAGCTTCAGCGCCTTCGTACCCTGCAGTCCCAACAAACACATACCCAGAACAACACTCCCCAAAGCCCTTCTTTATCAATACCTTCTACATCACCCGGCACGACGCGCCATCAATTTGTTTCTGATCCGGGGACACCGTCTATGGGATCCGGAGACTCCCGTCTTCCTGAGGGGTTGACTCTTCCCCAAGGCTGGTCCCTGGTTCCTCTCCACTCTGCCCAACAAGGAACGAGTAGATCGTTGAACAACATTGCGGATCCAACTTCACCGGAGTCCGCGCCTGCCATACCAGCGTCCGATGATGTGTCCAGTTCACAGTTCCGCGCGGACGCTTTAAGTCGAGGACTGAGTGGTAGTAACGATGCCGCGGCCTCATCCACTCCCCAGCCTTCGGAGCCACCAAATTGGAGATCGGAATCCAATCCACTCACGGCAGATCCCAGTACTGAACCTCTCTCTCAGCAGTGGACCGATCTCAGTGCGGAGAGCGAGATGGCGAGTAGCTTAGCTACTTCAAGTAACACACAACCTGAGCCTCACAGGCTTGAGCACGGTGGGGAGTCACCCACTGAAACCGAGACATCAGAATCACCGTCCAAGGGAAAGGCGCGAATGGCTACAGTAGAAGATGTAGCAGATGATGAGACACGATCATGACATAACTTGCACACTGCCTCTTCTGCGTCCTTCTATTTTGTCCCCCCTTTTTTCTGGGCCCAGATTTTTTGTTGGATGCTTGACTGTACATAGATGTGAACTAAGATATACCACGAGCATAGTGCAATTACCAGGGAAACCGAGTCTCGCCTCGATTGACTTTTAATGGAGGGAAATAGCATGGCATGCCTAGCATACTATGTAGACGAAATAAGAATCCCGGGTGGCTTAAGTAAGAAAAACTGTCTTACGTAGTCCCTGCCTCAAGCCTTTTTAAGTGCGACCCTCGCCCCCGTCATCGACCCAGTCGATTGGCGGATTCAATATGGCCGGATGGATATCAGGGGGATCGTCTGGTCCAAAATCCAATCACACCGCGGGATGGCTTCGTAAGTCTGTGCTGATCTCTCAGTGGGAGTTGAGGTCTTGCGTTTCAGCCCTTCAGCAGATGTTCTCTGCTCAGGCTCGTGGTGTCCCAGCGACCTCATCAGTTGAACATTCTTCGCAGCACTGTTGAGTGGACAATTGACTTGCATTCACATTCTACACTACTTTACAGCCTTCAGATATTGTCAACTCCCCGGGTTTAGCTCATACTTACGTTCAGCTCTCTCGTTCTATTTCGGTCGCAAGGTTGCAGCACCGCCTCCGCCCGACGCCCGCTCCCCCGTCAGCGCGCCTGTTTCAGGACCGTTGCGTAACCACCCGGTCCCGTCCACACTTGACAGCGCAGTGGACACTTGACACTTCGTGAGCAGGCTACCCCAGGCGGATTTCTTTCCCTCGACTCTGCGCTGAGACAGCCACAGCGTCAAACTTCCCTATCAGTCCCAGGGTTGACAATGCGATTCGATTATACTCAATCTAAGTAAAAAAAAGTTGTAAGTTTGGTCGCATGGCACTCGGAAGCATGGCGCGAAGTGTCGTTCCCTCAGCACGCATGAATTTCCTTATGCCTCTACCGCCTGTACTACGATAGATTGACGAAATTTATCGTTGCTCATTTATTAATCGTTCGTCGTGCTGACCGTTTGGCACTCCCTCTATAGCATACTTACTTCTCCCTTATCCTCAAATACATCACATTCAATTCGACTCATGGCGCCAACGCGGCGTTTCGTTCCCCTCATCGGCCTCAGCTTTTTCCTCCTTTGTCTATGGGGTCTCTATGTTTGCTCCAAACAATGGAAGGAAATGTCACAAGCTGTTGGTTTAGGTGATCTTGCAATTAAGCCATCGCCAACTCCGTTCGGTCGTTTCAATATCAGTGAAGTACCGAAGGTCCCGTACGCTCCTCGCCCTCAATTTAGCCCGGGAGCTATCAGACCCGATGATTACGAGTATACAAAAACACTGGTGGTGCCGCGGACAAGCTATGAGGATGTCTCATGGATGGATTCAGAGATTCCAGGTTGGGATACCGCTATATACGTCGTTGATGACCCCTCTGCAGCTCTGCACCCACCAAAGAATAAAGGGCATGAGGTAATGGTCTATTTGAGCTACCTCATCGAACACTACGACAAACTACCGGACATAATCGCATTCATGCACTCACACCAATTCGCATGGCATAACGACGACCTTTTGGACGGGAACTCCGCTGAGGTTTTGAAGCGGTTGCGCCCAGAGCGAGTCATTAGGGAAGGCTACATGAACTTGCGTTGCGGCTGGGGGCCTGGTTGTCCTGACTGGATGCATCCCGGGACTCTGGAAGAAGACGAGAGCAAACAAGAGGAAATCCTGCTCGCCAGATCCTGGGGAGAGATATTTCCGGACTTCCCTATTCCAGACGTGCTCGCTCAACCATGTTGCGCCCAATTTGCTGTTTCGCGTGACCGCGTTCTTGCCATTCCTCGATCACGTTTTGTCTTTTACCGAGACTGGGTTCTCCGCACGGAATTGAGCGATTTCATCTCCGGTCGTATCTGGGAATACCTTTGGCACGTTGTTTTTACCGGCCAGAACGTGGTATGCGCGGAAGAACACGTGTGCTTCTGTGACGGGTATGGAATCTGCTTCAATGACGGGGATGAATATAGTGCGTTTCGAAACATGGACTCGGAACGTGAGTC